AGGCAGGAAATACCCACGACATTACTTCCTAGTACAACACTTGGACAAATGACTGAACCAACGACAGAATCTTCTAGGTTAGTACCGACTGTCAGGCCACATGAGAGGTCCACTCTTAGTCCAGCATTAGAAGACACCACTATCCAAACCCATCTGACAGAACAAACGACCAACCCTTCCAGCGAAGTAACAACTGAAAGGGCTATTGAAAGAACTACTCGTCCTGTAGGGTTAACAGAAAGTTCAATACCAAGCGAAAGGTCCGAAGTACCCACGACATTACATCCTGGTACAACACTTGGACAAATGACTGAACAAACGACAGAACCTTTCAGGGAAGTACCGTCTACCAGACCATTTGAGGGGTCCACTCTGAGTCCAGCATCAGTGGACACCACTATCCAAACCCAAGTGACAGAACCAACGACCACACCTTCCAGCGAATTAACAACTGAAAGGGCTATTGATGGAACTACTCGTCCTGTAGAGTCAACAGAGAGTTCAATATCAACCGAAAGGCAGAAATTAACCACGACATTACTTCCTGGCACAACACTTGGACAAATGACTGAACCAACAACCGAATCTTCTATGGAAGTACCGACTGACAGACCATTTGACAGGTCCACTCTGAGTCCAGCATCAGTAGACACCACTATCCAAACCCAAGTGACAGAACAAACGACCAAATCTAGCGAAGTAACAACAGAAAGGGATTTTGATGGAACTACTCATCCGGTTGGGTTGACGGAGAGTTCAATACCACCCGAAAGGCAGAAAGTACCCATGACATTACTTCCTGGTACAACACTTGGACCGATGACTGAATCAACGACAGAATTTTCTAAGAAAGTACCGACTGTCAGACCATTTGAGAGGTCCACTCTGAGTCCAGCATCAGAACACTCCACTATCCAATCCGAAGTAACAGAACAAACGACCAAACCTTCCAGAGAAGTAACGACTGACAGGGCTATTGATGGAACTACTCGTCCTGTAGGGTTAACAGAAAGTTCAATACCAAGCGAAAGGTCCGAAGTACCCACTACATTACTTCCTGGCACAACACTTGGACAGATGACTGAACCAACGACAGAATCTTCTAGGGTAGTACCGACTGTCAGGCCACTTGAGAGGTCCACTTTTAGTCCAGCATTAGAAGACACCACTATCCAAACCCATCTGACAGAACAAACGACCAACCCTTCCAGCGAAGTAACAACTGAAAGGGCTATTGAAGGAACTACTCGTCCTGTAGGGTTAACAGAAAGTTCAATACCAAGCGAAAGGTCCGAAGTACCCACGACATTACATCCTGGTACAACACTTGGACAAATGACTGAACAAACGACAGAACCTTTCAGGGAAGTACCGTCTACCAGACCATTTGAGGGGTCCACTCTGAGTCCAGCATCAGTGGACACCACTATCCAAACCCAAGTGACAGAACCAACGACCACACCTTCCAGCGAAGTAACAACTAAAAGGGCTATTGATGGAGCTACTCGTCCTGTAGGGTCAACAGATAGTTCCATGGCAACCGAAAGGCAGGAAGTACCCACGACATTACTTCCTGGTACAACACTTAGACAAATGACTGAACAAACGACAGAACCTTTCAGGGAGGTTCCGTCCACTAGACCTTTTGAGAGGTCCACTTTGAGTCCAGCATCGGTAGACACCACCATCCAATCCCAAGTAACAGACCAAACGACCAAACCTTCCAGCGAAGTAACGACTGAAAGGGCTATTGATGGAACTACTCGTCCTGTAGGGTCAACAGATAGTTCTATGTCAACCGAAAGGCAGGAAGTACCCACGACATTACTTCCTGGTACAACACTTAGACAAATGACTGAACAAACGACAGAACCTTTCCGGGAAGTTCCGTCTACCAAACCATTTGACAGGTCCACTCTGAGTCCAGCATCAGTAGACACCACTATTGAAACCCAAGTGACAGAACAATCGACCAAACCTTCCAGCGAAGTAACAACTGAAAGGGCTATTGATGGAACTACTCATTCTGTAGGGTCAACAGAGAGTTCAATACCAAGCGAAAGGTCCGAAGTACCTACGACATTACTTCCTGGTACAACACTTGGACAAATGACTGAACCAACGACAGAATCTTCCAGGGAATTACCGACTACCAAGCCATTTGAGAGGTCCACCCTTAGTCCAGCAGCAGTAGGCACTACTATCCCATCAATTACCTTAGAAACCACTATTATTCCAATTGTTACTACACGTGGGATAGACGTGGATCTGACGACCGAGTCAGCAAGTGAAGTTACATCTAGAATATCAATCGGAAGTTCAACCATGCCATCAGAATCGCATGATACATCCACATCTTTTATACAAGACACAACTTTAACAACGTCTTCTGTTGATATTTCTATAGCTGATTATACTCCATCAGAAAGTTTAGTTCCAACCACTATGGTGCCAGTTTTTAATGAATCCACTTCTATATCGGAGTTAAGTCCGTTTGCGACTGAAATGCCAATTGCAAATCACACGACTACGACAGAATTTGCAAAGAGTTGTATAACAGAATTTGACTGCATGGACGAACAGACCTGTTTAGGTGGGCTGTGCATATCGCCCTGTGATTACTTCAGCAATCTTTGCACGGTGCAGAATCTGACTATTTGTCGAACATTGAACCACACCACAATGTGCTTCTGTGATAACGCCGATGATGTAAATAGACCCGATTGCTCTATGAAAGCAGGTAACTAAAGTTGTGTATATAAGTGTAAGTCGTGTTATCGAATCATAATGAATGAATTGCAAGGAACCACAGGGTTGCGGTAAACTCTTGGCATCGTGGCATCGCCGACTACTTTCAACGCCAATCACATAACTGGCAAATTGTAGTAGCCTACTTCAGTTAGATGTCATGATTTCTTTATCTTCTCTTGGATTTCCAGTCATTATCCCTCTTGTGGCACATATATATGTATGACCAGCCATTGAAAATTGTGCGGGCACCTTGCATGCAACCATTCGGTTTATTTCTCGCAATTCCCGTGTGTTTTTTGTTCTTAAATTTTTCAAATGCATTTGTCTATGTTGCCCCTCTTCTTACTGCTTCCCCTGTGGCTGTATTTCGTTGAAAGCCTTGCACCTTCACCTGATATCTTCACCCGAGATAGTTCGAATTTTGTGTGTCCACCAAAAAAGCTTTTAATCGAATGTCAATTCTTGGGGGATCATTTCCCTAGCGCAGTCGAATGCATGTCCATTTATGTTGCAATGTTTCCCGTTCATGTTAGTTGCCTGCTTGTTGTCTGCCTGAATGCCTGCTGCAAGAATCATCATCAGATTTTCTGTCATCGTCCACACCACTTTTAATGTTTCTCGTTATGTCTTCGAAGATCTCAACTCGCATGTTTTTTATCTCAGCGCGACACCTTTCTTAGGTGTTCTAATCTGTGTTGATTTTGTTGTATTTAGTACATACTCGTTGTCGTTAATCATGTATCGTAAGTGTATTATCCAATAGTAAACAATTTGCATGCGGTATTTGGTTTCATAATTATAACAAACCTTAGCTAATAAATGTATGCACTAACCCACTTAATGCTTTTGCATGTGTATATGTTGTTTTAAGCAACAGCAAAAATGTAAACTATATTTAACTAACGCTAGCGCCTGCTAGTTATTATTTGGTTTGCCTGAATTTGGGCTTAAAAAGTTAGAATAAGAATTCCGTATAAAAATAAAAAGTTATACTAACTGCATTTAAAAATTAATGATTAAGAAAACTACCTACCGAACAGGATTCTTGACCTAAATAAAAAGGAATGACTTAAATTAAAACGACTTTATATAAACGCACATATGTGCTAAGCAAAATATACTCAAAGTATCTCAACTAATGTAATAACGTCCTTCGCTTTCAACACACAAACAGAAATCGGTTGCGCATCGAGTGATGAGTGCCCCTCCCAGCAGGCGTGCATTAATGCTCTTTGCGTGGATCCTTGCACCTACAATAATCCGTGCAGCCGGAATGAAGATTGTCGAGTTTTTAACCATCAGCCACTGTGTTCAGCCGGTGGGTATCAATAAAATGTATAAAAATCTTAAATCAAAAATGATTCAATTTGTAATATTACAGAACATGGTCGCACGCCTGGCTGTGAACATTGTCCACCAGGTGTCAACTGCGATCCTACAACCGGTGCTTGTATAAAGGGTAAGTTCTTTTTTAGTTTTCTTTTTTAATCATCCTAAACTCTTAATATTAAGTGTAAATACAATGTGTACATATTCTAATGTAAAATTAACCTCCCATTCCACCCGTGTAAATACATCTCTCTCCTTAGCTAATGTAACAATAACAACTATTACTACCAAGAACTCCACATCTACCAAGATACCAACGAAACAAAGAACAACAGCTAACCCAAACACAGGCGTCAAAACGACGCCGACAATCACAAGGCCCACCACAAGAACAACCACGACCACAACCACTACTACTACCACTTCCTCCACTAGCACTGAATCGAGCACAACAATCACAAGCGCTACTAACCAGACTAGTAAAAACCAAAAACCAGACACAGAAAGCACCACCTCCCACACCGATGCCACGAGGCGCTATCGCGATGGTGAGAACAATATCACCGATACGCCAACTCTGAGACCCACTATCCCGACGACCATATTGCGAGGGGAAAATATTAGTAGTGACAGTCAAAGGCTTTCCACAACGACGCCAAAAATGAAGACGACCCGGCTAGATACTTCCAACGAAGTCCCAGATACCACAACACCATGGCCAATAGAGTTGCCGACCACGGAGGGCACTACCACGGAGGTCTACAATACCATGATTGCCCCGCTTGGCAACACCACTGACACCTCATTAATTAACCCATGTACAGTAGATACTAACTGTGCTCCTAACGAGCACTGTAAGCTGGGCCATTGCAGTAAGAAAGGTATATTAACTTTATATGTGACATGCACGCCACTTTGGGATTTCACCTTACTATTCCAGTTAAACAAATTAAAGTTTGCACATCTTTGAAATATGAGAAAACATTTAACTGTTGTAAAGTCCCATTCCCAAAGTGGCACTAATACTGTTCAAGTGTACATAAATTCCTATGAATAGGGCTTGTTTTCTGGCATTACCAACTAGTTTTGTTGTAAAAATTGTAAATACTTAGAATAGCCCTTGTACATACTTACGACCTAATCGTTTAAAAAAATCATCATCATTTTATTAACTTTTTAACTCACTAAATCCTTTCTAACAAGTAGAACCACCGGGTTCACCGAAAACCCCGAACCCTGCCAATCTAACAACGACTGCATTGAGAGCGAGGCCTGTTACATGGGACTGTGCCAGGATCCATGCGAGTTTGCCAAGATTTGTGCTGCGACAGCTAAGTGTACGGCCAAGAGTCATCGACCAGTTTGCACATGTCCGCAGGGCCATGAGGGCAATCCGATGGTCAAATGTGTAACCACTCAAACCTCAAGTAAGACACTAATAAATTAATCAACAAACTTCATTTAATGCGTGGGACCAACTACCAAGTCTTAATTTTTAATGCTCCTTTTTTGACTCTTTCGAATAACCTTATAAAACTTATTTCTAGTTGAATGTACTGACAATTCGGACTGCGGAGTCACGGAAGCGTGCATCAACCAGCTTTGTCAACATCCTTGCGATGTCCATGATCCTTGTGCCACGAATGCCGTTTGCATTAACACCAACCATGCAGCCGATTGCAGCTGCGCGGATGGCTTCCAGGGCAACGGATTTGTCGGCTGTCAATCAGGTTAGTATACCCATGATCAACACGACGGCGCACCTATGTTGTCCTCAAAGATATCCTCTGCTAATGTGTCACAATGTCTCGTTTCCAAAAATTTCTTTCTTTCATACACTGTACAAATCCCCGTACACCACGACACTTGTATAAAACTTGTACCGCCCCGACACCAAATCAACTATAAAAACCAACCAACAAACTATAAATACACCCACCGATCCAACCGAATCGCACCGTAACCCTAATCAAAACCACAGCACGTCCCCATGTTTGTCAATACAACGAGGACTGTCCGCCGACTAAGCTCTGCGATCGTCTGAACCGCCGCTGTATCAATCCATGCCAAGAGGACTCTTGCGGCGAGAATGCCGAGTGCATTCCCGTGAACCACGGAACTGATTGTCGCTGCCTTCCTGGATTCCTGGGCAATGCCTATGTGCAATGCCTTCCCAGTCAGGGCTGTCGATCCGATTCAGAGTGCGATTCAAGTCAGGCTTGCATCAACGGAAAGTGTTCATCGCCCTGTCAATGCGGAGCTTTTGCCCTATGCGATGTTATTAATCATCGTGGAGTGTGCAAGTGCCCTCCTGGTTACAACGGAAATCCGCAAGTGGGATGCAGTCCACCGCAAGACCCTTGCGACCCCAATCCATGCGGCTTGAATGCCCTGTGTGAACTTGACAATGGCAATCCCATCTGCTATTGCCCCAAGGGGTTAACCGGAAATCCTTTCAAAAATTGCAGTAAGTATTCAGTATAATTAAGAAAGATAAAACGCTAAAATGTATTTTAAAAACCTTCCAGTTCCTGAGGGAGATGAGTGCACGCCTAATCCCTGTGGCCCCAATTCGGGATGCCGCCGCGTGGATGGCAACCCGATTTGCTTCTGCCTGCCGGAATACGAAGGTCAGCCTCCGTCGATTCCCTGTGAACTACCTTCAAATCCCTGCGATCCGTCGCCTTGTGGACCGAATACCCAGTGCTCCGTACTCAGCAATGGCTTCTCTAAATGCACCTGCCTCCCGAACTATGTGGAGAGCCCGAACACCATCCGAGGCTGCGTTGAACCCATTAACCCATGCGATCCCAATCCTTGTGGAACTGGAGCCATCTGCGATTCATCTCGCCAGCCTGTATGTTACTGTCCGGACAACAAGATTGGAAATCCTTTCAGGCTATGCGACAAACCAGCTGTCACAATTGAACTTTGCCAACCCGGACCCTGTGGCCGAAATGCCGACTGTTATGTAGCTGGAAATCGGGAGGAGTGCTACTGTCGATCAGGGTATGTGGGAGATGCTTATCAAGGATGCCGTGAACCAAGTCGCACCGTATGCGATCCCAACCCCTGCGGACCCAATGCCAATTGCGTTGTGGCAGGTGATGGTCAAACCGCTTGCGTTTGCCCCGATGGCTTATCCGGAGATCCCACATCCCTTATTGGCTGTCACGGCTACGAATGCCAGGTGGATGCCGATTGTCCAAACAGCAAGGCCTGTATGGGCTATCGCTGCTATGACCCCTGTCCAGGAGCCTGTGGTCAAGGAGCCCATTGCCAGGTGGAAGAACACCACCCAGTTTGCTCTTGCAGTGCTGGACTTACTGGCAACCCAGGAGTTCGCTGCTATGCTCTGGATCATCCTCAAAAGAATCCATGCGTTCCAAGCCCATGTGGTAGGAATACTGAGTGCAAGCTGTTGAATAACCGTGCTGTCTGCTCCTGTATCCCAGGTTACTTGGGTGATCCTCAGTCGGGATGCCAACCAGAGTGCGACATCAACTCCGATTGTGGTGATAATTTGTCGTGCATTAATCACAAGTGCGTGGATCCCTGTGCTGGAGCAATCTGCGGCATCAATGCGATCTGCAATGTGCGCCAACACACGCCAGTATGTCTGTGCTTAGACGGATTCGTTGGCGATGCCTTCCTGCAGTGTGTGCCAATTGGAATACTGAAAAACGTTTCGCGTGATCCATGTGCGCCATCGCCCTGTGGACCTCATGATGTTTGCTCGGTGTTTGGTGATGGAGTAGCACTTTGTGATCCCTGTTTCGGACCCAACGCCCAGCAGAATCCCAGATGCCGACCGGAGTGTGTGGCCAATTCCGATTGTCCGTTTGATCGTGCCTGTTTAGGCCAGCGTTGTCTAGATCCCTGCCCCGGATCGTGTGGACGAAATGCTATCTGTAATGTATACGAACATAACCCTGTCTGCGCTTGTCCGACGGGACTCTTTGGAAATCCCTATGAACAGTGTACCACGCAGTCAGTAATTGAGCCACCACCTCAACCAAGTTGCGCCAAGCTCCATTGCGGAGCCAATGCTGAGTGCAAGCGTCAACACAGCGGTCTGGCTTGCGTCTGCCGTAAGGGTTACTTCGGGGATCCACATATTGGTTGCCGGCCACAGTGCGTTCTCAACAGTGATTGTCCTGCTGAGAAGGCCTGTCTGAATTCCAAGTGTGTGGAGGCTTGTGCCGGTGTATGTGGTATTAATGCCGTATGTCGTGTAGTTAACCATGCGCCAGTTTGCATTTGTGCCGAGGGATACAGTGGAGATGCCTCCATTGCCTGTAATCCATTCTACCTACCACCTCCAGTGCGGCCAAATCCATGTGAGCCGTCCCCATGTGGACCGAACTCAAGGTGCAAGACCACCTCTGATGGTTATGCAGCTTGTTCCTGCCTACCGAACTTCAAAGGAGCTCCCCCAGTCTGCCAGCCGGAATGTGTGGTTAGCTCGGAGTGTGCACCAAATCAAGCCTGTCTGAATCACAGGTGTGCTGATCCCTGTCCTGGTATCTGTGGTGGTGGAGCCCGCTGTGAAGTGCTTAACCACAATCCGATCTGCTCTTGTGAGGCGAATTTCGAAGGCGATCCATTCGTTGCTTGCTCGCCCATTCCAGATCCAGGTCGCGACATCGCTGTGCCAAAGAACCCATGCGTGCCATCACCTTGCGGTCCCAACTCCATATGCCAGATCAAACAAAACCGGCCAGTCTGCTCCTGTGTGGCCAACTACATTGGTAGCCCACCGTATTGCCGCCCGGAGTGCACGTTGAGCAGCGAATGTCCGTCGGACAAGGCCTGTATCCAGGAGAAGTGCCAGAATCCATGTGCCAACATCTGTGGTCACAATGCCCGTTGTACGGTCATAGCACACTCCGCCCACTGCAGCTGTGACGAGGATTACGAGGGTGATGCATTCATCGGCTGCTCTAAAAAAGTCGTAGAAGGTTAGCTTAGCTTTTGCATTAAAATTCTAATTATAAATAAAATAATTTATTACTCCAATTCAGTACCGGAAGACCACATCGATCCATGTTATCCCAATCCGTGTGCCGAGAATGCTGTGTGCACTCCTCACAATAATGCTGCTCGCTGTTCCTGCATTGAGCCCTATAATGGTGATCCGTACAGTACAGGATGTCGTCCGGAATGTATATACAGCTCCGAATGTCCATCATCACTGGCCTGCATCAAACAGCATTGTCGCGATCCTTGCACGGCTGCTTGCGGAGCCAATGCCGAGTGCTCCGTGGTGAACCACTTGCCCTCGTGCAGTTGCACCCGAGGATTCGAAGGTAATCCGTTTGAGGGATGCAAGCGTGTGGCAATTATAAGCGTGAGCGTGTGTGAGCCAAATCCCTGTGGACCTAATAGTATCTGTCGCACCGTCGAGGGACATCCCACGTGCAGCTGCCAAGTTGGTTACTTCGGAGCTCCGCCTTCGTGCCGACCCGAATGTGTGGTTAGCTCAGAGTGTGCTCAGAATTTGGCTTGCATCAACCAAAAGTGTGTCGATCCATGTACGGAAACTTGCGGATTTAATGCCAAGTGCCAAGTGAACAACCACAATCCCATCTGCTCATGTCCAGTCAACTACGTTGGTAATCCATTCGAGCAATGTGTGCCTAAATGTAAGTTTAAAATTTATTATTTTAAGCTGTAAAAATTTATATTTATTAAAAATTAAAAACCGTTGCAGCTCCGGAACCGACACGAAACGTGGATCCCTGCCTGCCCAGTCCATGTGGTTCCAATTCCGTTTGTCGAAATGTTAACAATAGAGCTGAGTGCTCTTGTGCACCAGGAATGTTTGGTGCGCCACCAAATTGCCGACCGGAGTGTGTGATTAACCAGGATTGTCCATCGAATCGTGCTTGTATACGCCAGCGATGCGAAGATCCCTGTATTGGAATTTGTGGGTTCAATGCTGTGTGCTCCACTCAGCACCATAAGCCCAAATGCAGTTGCATTGAGAGCTTCGAAGGTGATCCGTACACCGCTTGCAGAATGAGAGAAAGTGAGTACACTTTTGGACTATTTGCTATCCTTTCCAAGAGCACGGATATGTGCTCGAGACGCGCCCTTAATGTTAAATGTTCCTTTCAGTGGTGCTCTAGAAGTATTGGTATTGTGGTGTACATCTTATGCATGTTCCTCGTATTGTGTACATATTATGGATTTCATCTATATATCTTTCTATTCTATTATTTATTAGTTTTACTTAGTTTTAAGTCTATTATGTTTGTACATTCCTCTGTATGCATCCGCATTGCCTGCTTGCTTTTTTCATGACCATGACAGTCGTGGTGCCAGATCCACCCTCCGATCCATGCTACCCATCGCCATGTGGTGCGAATGCCATTTGTCGCGTGCGCAATGGAGCCGGCTCCTGCACTTGCATCCAGAACTATTTCGGTGATCCCTACATCAACTGCCGTCCGGAGTGCGTGCAGAATAGCGATTGTCCCGGCAACCGTGCCTGTATAAATATGAAATGCCGCGATCCGTGCGCCAATGCCTGCGGTTTCAATGCAATCTGTCGGGTGGCTCACCATCAGCCCGTTTGTAGTTGTGAACCAGATTTCACCGGCAATCCGCTACGAGCATGCGTCAAGAGACCTTCAAGTATGACTTTGTCCTGGGGTGGGTCGACTTGAAGAGAACACGAATTGTAGTTACTTTATAATCTTTATTCTCTAAAAGTTGGTTTTAAGGCTGAAATAATTTCTTAAAGTAGGAAAAACTGAACTGTAATCTATGAGTTCAGATCTCATTCGTCTTCTCTGGATTCCACCAATCAAATCGACCCACCTCTCAGCAACCTTTAGACCAGAATTCTTGATCTAACTGTTTTGCCCTCCTCCTCATAGATATGTACCTGCCCCTGCCAAAAGACCCTTGTAGACCCTCTCCTTGTGGCTTATTCAGTACTTGTCATGTGGTTGGAGATCGTCCCGTATGTGCCTGCTTGCCAGATTACATGGGCGCTCCACCCAACTGCAGACCTGAGTGCATGACCAGTGCCGAGTGTCCCTCGGATAGGGCCTGCATAAACCAACGCTGCAAAGATCCTTGTCCAGGAACATGTGGTTACAATGCCCGCTGTCGGTGCACTAATCACTCGCCAATCTGCAGTTGTTACGATGGGTACACTGGTGATCCGTTCCACCAGTGCGTGCCTGAAAGAAGTAGGTTCCCTTTCCCATTTTCTCCATGGACAATTTTAAACTAAGAGTATAATAATTGTAGAACCACCACCGCCAATAACCGATCCCATTGTTCCGCCTAATCCGTGTGTGCCGTCACCTTGTGGACCCAACTCTCAATGTCAGGTATCGAGCAGCGGAGCAGTCTGCTCCTGCGTGACTAATTACATAGGACGTCCACCTGGTTGTCGACCAGAGTGCAGCATTAATTCCGAATGCCCGGCTAGAATGGCCTGTATTAATGCTCGATGTGCAGATCCATGCATCGGATCATGTGGAAATAACGCACTTTGCCATGTCAGCCTGCATGCCCCGGTTTGCATGTGCGCACCAGGTTTCTCTGGTGATCCATTCTCCGGTTGCTACAAGATCATAGAAAGTAGGTTTTTGTTAGGGTTTCTTAAAATAGATACTTATTCCCATATTTGCCCCGCCTATACAGCCCCCATTGAGGTGATCCAACCCTGTCGTCCCAGTCCTTGCGGATTGAATGCTCTTTGCGAGGAGCGGAATCAAGCTGCTGCCTGCAAGTGTTTGCCGGAATACTTTGGCGATCCGTATGTAGAGTGTCGCCCCGAGTGCGTCATCAACTCGGATTGTCCCAGGTCTCGTGCCTGCGTCAACCAGAAGTGCGTGGATCCTTGTCCAGGAATGTGCGGTCACAATGCACTATGCGCCGTCTTTAACCACGCCCCTAACTGCGAGTGCCTACCAGGCTACACGGGCAACCCCATCGTTGGTTGCCACCTCGTCCCTGAAACTCCGCGCTGTAAGATCTCATAAAAATTTCGATAGCAGTGATGGGAAGTACCTAGGTAGATAGTGTTTTCAGGCTCTTGTTCAAAAATGGATATGCATTTGTTGATTTTATATTGTTTCGAAATGTCTACCTTGGTATCCTTTCCTCCACTGCAAGTTAGGCCCAACGTTAGGAACCATATTAATTGTAGCATTTCCTACGCGTGTAGATCCTGACCCCATAGTGCCAGAAAACCCTTGCCAGCCCTCGCCCTGCGGTCTGTACAGTAACTGTCGTCCTGTCAATGGACATGCAGTGTGCTCCTGTGTGCCCAACTACATTGGTTCCCCTCCTAACTGCCGGCCCGAGTGCATGAGCAGCTCGGAGTGCGCGCAGGATAAGTCGTGCCTCAACGAACGCTGCAAGGATCCCTGTCCAGGCACCTGCGGCAACAATGCTCTTTGCCGCGTAGTTAACCACAACCCCATCTGTTCCTGCAGCCCCGGCTTCAGTGGTGATCCCTTCGTGCGCTGCTTCCCACAAGAGAGTAAGCATCGACAAGCAGTCGAAGGAAGCTTAACTTCGGAGAGCCGAAGATTTAAATCCCCCTGCAGTGAAACCATTTCCGTTAGATGAAGTTCCTTAAATTTTATATTTTTTCCGTTCTTTTTAAAAAAATTATAGTATGGAAATGGATCAAAAAGTGTCACTTTAATACAGATTATTAAAGATTATCTGCAGGGGTATTTAAGCTAACCATTCATCGAATCATTTTATCATCTGAGAGAACTTAAGGTCCTCAATTCATTTCATACCATGCTTGACAACATTATACCCATCCTCTATATATATTTTTCCATTATGTTTATTTCTTTTATATGTACTCTATGTATGGCTTATTTTGGTGCATGATGATTATCGTACTTGGTGTAATGTGATGGTTATAATTGGTGAAAGTAGAGCGGCCACCTATCACCGAGGATCACATTGATCCGTGTGTACCCTCGCCATGTGGGCCCAACTCTCAGTGCCGGGTGTCGGCTGCCAATGAGCAGGCTGTTTGCTCATGCTTGCAGCATTATGTGGGTAGGGCGCCAAATTGCCGGCCGGAGTGCACCTCGGACTCCGAGTGTCCCGGCAATTCGGCCTGCATAAATCTGCGCTGCCGGGATCCGTGTGTGGGTACCTGCGGCATCCAGACCACTTGCCTTGTAAATAATCATAGACCCATTTGCCGCTGTATTGACGGCTATACAGGGGACCCATTCTCAGAGTGTAGTCCGAAGAGTAAGGGAACCGAAAGCTTAGCTTTCCAGCCAGATACTAAACCTTGACCTTTCCCTTATCCTTAGTTGTTGTTCCGCCAGAGGTGGCACAACCTTGCAACCCGAGTCCCTGCGGTGCCAATGCAGTGTGTAAGGAGCGTAATGGAGTTGGCTCCTGCTCTTGCTTGCCGGAGTATAATGGAGACCCGTACACGGAATGCCGCCCGGAGTGCGTGCTGAATAGTGACTGCTCGAAGAACCGTGCCTGCCTGAACAACAAGTGCCGCGATCCCTGTCCGGGCGTCTGTGGCGTCTCCGCCGAGTGTCATGTGATTAATCACGCCCCAAGCTGCAGTTGTCCAAACGGATTTACGGGCAATCCCTCGCAATACTGTCGGGAGATACCAAAATGTAGGAAGTAGTTCCGCCTAGGGTGGGTCGAGTTTTTCGGACACGATTTTTAGTTTTCAAGGAAAAAGTTTAAATTCCTATTGTATCACTAACTAATATTGCATTTTGGCATATGAATTTAGTAAGTTTTCACACGAATTCCTTAAAATCGACCCACTCTACCTATTTTCAAGATAGGTTTAATAACGATCACCCTGAATTTTAGTACCCGCACCCGTTGAACCGTGTCGTCCTTCGCCTTGTGGTCCCTATAGTCAGTGCCGTGAGGTGAACGGACATGCGGTCTGCTCCTGCGTCACCAATTATATTGGCACTCCGCCAGCCTGTCGTCCAGAGTGCTCGGTTAGCTCCGAATGTGCACAGGACAGGGCGTGTGTGAACCTACGCTGTGTAGACCCTTGTCCTGGCACCTGTGGCAATGAGGCCATCTGTAAGGTGACCAACCACAATCCTATCTGCTCCTGCCCAGCCGGCTATAGCGGTGATCCCTTCGTGCGCTGTGCACCATGGCAGGATATACCTGATCAGCCGAAATCCAATGAGAATCCCTGCGTGCCCAGTCCATGCGGACGCAATTCTCAATGCCGTGTCGTGGGTGAGACGGGTGTGTGCTCATGCCTGCCCAATTTCGTGGGCAGGGCGCCCAATTGTAGGCCAGAGTGCACAATAAACACCGAATGTCCTGCCACATTGGCCTGTATTAATGAGCGCTGTCAGGACCCCTGTCCAGGATCATGTGGCTTCAATGCCTACTGCAATGTGGTGAATCATTCGCCCGTTTGCTCCTGCGACAATGGCTTTATTGGTGATCCTTTCGCCGGTTGTAATCCACAACGTAAGCTTTCTTCTTAGAGTCGATTAGAACGATACCTAATTCCCTTTATGGCCCCCAGCTCCAACCGTACCCGATGAGCATCTGACTCCCTGCCAACCATCACCCTGTGGCCCCAATGCCGAGTGCCGTGAGCGCAACGGAGCCGGCTCCTGTACTTGTTTGCCGGAATATTTCGGTGATCCGTACAGTGGCTGTCGCCCGCAGTGTGTTGTGAACAGTGATTGTTCGCGCGACAAGTCGTGTGTTAACCAGAAATGTGTGGACCCATGTCCAGGTGTTTGTGGCTTGAATGCTCAATGTCGTGTGTCCAATCATCTGCCCAGTTGCACTTGCATAGCCGGATACACCGGAAATCCATCGAGTGCTTGCCGTGAAATTCCACAACTGCCCCCACCACGTAGGTTTACCACTTACTCCTGGAATATGAAAACAATCCAACTGATTCCAACTCCCACTTTCCCAGCTGAACGGGATGAGAACCCTTGTAGACCTTCTCCCTGCGGTCCCTACAGTCAATGCCGTGAGGTTAACGGCCATGCCGTGTGCTCCTGCCTTCAGGGCTTCATCGGCTCAGCCCCCAACTGTCGGCCCGAGTGCATCATTAGCTCGGACTGCGCCCAAGATCGCAACTGTCAAAATCAGAAGTGTGTGGACCCGTGTCCGGGCACTTGTGGCATCGAGGCCCGCTGCCAGGTCATAAATCACTATCCCGCATGCTCGTGTGCCCCAGGTTTTACCGGAGATCCCTTCAACCGGTGCACTAAGATATTATGTAAGCATGATTAGCTAAATGGATGAGGAGTACAAGTCAAAGGGGGGAAGATTCCTTAATAATACTTTACAATTTCTTAATTTCTGCCTTTGTATTTCCTATCTAATGAGTAAAATGAGTATAAAACCTTGAAAGCACGGTATAAAATCGATCCCCACTTGGCTTGACACCCACCAATATTTCTTCCTCCTGCATGTATATACACTATTTAATGTTTGATTTTCTATTCTCTATTTATGTTTTGTTTTATTTTATGTACACTTTGTAAACCACTATCCAACTATACTATCCTATGAACCTATGTAAATGTTTGTCTAAATGTGCTATGAACCTACTACAACTTTCTGGCATGGCCAAATGGCATGTAGTGGAGCCCCCACCCACCGATAAGTCTGGTAATCCCTGCATCCCCTCACCGTGCGGACCCAACTCGAAATGCCTCGATGTCCGCGGTTCGCCTGCATGCTCCTGTTTGCCCGAATACCTAGGACGTCCGCCAAACTGCCGGCCCGAGTGCCTCAGTAGTGCTGACTGTCCGGCGAATCTAGCCTGTGTTAACCAGCGCTGCTCGAATCCATGCATCGGCGCCTGTGGCCTGCACTCCGTGTGCACGGTCATCAAACACCGACCAGCATGCGAGTGTGTGCCTGGTTACACCGGAGATCCCTTCTCCGGCTGTGCTATCGTACAGCAAAGTAATATATCTCTGCCTGCTAACGTATTAATGATTAATCATTAACGAACCTATAAAATTTTTCCATCTCTTCTTTAGTTACTCCGAAGGATGAACCAAGAAACCCTTGCAATCCTAGCCCTTGTGGAGCAAATGCGATTTGTAGGGAGCGCAATGGAGCTGGCTCCTGCGCTTGCCTGCCAGAGTACTTTGGTGATCCGTACAGCGGTTGCCGACCGGAATGCGTCCAGAACGATGACTGTGATCGCTCACGTGCCTGCATCAACAACAAGTGCCAGGATCCATGCCCTGGAGCGTGTGGCATTAATGCCGAGTGTAGGGTCTTGAATCATGGACCCAACTGCAACTGTTTCGATGGCTATACCGGAGATCCACATCGCTCTTGCTCGCCGATCGAGGTGGTTACGTTGCGACCAGAGAACCCGTGCCAGCCTTCACCATGCGGACCTTATAGTCAGTGCTTGGACACCAACAGCCACGCGGTATGCAGCTGCCTGGAGGGCTACATCGGAGCTCCCCCAAGCTGCAAACCGGAGTGCGTTGTCAGTTCCGAGTGTCCTCAAAACAGGGCGTGCATTAACCAGAAATGCGAGGATCCATGCCGCGGATCGTGCGGTAATAATGCTAAGTGTCAAGTGGTTAACCACAATCCGATTTGTACGTGCCAGGCGGGCATGACAGGAGATCCGATCTCTGGTTGTGAACCCGCTCCTGATATCAGGAACGTAGACGATCCATGCGTGCCTTCGCCATGTGGACCTAACTCCAATTGCCGCAAAATTGGCAACCAGGCAGCTTGTTCCTGCAAAACTAGCTTTATTGGAAGACCTCCCACTTGCCGACCAGAATGTACGAACAACGACGAGTGCCAAAATCATCTGTCTTGCCAGCAGGAACGCTGTGTTGATCCATGTCCCGGCTCGTGCGGTAGTAATGCCGTATGCCAGGTTGTCCAGCATAACGCTGTATGTTCCTGTGCCGATGGATACGAAGGAGAACCGCTCTTTGGCTGTCAGTTAATACCAGCTGTTACGCCCACAGAATCTCCAACATCGCCTTGTGAACCGTCCCCTTGCGGTCCGCATGCTGAGTGTCGGGAAAGGAATGGAGCTGGAGCATGTTACTGCCATGAGGGCTTCGAGGGTAATCCTTATGATGTCCAACGAGGATGCCGAAGAGAATGTGAGAACAACGATGACTGCTCCGCTGTGCAAGCTTGCTCTCGGTACAAGTGCGTCGATCCTTGCAACAATATCTGCGGTGACTACGCCATTTGCACAGTTGACAAACATGTGCCCACTTGTGACTGCCCGCCTGGATACACTGGAGATCCATTCTTCAGCTGTAAGCCTGTGCCGGTTACTCCTCGTCCTCCGTTAAACCCATGTAATCCATCGCCCTGCGGACCTAACAGCAACTGCCGTGCCATGAACAACCAAGCGGTGTGCTCCTGCCAGGCTGGATTCATCAATCAGCCGCCGAACTGCAAACCTGAGTGCGTGGTTAGTGCCGAATGTGCTCCAGAAAGGGCCTGTGTGAACAAGAAGTGTGTGGATCCCTGTCTACACACTTGCGGCATCCGAGCCATATGCACCACCAAGAACCACAGCCCTATCTGCACATGTCCACGTACTATGACTGGAGATCCGTTTGTCGAGTGCACTAAAGTTGGTAAGTGTTTTACAAACTTCATATATATTTTGGAAAACAAACACTAATATTAAATTTCCATAGCCATTACCAATGACAATACCACACCATCACCGCCACCGGCATCATGTGTGCCTTCTCCTTGTGGACCAAACGCCAAGTGCCAGATTGTGGGCAATAGTCCAGCCTGCTCCTGCTTGCCTAACTTTATCGGAGCACCACCTCGCTGTCGCCCAGAGTGCGTGTTGAACTCTGAATGTGGACCCACGGAAGCGTGTATCAACCAGAAATGTGCCGATCCTTGTTCTGGATCATGTGGATTCGAGGCCAAGTGCCATGTACTTAACCACCTGCCCATTTGCAACTGTATCGAGGGCTACGAGGGAGATCCGTTCGTGCGGTGCACCAAGAAGGAAGAAGAAAGAACTCCACCACCTCCCAATGATCCATGCAATCCGAGCCCTTGCGGTCTAAATGCCGATTGCTTTGCCGGAGAGTGTCGCTGCCAGAATAATTACCAAGGAAATGCCTATGAGGGCTGCCGTCCAGAGTGCACACTTTCGGCGGATTGCCCCAGGGATAAGGCCTGTATGCGCAACCGCTGTGTGGATCCATGCCCTGGAATCTGCGGCAACAATGCCATGTGCGAGGTAATGAACCACATTCCGGTGTGCTCATGCGTGCAAGGCTACGAGGGTGATCCATTTGTGAACTGCCGTGTGAAACCCATCGTGGAGGATCCCGTTGTTGAAGCTTGCTCTCCATCGCCATGCGGTTCAAACAGCCAGTGCCGAGATGTCAACGGACATGCGGTGTGCTCTTGCCTGGAAGGTTATATCGGAGCACCACCTCAGTGCCGACCCGAGTGTGTGGTCTCTAGCGAGTGTTCCGCTCTGCAAGCCTGTGTCAACAAGAAGTGCGTGGATCCATGCGCTGCTGCCTGTGGTTTGGAGGCTCGTTGTGAAGTCATCAACCACAGTCCGATCTGTGGCTGCCCACCGGGACGAACTGGTGATCCGTTTAAGCAGTGCGTAGTCCTGCCTCCGATACCCGTTCCGGATGTTAAGACACCGCCTCAAGATCCTTGTCTGCCCTCACCTTGTGGACCAAACTCAATGTGCAAGCCCGATAGGAATGGACCAATCTGCCAGTGTCTACCCGAGTTCTTTGGCTCGCCACCCAACTGCAGGCCCGAGTGCATCATCAATCCGGACTGTCAATCAACGCAGGCGTGCATCAACAACAAGTGCACCAATCCTTGCCCAGAATCGTGTGGAACTAATGCCGAGTGTCGTGTCATCGGACACGCCGTGTCTTGCTCTTGTCCAGCTGGATATGCTGGCAATGCATTCGTTCAATGTGTACCGCAGCAGGAAGAGCCGCCGAAGCCATGCCAACCATCGCCATGTGGACCGAATGCCGAATGCATTGAGCGTAATGGAGCAGCTGCCTGCAAGTGTATTGATGAATACCAAGGAAATCCCTACGAGGGATGTCGTCCGGAATGCGTTCTGAGCTCAGATTGTTCCACGGACAAGACGTGCATCCGCAACAAGTGCCAGGATCCTTGTCCTGGAATTTGTGGATTGAACGCCCAGTGCTATGCTGTAAACCATGTGCCAAACTGTGTCTGCAACGACGGCTATACTGGAGATCCATTCGCCAGTTGTCGCCGAGTAGAGGTTTCAACTCCTCCACCAGTCGCTGATCCCTGTATTCCATCTCCTTGTGGAGCCAACAGCAAATGCAGGGTGGCCAACAATTTGGCCGTGTGCTCCTGCTTGGATACCTTCATTGGAGCGCCACCAAACTGCAAACCAGAGTGCACTGTTAATGCCGAGTGTCCTTCGACCAAGGCGTGTCACAAGTTCCGCTGCGCTAACCCTTGCGCTAAGACGTGCGGTCTGAATGCCAAGTGTGAGGTGATAAACCATAATCCGATCTGCAGTTGTCCATTGGACATGACGGGCGATCCATTCTCTCGCTGCTATCCAGCTCCTCCACCACCGCCGCCTGGACCTAAGGATGAGCCTGTAAGAAGACCCTGCCAGCCCTCGCCTTGTGGATTGAACTCCGAATGTAGGGTGCGGGATGACCAGGCCTCCTGTTCATGCCTGCCAAACTTTATTGGAGCTCCACCTAACTGTCGTCCCGAGTGCGTTGTAAACACAGATTGTTCGCCAGACCGAGCTTGTATTGCCGAAAAGTGCCGCGATCCTTGTGATGGATCCTGCGGACTGGACTCGGAATGTCGTGTCCAGAACCACTTAGCTATCTGTACTTGTCGTGGAGGATTCACCGGGGATCCGTTCGTACGTTGCATCGAGTTTATCGAAGAGACCACAAAGTCACCACCACTCGAACAAGATCCGTGCGATTTGCAGCCATGTGGATCGAATGCCCAGTGCAGAAATGGAATCTGTAGCTGTATACCGGAATACCAGGGAGATCCATACACTGGCTGTCGCCCAGAGTGTACTTTGAGTACGGACTGTCCACCTACTAAGGCCTGCTTGAACAAGAAATGTGTGGATCCCTGCCCTGGAGTTTGTGGTCAGAACTCACAGTGTGACGTTTCGAACCATATACCTATTTGCAGTTGCCTGCAAGGTTACACAGGAGATCCGTTTGTTCACTGCCGCCAAGAGACGCCAGTTCCAAAGGACCCATGCCAACCAAACCCCTGTGGACCCAATAGCTTGTGCCACATTTCCGGCCAAGGACCAGTCTGTGCTTGTCAACCAGGAATGCTGGGCTCACCGCCAGCTTGTAAGCCGGAATGCATTGTCAGTTCTGAGTGCTCGCTGCATACTGCTTGTGTGAACAGAAAGTGCGTGGATCCGTGCCCCGGAGCCTGCGGACAGTTTGCCCGCTGCCAAGTGATCAACCACAACCCGTCATGCTCTTGTAACACAGGCTATACGGGTGATCCGTTCACACGCTGCTACCAGGAAGAACGGAAACCGTTACCTACGCCGGAGTTCCCATGTCAGCCATCGCCTTGCGGACCTAATTCCGAATGCAAGGTGCTGAATGGAAATGCAGCGTGCTCTTGTGCAGCAACCTTCATTGGAACGCCACCTAGCTGCAGACCTGAGTGCTCTATAAATCCGGAATGTCCACCAACCAAGGCCTGTATTCGCCAAAAGTGCTCCGATCCGTGTGTTAATGCGTGTGGATTCAATGCCCGTTGTAATGTGGCCAATCATCAACCCATCTGCACTTGCGATGTGGGCTATACTGGAGATCCGTTCACTGGCTGTCAGAAGGAGCAAGGTAGGACCCCATTTTTATTAACTTGTTCTGTTAGGCCAAGGCGTAAACCAGCTTATAAACGTTAATTTGTGGTTTTGGCTGCTTACTGGGCGCCCAGTACAACACTTGCTATTATTAAAATCAAACAGCACAGCCAAAATATTTGTTTACGCCTTGCAAAGATTTAACAATATGTGAAACTATTGAAAAAACCTCAGTATATTGGCTTGACCTAAAAAAAAGGAATTAAATGGAGAACCCATGAAACTCAGTGAAATTCCCCTGTTACGCTAGATTTATAGACCCCTTTAAAAGCAAGTTTCACATTTGTTACAAACGCATTAGAATAAATGAAGAAATGATCACTTGAAAGACAATTGCAATCGTTGTAATTGTTTATAATGTATGTTTTTTTGCACTGTTTGTTTGCACTTATGTTTATCACATCATCCGCGTGACTTGTTCTAATGTGTTCTTAGGCAGTTATATTTTACCACACAATTTACATTCATTAAAGTTTATGATTACCGCACGCACAGGCACAATGCATTGCATAATAAGGAGTGTTCCAATTATGTTTTTTGACACAAAATCACAAAGCACTCAAAAATGCGAAATGCAATTTTCAATACAGCACGCACTCTGTACGAGTTGTCTGAGTGAACGTGCTATTGAAAGTGTCTGTATGCTGGGATAGTCAAAGATTTTAATTAGTTTTAGTCAATTATTTATTTGCTTATTATTGCCCCTAACGCCTCAATTACAATATGCAAACTTGCCACGCCTTATTGCTTCCTTATATAAAACCTATAATGCCTTTACACCAATTTACCCGCCTTGATTATTGCCTTTAACCCTTGATGATTTATCGTTGTTGCCTCCAAAAGTATTACCCTGCGCCCTTTTGTTGTTGTATCCGATATTTGGGGGATAATATTTGCGAAATGCTTTACCTAATTCGTTATTTGGCCCAAAAACACAAAAGCCCCTGTCTCTCCACTCGCTTACTACCCAAAAATTGATCCTAACCCATTTACCCGAAATTGAGTACTGCGTTGTTGTTTATTACCCTGACCTGACCCTCAACCAAAATTCTGACTGCGTCTGCCAAAGAAATTAACCAAATACTAGTCGAAAATCAAACCAAAAACCGTGTTAGCACTTAATTAGAAAACTAAAATAGTTTAACATTGTAGCGTATGCGAATTGTTTAACAATGAACAATAAATCAAATGATATAACCCCGCAAAAGAACACTTGTTTTACTTACGACACAAAAACATAACTCAATGCCAATTTTTGATTGGCAAATCGCACTTACATAACACTGCCAAAGCACTCAGCACACAGAGTTTAACAAAACTAAATGAAGTAGTTTTCGAACTGCTGCACCTGAACCGCAATATCCTTCGTTCGAAGCGATTATGCCAACACCTAACTCTTACTTGTACTCTAATCCGCTACAATAATACCACCACTGCAATCGGATTAATCAGCTGAAAAACCAACGCCAGGTGTGTTGTACCGTACTAAAACCGATTTACTCGAGATCAATTAATGAAAATATCTGTCCACGTTTCTACTCCCTCTTTTCTTGGATCAAATCCGTTTACCGTCCAATATAGAGCGCATTGTCAATGAACAGATCACCCCCTGCGAACCCAATCCTTGTGGCTCGAATGCTGTTTGTCGCGAAAGAAATGGCATCGGTTCCTGCCAGTGCCTGCCCGAATACTTTGGTGACCCATATCAGTCATGTCGTCCAGAGTGCGTACGTCACTCAGACTGCGCCTCTAATAAGGCGTGCCAGCAGCAGAAATGTCGCGACCCCTGCCCAGGCACTTGCGGCAGCAATGCGGACTGCAGTGTAACGAACCACCTGCCCACATGCACATGCCGCATTGGATTCACTGGTGACCCGTACCGCTACTGCCATGTGGAACCACCCCAGCGTAAGATAACCCAACCTTTAAGTACCTCTTTTGCGACCCTGACCTTGGACCCATTTGTAGTCCCTGCTCGTGTGACTGAACCAACTCAACCCTGTCGCCCCTCGCCGTGTGGACCCAACTCCCAGTGTCGCGAACTCAACGGCCAAGCCGTCTGCTCCTGCCTTGAGCTCCATATCGGTCTGCCACCTAACTGCAGACCCGAGTGTGTGTTAAGTACCGAATGTCCCATCGATAAGGCATGTATCAGTCAACGTTGTCAGGATCCTTGCCCAGGCACTTGTGGCATCAATGCCGAGTGCCGGGTGCGTAATCACAGCCCTCTGTGTCAGTGTCGTCAAGGTTTCACCGGTGATTCCTTTACTCGATGCTATACCCTGCCACGTAAGAGATTGTGTCTTATTCTTACCACAACCCCAAAATAATCGTAATGACCAAACTAGCCCCACCACCTGTAATCGAACGTGTTGAACGTGATCCTTGCCTGCCATCACCGTGCGGTTTGAATAGTCAGTGCCGGAATGTCCAGGGTGTGCCATCCTGTTCCTGTCTGCCAGAATTCTTGGGGGTACCACCGAACTGTCGACCCGAGTGCACAATCAGTGCCGAGTGTCCCTCTAATCTGGCTTGCATAAGAGAGAAGTGTATAGATCCCTGCCCCGGTTCCTGTGGCTATGCAGCCGAGTGTAATGTGGTAAACCACACACCCATTTGCGTGTGTCCAGCTGGCTTTACGGGTGACCCATTCAGTAGCTGTCGTCTAGCGCCTCCGCCGGAGCCAGTGCAAAGTAAGAAATCTGGAAAAGAACCAAACAATAACTCGTTAAACAAAAAAAAACTACTTAATAGACGAATATGTGGATCCCTGCAATCCATCACCATGTGGCCCCAATGCCCAGTGCAACGCTGGAGTCTGCACTTGTTTGTCTGAATTCCATGGTGATCCCTACTCTGGATGCCGACCCGAGTGCGTTCTTAGTTCCGACTGTCCCCGGGACAAGGCTTGCCAGCGCAGCAAATGCGTGAACCCCTGTCCGGGAACTTGTGGCGAGAATGCCATTTGCGATGTCATTAATCACATACCCATGTGCAGATGCCCCGAACGCACTGCTGGCAGCGCGTTCATTCGCTGTTCTCCTGTGCAGAGTACGTCAAAATTGTTACCTTTTTTAAAGGTTCATCTTAATACCCCATCCATAGTTCTAGTATCTAATCCCTGCCTACCGTCACCGTGTGGTCCCAACTCTCAGTGCCGCGAGGTCAATCAGCAAGCGGTTTGCTCCTGCCTGCCTAGCTTTATTGGAGCTCCACCATCCTGCCGACCCGAATGCACTTCGAACGCGGAGTGTGCACCCACTCAATCATGCCTTAATCAACGGTGTGGAGATCCCTGCCCCGGTACATGTGGAGTCGGTGCAAATTGTGCTGTTGTCAGCCATAGTCCCTTCTGCACGTGTCCTGAGAGGTTTACGGGTAATCCATTTATTCGTTGTCAGCCCCAGAGTAAGGATATTATGTCAGCCAACGAGTCTCCTTTACAAGAGTTACCTTTCCCAGTTGAACCTGTTCGTGATGTTACTCCCGTCGATCCATGTCGTCCATCTCCTTGTGGACCTTACTCCCAGTGCCGCCCAGTAGGTGAGGCTCCTGCCTGTTCCTGTCTGGAAACCTATATCGGACGTCCTCCAAACTGCCGACCCGAGTGTGTGACCAGCTCTGACTGCGCCAGTCAACTGGCATGTGTCAACCAGAAGTGCGTCGATCCATGTCCAGGACGCTGTGGTGTAAATGCCGAATGCCATGTGGTCAGTCATGCTGTGCAATGCATCTGCCAGCAGGGCTTTAGCGGAGATCCGTTTGTGCAGTGCAGACCAGAAATCGCGTATGAAAACGAAATCCGCACTCCATGCAGCCCAAGTCCGTGTGGACCGAATGCCGTATGCCGCGATCGCAACGGAGTTGGATCCTGCCAGTGTTTGCCAGACTATTTTGGAGATCCCTATGGGGGCTGTCGCCCGGAGTGCATGCTTGATTCGGACTGTCCGTCAAACAGGGCTTGTCAACAACTGAGATGCCAGGATCCGTGTCCAGGAACTTGTGGTCTTAATGCCAACTGCCAAGTGGTAAACCATTTGCCAACCTGTAGTTGTCTAACCGGATATGTCGGTGACCCATACCGTCAATGTAATCGACAGCCTGAACGTAAGCAGACACCTGGAAAATCTTCGATCCCCTTTCTCAAGTCCACAATTTCAGCACCTCAAAACGAATATGTGAATCCTTGTCAGCCCAACCCATGTGGTCCCAACTCACAATGTCGTGTTTCAAATGAGCAAGCGGTTTGCTCGTGTCTGCCCCAGTTTGTGGGAACACCACCATCCTGCCGACCCGAGTGCACCATCTCTTCAGAGTGTCCAGTAGATAGGGCGTGTGTCAATCAGAAGTGCGTGGATCCCTGTGCCGCGGATAATTGCGGTAATAGTGCTATATGCAGGGTGCGCAATCACAGCCCCATATGCAGCTGTATCAGCGGTTTTACAGGCGACGCTTTTACTCGTTGCTTCCCCATTCCACGTAAGGCTTATTCTCTCAACGCTTTGGTAAAATATAGTAAACCCTCCCGTAAAACAGCACCGATTATTGAGACCAAGGACGAACCTCTGAGGGATCCCTGTATACCAACACCCTGTGGCCCTAATTCCGAGTGCCGTGATATCAATGGTTTGCCTGCCTGTTCTTGTCTTGCAAACTATATTGGTCAGGCTCCCAACTGTCGTCCAGAGTGCACAATAAACTCGGAATGTCCGAGTCAGCTGGCGTGTATTAACCAAAAGTGTCGCGATCCATGCCCAGGAGCCTGCGGACAAAATGCTGTTTGCAGTGTCATCAATCATACACCACTCTGCGCCTGCATCGATGGTTACATAGGAAATCCATTTACCAACTGCAACCCCAAACCTCCACAAAGTAGGTTTCTAAAGCGTTCATATAGGTTTGCTGATTTCTTACCCTCTTCCATATATTTCCTTTTATAGTCACAACACCACCAGTTGCCGACGATCCTTGCAACCCATCGCCCTGCGGAGCTAATGCTCTTTGTCGAAATGGCCAATGCACTTGTATACCCGAATATCAGGGAGATCCTTATGTCTCCTGCCGACCGGAGTGCGTACTGAATACAGATTGCCCAAGAGATCGGGCCTGTGCTCGCAACAAGTGTATCGATCCCTGCCCTGGAACTTGTGGGGTTAACGCCTTGTGCGAGGTTACCAACCATATTCCCATTTGTCGCTGCCCAGAACAAATGTCCGGCAATGCATTCTTTGAATGTCGCCCTGTGCCGCCTGCTAAGATTCAAGATCCTTGCCAGCCATCGCCTTGCGGTCCAAACAGTCAGTGCCGGGTGGTACAACAGACCGCTGTATGCTCCTGTTTGGCTAACTATGTGGGCAGTCCGCCGCAGTGTCGACCGGAGTGTGTAACAAACTCAGACTGTCCTGCCGATCAAGATTGCCAGAATATGAAGTGTCGCGATCCCTGTCCTGGCACGTGTGGCTTCAATGCCCTATGCAACGTGGTTAACCACCGTCCCTTCTGCACCTGCCCCAATCGCATGACCGGAAATCCATTCGTGAGCTGTCAGCAGCTAAGTAAGCCACCATGGTTATTTAATCATTCTTCTGTGCTCAAGTCTGAAGTTCTTTCAGTAATACGCGATGAAAGACCACAGAATCCTTGCCAGCCTTCACCATGTGGTCCTAACTCTGAATGTCGCGTATCAGGTGAATCGCCATCCTGTTCATGCCTACCCGAATTCATAGGAGCTCCGCCAAACTGCCGACCGGAGTGCATATCAAACTCTGAATGTCCCACAAACCAAGCCTGTATTAATAGGAAATGCGTGGATCCCTGTCCAGGATTGTGTGGTCAAAATGCCAATTGCCGAGTGTTCAGTCATAGTGCCATGTGCTTGTGTGACAGTGGTTTTACCGGAGATCCGTTTAGTCAGTGCAGTCCAATTAGAGATACTCCTCCTGAAGTTCTGCAGCCCTGCAACCCTAGTCCTTGCGGCGTGAATGCCAAATGCGAGGAGCGTGGTGGTGCAGGATCTTGCCAGTGTCTACCTGACTACTTTGGAAATCCCTATGATGGCTGTCGTCCCGAATGCGTTCTGAACTCTGACTGCCCCTCGAATTTGGCATGCGTGAACCAGAAATGTCGCGATCCCTGTCCCGGCACTTGTGGCCAAAGCGCCGAGTGCCAGGTGGTTAATCACTTGGCCACTTGCAATTGCTTGGTTGGTTATACAGGAGATCCGTATAGCTTGTGTCGTATTATAGCCAATGAGCCACGTAAGGATAAATTCCATTTCGACCAAGGATTTCGTGACCATCGATGGTTTTTATTTTAGCCGAACGCGTTTATGTGAATCCTTGCCAGCCGTCTCCTTGTGGTCCAAACTCGCAATGCCGTGAAGTCAACGAACAAGGTGTTTGTTCCTGCTTGCCAGAGTTCATTGGCAGTCCACCCGCCTGTCGACCTGAATGTACCAGTAGCTCGGAGTGCGCCGCTGACAAAGCTTGCGTGAACCGCAAATGTGTGGATCCTTGTCCAAATGTTTGTGGTCAGCAGGCCGAGTGTCGCGTGCGTAACCATAATCCTATTTGCACCTGTCTCAGTGGGTTCACCGGTGATCCATTTACCCGATGTTACCGTCAGCCGCGTAAGAAAATAGAGCAGACTAATAATGCTCTTCAAGTTACTATTGAAATCAACTTAATTCCAGCTCCCCCACCAGTTATTGAGCGTGAACCCCTTGATCCTTGTGTTCCTTCACCTTGCGGTGCAAATTCTCAGTGTCGCGAGATTCACGGCACACCGTCGTGTTCTTGCCTTCCTCAATATTTGGGTACTCCACCCAATTGCCGTCCAGAGTGTTCCATCAATGCCGAGTGTTCTAGTCATCAGGCCTGCATTAATCAGAAGTGCCGCGATCCCTGTCCCGGTTCTTGTGGCCTCAACACTCAGTGCAATGTGATAAACCACACGCCCATCTGCAGTTGTTTGGCCGGTTACATCGGTGATCCATTTAGCGTTTGCAATCCTCAGCCCATACCCGAGAAAAGTAAGACCCAATCTCTAACAGAACTAAAGTTTATAAATCACATTTTACCTCTTAACAAATTAGTTCGGGATCCACTTCCACCCGAGGATCTGTGCAATCCATCGCCTTGTGGCTCTAACACCCAATGCAACAATGGAGTTTGCTCTTGTTTGCCCGAATACCATGGTGATCCGTACACCGGTTGCCGCCCTGAGTGCGTCCTGCACACAGATTGTGACCGCAGTCGAGCTTGTGTTCGACATAAGTGTGTTGATCCCTGTCCTGGTGTTTGTGGCACCAACGCGATCTGTGAGGTTATAAACCATATACCCAACTGCCGTTGCTTGGAGAGAATGCAAGGCAATGCCTTTATCCAATGCAGCCCAATTCCACGTAAGATTTTACCCCAAGCCCCGGTCCGTCTCAGATACTACAAAGTCGCAAACTTTACAGAGATCGACGTTGTGCAGAACCCTTGCCAACCGTCGCCCTGCGGACCCAATTCTCAGTGTCGCGTTATCAACCAGCAGGCCATCTGCTCCTGCATCACGGATTTCGTAGGAAGCCCGCCATTCTGCCGACCAGAATGCACCATCAACTCGGAGTGCCCCCTGAACTTGGCCTGTCGCAATCAGAAGTGCGTGGATCCCTGTCCTGGCGTTTGTGGACGCGGTGCCCAGTGCCATGTTACGAATCACAGTCCATTCTGTCGCTGCTTGGAACGCTACACGGGTAATCCGTTCGTGAGTTGTCAGCAAATCATTGAGCCACCAGTTCCACCGCCAAGGCAAACTTGCCTGCCATCACCCTGCGGTCCATACTCTCAGTGCCGTGAAGTAAACGAGTCGCCATCCTGTACTTGTCTGGCAGACTATATTGGAGTTCCACCAAATTGCCGACCGGAGTGCGTGACCAGTTCAGAGTGTCCCACTAATCAGGCCTGCATTCAACAGAAGTGTAGAGATCCCTGTCCCGGATTGTGTGGACAATCTGCGGAATGTCGAGTGCTTTCGCACACGCCAAGCTGCGTTTGTCCAGAGGGAATGGAAGGTGATCCGTTTACTCTATGTACGGAGAAGAGAATTCAGGAGCGAGACCAGTTAGACCCTTGCAATCCCAGTCCTTGTGGAATTAATGCCCGTTGTACCTCACGCCAAGATGCCGGTTCATGCCAGTGCTTGCCGGAATACTTTGGAAATCCCTATGAGGGATGCCGCCCTGAGTGTGTTCTAAATTCAGACTGTTCTTCAAACAAGGCCTGCCAGCAGCAGAAGTGTCAGGATCCCTGTCCAGGAACTTGCGGTCAGAATGCCCTTTGCAATGTCCTGAACCATGTACCCACTTGTAACTGCATAACAGGATACTCCGGTGACCCGTACCGCTCGTGCGTCCCAGAACGTAAGACTGATGGTCAGAGTTCTTTGAATTTTGTAAACTTCCAAGAGTTACCTTTTTTATAGCCGTCAAAGAATACGTCAATCCTTGCCAGCCTTCACCGTGTGGCCCCAATTCACAGTGCCGCGAGGTCAATGAACAAGCTATATGTTCGTGTATGCCGGAATATGTGGGTGCCCCGCCTGTATGCCGACCCGAGTGTACGATATCGTCAGAGTGTCCGGCCGACAAAGCCTGTGTTAACCAGAAATGTGTAGATCCTTGTCCAAATACTTGCGGAGAACAAGCCATCTGCCGGGTGGTGAATCACAGTCCAATTTGCTCTTGTCGTGCCGGTTATACGGGCGATGCCTTCTTCCGCTGCTTCCCCAAACCTCGTAAGTGTCTGTATTCCCAAATATTAGGTCCCAGTCTTAACTGTCGCTTTCTCACTCCGAAAGCGGTACCACCAACGCCAGTACAAAAGACCCCGGTTGATCCCTGTGTGCCTTCTCCTTGCGGACCTTACTCTCAGTGCCGTTCCCAAGGAGATGCTCCCGCCTGTTCCTGTTTTATAGGATATTCCGGAGTTCCTCCCAATTGCCGACCCGAATGCCGCATCAACGCCGAGTGTCCCAGCAGCCAAGCTTGTATCAATGAGAAGTGTAGAGATCCCTGTCCCGGGTCATGCGGCTATGGAGCCATTTGTAATGTGATTAATCATACGCCTAGTTGCACATGTCCAATAGGATACTCCGGTGATCCATTTAGTCAATGTCAGCCCCTTCCACCATCGCCACCAACACGTAAGATTTAGCACCGAGTATTTAAAGTGTAGGAAGGATTCAAATTATTTAATTCTCAGCCGTTAAACTTGACGACCCTTGTAACCCCTCACCTTGCGGTCCAAATGCCCAGTGTAATAGTGGAGTTTGTACGTGTATTCCGGAATACCATGGTGATCCGTACAGAGGTTGCAGACCCGAGTGCATCACCAGTGCTGATTGCTCACGTGAACTCGCTTGTTCGAGGCATAAATGCTTCGATCCTTGCCCGGGAACCTGTGCCCCTAATGCTATTTGTACTGTACTTAACCACGTACCTATGTGCACGTGCCCGGATGGTTATAACGGCAATGCTTTCATTCAGTGCCAACCTACACCACGTAAATATTACCAGGCCACGCCCAAAAACCAAACGATTCCCAACGCAACGTTTCCCTTGCAGCACCTGTCCTTGTCCAGCCATGCCAACCCTCTCCGTGCGGACCCAACTCTCAATGCCGTGAGGTCAACCAGCAGGCTGTATGCTCTTGTGTGCCAGGATATTTTGGAACCCCGCCACTCTGCCGTCCGGAATGTACATCAAATTCTGAATGTTTGTCGCGTCAGGCTTGTGTAAACCAAAAGTGCACCGATCCTTGTCCCGGGTCTTGTGGCCGTAATGCTCAGTGCAGTGTAGTTAATCACAATCCGTTCTGTACCTGTCTGCCAAGGTTTACTGGCAATCCATTCGTGGGATGCCAACAGATTGTAGAGCCACCACGTCAATTTATAGTGCCTCAGGATCCGTGCCGTCCATCGCCTTGTGGCCCCAACTCTGAATGTCGCGCTGTTGGTGAGACACCAACTTGTACGTGCCTTGCTGAATTCGTTGGCTCCCCACCATATTGCAAACCCGAATGTGTGTCCAATTCTGAATGTCCTTCAAACTTGGCTTGTATAAATCAAAAGTGTCGCGATCCTTGCCCTGGATTGTGTGGATTGAGTGCCACTTGCCGCGTTGTCTCCCACACAGCAATGTGCATTTGCGATGTTGGATTGACCGGAGATCCCTTCACCCAATGCCAGCCTATTGAACAGGATGTGGAGATTATTAATCCGTGCCAGCCCTCGCCCTGTGGCGCTAATGCCGAGTGCATTCAACGAAATGGAGCCGGAGCCTGCCAGTGTCTAACGGACTACTTTGGAAACCCCTATGAGGGTTGTCGACCGGAATGTGTTCTGAACTCAGACTGCCCATCGAACAGAGCTTGTCAACAACAGAAGTGCCGCGATCCCTGCCCCGGAAGCTGTGGACAAAATGCTGAATGCAATGTGGTCAACCACACGCCCATGTGTAACTGCTTCGCTGGATATATTGGCGATCCTTATCGCTATTGTAGCCAACCACCAGAACGTAAGCCAGTCCTAATTATTTACGTAGTTGTACTAAACATGGTCGTAGTCGTGGATGTAGTTACTAATTTGAAATATTGTTTTGTACCGTATTTCTAACCATAACTAGCTGTTGTCCATGAGTATGTGAACCCCTGTCAACCGTCCCCCTGTGGCCCGAACTCCAATTGTCGCGAGGTTAATGAACAGGCAGTGTGCTCCTGCCGCCCTGAATTTCAGGGAGGCCCGCCCAACTGCCGACCCCAATGCACCTCAAGTTCAGAGTGCACCCCTAACAGGGCGTGCATCAACCAAAAGTGCGTTGATCCCTGCCCAGGTGTTTGTGGTCAGCAGGCAATCTGCGAGGTGCGCAACCATAGTCCAATTTGTAGGTGCCCCACCAGCATGATCGGTGATCCCTTCGTGCGCTGTTTGCCCCGACCAATACGTAAGGAAATTGAAAAGCCCCATGTGTATTATATCAATCCTAACCCGCTCTACCCGATACCAGTTTCACCACCGCCCTTGAGGGATGTAGCTCCCTACCGCGATCCCTGCCTACCTTCACCCTGTGGCCTGTACTCGTCGTGCAGGAGTCAACAGAATCAGGCCGTTTGTTCTTGCTTGCCCAACTACTTGGGCACTCCGCCGCATTGTCGTCCCGAGTGTACCATCAATGCAGAGTGTCCAAGTCACTTGGCCTGCATTGGCGAGCGCTGCCGAGATCCTTGTCCTGGTGCCTGCGGTCAGCAGACCGAGTGCCGAGTCATCAGCCATGTTCCTAGTTGTGTTTGCCTGCGGGGCTATGTGGGTGATGCGTTCCTGGCATGTCACCCTGCACCACGTAAGACTTGCTCAGTGCTTAACCCATTTTAGGACTAAGACCAAACCCCTTTACAGCCCCACCAGCCCGTGAAGAACCCCGCGATCCATGCAATCCCAGTCCATGCGGTAGCAACGCTATCTGCTTGAATCAGGGCGAGTGTACATGTCTTGCTGAATATCAGGGCGATCCCTATGTGGCCTGCAGACCTGAGTGCATTCTCAGTTCGGAGTGTCCTCGAAATTTGGCCTGTATTCAGCAGAAGTGCACTGATCCTTGTCCCGGAACTTGTGGCATAAATGCCTTATGCAATGTAGTTAACCACATCGCCATGTGCCATTGTCCCGAAAGGATGACGGGCAATGCATTCGTCCAATGTACTCCAGTGCAACGTAGGTTAACTCCCTTTTGTTTTAAGAGTCACAATCCAATCCCTTTCTGTTCACTAGTGGATGTATACCGTAACCCTTGTAATCCTTCGCCATGCGGCTCCTATGCTGAATGTCGAGAGCAGAACGGACAGGCGGTATACAGTTGTCTTCCCAACTACTTTGGGGTACCTCCTTCTTGTCGACCCGAGTGTAGCACCAACTACGATTGTTCCCCAAGTTTGGCATGTCAGAATCAGCGGTGCGTCGATCCTTGCCCTGGAGCGTGTGGGGCTTATGCCGATTGCCGCACTGTCAGCCACAGTCCCTTCTGTAGTTGCAGACCTGGCTATACGGGAAATCCCATTGTTCAATGTCATGTGATTAGTAAGTTTAAAATGAATATCACTAGAAAAGAACATAATCCGAATGATCCGCCTTTAGTTGAGCCCCAGAGAGATATTACGACCCAAGATCCTTGCCAGCCGTCACCCTGTGGACCAAACAGCGAATGCCGTCGAGTGGGAGACACTCCCTCCTGCTCTTGCCTGACCAACTTCTTTGGTACACCGCCAAACTGCCGACCTGAATGCGTTTCCAACTCCGAGTGCAGCCAGTTGCAGGTGTGCACAAACAATCGATGCAGGGATCCCTGTCCAGGTCTCTGCGGCACTGATGCCGTATGTCGAGTGATCAGTCACAGTGCCATGTGCTACTGCCAACCGGGTTACAGCGGTGATCCATTCGTCCGATGTATACCACACATCCAAAGAGAACCTGTTGAAATAGTTCAGCCCTGCAACCCGAATCCCTGTGGCACTTTTGCCGAGTGTCGTCAGCACAATTCAATTGGTTCCTGTCAGTGCCTGCCCGAGTATTTCGGCAATCCTTACGAAGGTTGTCGCCCTGAGTGCGTGCTTGACTCCGATTGTCCATCTCAGCTGGCCTGCGTCAATCAGAAATGCCGCGATCCTTGCCCCGGAAGTTGCGGCCAAAATGCCGAGTGCTATGTGCGTAATCACCTGCCCACTTGCAACTGCCTTAGCGGCTATGTAGGTGACCCCTATCGGTATTGCAACATCGAACCGAAACGTAAGCTGGCTCCCCGTTGAACCCTCTTAAACTGGTACTTAGAAGTCTTAAATTCCCTTACAGCCATTCGAGAATATGTCAACCCCTGTCAACCCTCTCCTTGTGGGCCCAACTCACAGTGTCGCGAACAGAACGGAGTGGCTACTTGCTCATGTCTTCCGGAGTATGTAGGCACTCCGCCAGGCTGCCGACCAGAGTGTACGGTCTCCTCGGAGTGCAATCTTGACAAGGCCTGCGTTCGTCACAAGTGTATTGATCCTTGCCCTGGCGCTTGCGGTAGTTCTGCCAATTGCCAGGTGGTTAACCATGCTCCACTTTGCTCTTGCCAAGTAGGCTATACGGGAGATCCGTTTACCCGTTGTCACCCTATTCCCCGTAAGTTATCAAAGCCAAGAAAACCCTATGAGGACGTGTTTTTTTATGATCCCCTTTTACATTTAGCTCCACCTACACACATTCTCCAAGATACTGTGCGCGATCCTTGTCAACCGTCTCCCTGTGGAGCTAATGCCCAATGTAGGCAGTCCCAGGGTCAAGCCATTTGCTCCTGTTTACCCAACTACTTTGGTGTTCCGCCTAACTGTCGACCCGAGTGCACTCAAAGTTCAGAGTGTCTGCCCAGTCTAGCCTGCATCAATCAACGATGCGCAGATCCCTGTCCTGGCTCCTGTGCCTACAACGCCATTTGTCACGTGCGTAACCACGTACCCAGTTGTCAGTGCCCTGTTGGCTATGTGGGTGATCCGTTCACCAACTGTCATCCCGAACCTCCGCCACCACGTAAGAATGTTTACCAGCGAATTCTGTTAGTCCTAGTTAAATGTCTTGCCCTTTACCCCCAGCAAAACCCATTGCTCTCGACGATCCGTGCAATCCTTCCCCTTGTGGAGCAAATGCCCTTTGCCTCAATGGTCAATGTTCATGTATATCCGAGTATCAAGGAGATCCTTATACTGGCTGCCGACCGGAGTGTGTGTTAAATGCGGATTGCGCGCGAAACCGTGCTTGCGTTCGTCATAAGTGTGTGGATCCTTGTCCCGGAACTTGTGCTCCAAATGCCATCTGCGATGTGATTAACCATATTGCCATGTGCCGATGCCCTGAGGGCATGATAGGCAATGCTTTCATCCAGTGCGAAACCCCTAAAGTTTCTCTGGCGCCTCCGGATCCATGCTTCCCCTCGCCTTGCGGTCCTAATAGTCGCTGCCGTGTATTTAACAACAACGCTGTATGTTCATGCATTGAGGATTTCGTTGGAACACCACCAAATTGTCGACCGGAGTGTACACATAACTCGGATTGCCTGCCTAGACTGGCTTGCCAGAGGCAGCATTGCATGGATCCGTGTCCAGGAACGTGTGGCTTTAATGCTCTTTGCCACGTGGTGAACCATGCACCGATTTGCACTTGCCCACCCAGGCACAATGGAAATCCATTCCTGGGCTGCTTCCCAGAACCTGTGCGCCGTGATGAAATTCTTCCGAAGCATCCCTGCCAGCCTTCGCCATGTGGTCCATATGCCACGTGTACGGCTGTGGGAGATCAAGCGCAGTGTACCTGCCTGCCAGAATATATTGGAACACCACCAAACTGTCGGCCAGAATGTGTAACCAATTCGGAGTGTTCCTTTGACCAGGCCTGCTTAAATCAACGATGCCGTGATCCCTGCCCGGGTTCTTGTGGATCTAATGCAAATTGCCACGTGATAAGCCACTCTGCAACATGCTCTTGTCTCCCAGGATATACTGGCGATCCATTCACGTCATGCCGTCAAGTACCATTCGTCCAAAAAGCGGAAATCGTTCAACCTTGCTCTCCCAATCCTTGTGGAGCCAATGCTGTGTGTCGCCACGAAGGCAATGTTGGTTCCTGCCAATGCTTGCCTGAATATTACGGAAACCCATATGAGATTTGTCGTCCGGAGTGTACAACGAACAACGATTGCCCGGCGCCCAAATCCTGCCAACAGAATAAGTGTCGGGATCCTTGTCCAGGAGTCTGTGCCTTAAATGCCTTGTGTCGTGTGATTAATCACTTGCCAACTTGTCATTGTCAGAATGGCCTCGTTGGTGATCCGTATAGCTACTGTCAAATACCTGAGAAACGTGAGTTGTGGCCTTAGTGTCCCAATTGATCAGTTTGTAATCAAGCCAATCCCCTACCTTTAGCTGTCCTGAAAGAATATGTCAATCCCTGCCAACCGTCTCCGTGTGGTCCTAACTCACAGTGCCGGGAAAACAACGAGCAAGCTATCTGCTCTTGTTTACCCGAGTATATGGGAGCTCCACCAAATTGCCGACCGGAATGTGTAACCAGTGCAGAGTGTCCTCATGACAAGGCTTGCATTAGGCAAAAGTGCACTGATCCCTGCCCAGGCGTTTGTGGCTCCAATGCAGAGTGTCGTGTTATCCAACATGCTCCTATCTGCAGTTGTCGTCCTGGTTTTACAGGCGATGCCTTCTCACGCTGCTTACCCCTGCCACGTAAGATTTTCCTCTAGAATGCGCAAAAGCATTTAGTTGACCCACCCATTCTTTATCTTACAGCCCCAAGACCACCACAGTTGGACGTATATCGAAATCCTTGTGTACCCTCGCCCTGTGGCCAATACGCAGAGTGTCGGGATCACCAGGGAACTGCTACGTGCAGTTGTCTGGCCTCCTACTTCGGCACTCCGCCCAACTGTCGCCCCGAGTGTACAATTAACCCCGACTGTCCCGCTCATCTGTCCTGTCAACAACAGCGTTGTCGGGATCCCTGCCCCGGAGCCTGTGGATTCAATGCTTTGTGCACGGTTATTAACCACAATCCCACGTGCCAGTGTGCCGCCGGACTAATTGGCAACGCCTTCACATCTTGTCATGCTCCACCTCCAGTCGCTCGAGATCCTCCTCAAATAAGTGATCCCTGTTCCTTGATTACTTGTGGCGCCAATGCAGTTTGCAATCAGGGACAATGTACCTGTCTGCCCGAGTTCGTGGGTAACCCATTAGTTGGATGTCGTCCAGAATGTGTGCTGAGTACGGAATGTGATTGGAACAAGGCGTGCGTAAGAAACAAGTGCGTCGATCCCTGTCCTGGAACCTGCGGTGCTAATGCCATTTGTGAGGTGCACAGACACGTGGCCATGTGTCACTGTCCACCGGGAATGACTGGAAATGCCTTCAGCCAATGCCGACCCTTGCCACCAGCTCCAATACGTGATGTCATCGATCCTTGTCAGCCTTCGCCGTGCGGTCCAAATGCTCAGTGTCGCAATATCAACGGACAGGCAGTTTGCTCGTGTCTTCGCGACTTCGTTGGAATACCACCTTCCTGTCGACCAGAGTGTGTTAGTAATGTGGAGTGTCCTCTGCACTTGGCTTGCCTTCAACAACATTGTCGAGATCCTTGTCCCGGTGTTTGTGGCTTGAATGCTGAATGCCGTGTGATCAATCACAGTCCGAACTGCCATTGCATTGGGTCCTTCACAGGAAATCCATTTGTGTCTTGTCAGCGTCAACCACCGCCACCAGTTAGACAAGATCCAATTGATCCCTGTCAACCATCGCCATGTGGAGCTAATGCCGAGTGTCATTCCCAGGGAAGCAATGCTCAATGTAGTTGTTTGACTGGCTTCATTGGAACACCACCTTACTGCCGACCCGAGTGCGTCTCCAACTCAGATTGTCCTACCAACCTCGCTTGCCTTAACCAAAAGTGCCGCGATCCGTGCCCAGGTGTATGTGGCTCAAATGCTGAGTGTTATGTGATTAACCATACACCTATGTGCACATGCACTGCTGGTCAAACGGGAAATCCTTTCGTTGGCTGTCAAAGTGGTTCGAGATGTTACCGCACCTCTAACACCATGTGTGCCCAGTCCCTGTGGAGCCAACGCAATCTGTACGGAAAGGAATGGGGCCGGAGCCTGTCAATGTCTTCCGGAATTCTTTGGCAATCCCTACGAAGGCTGCCGACCCGAGTGCGTGCTCAACTCAGACTGTCCAAGCCACCTGGCTTGTATCAATCAACATTGTCGCGATCCCTGCCCAGGAACATGTGGTACAAATGCCCAATGTCAAGTTCGTGAACACCTGCCGCAATGCAACTGCCTTGTGGGCTACCAAGGAAACCCTTACGTATACTGTAGTGTCCTTCAAGAACGTAAGCAGTTTGTGGAAAGAAGAATTATAAGACCAGAACGTTACCCTGTATTTTTCCCGACAGCCTTGCCTGAACCGATTCCCTCCCGCCCTTGCCAACCCTCACCATGTGGTCCAAACTCTCAGTGTCGAGAGTCGAACAACCAGGCAATATGCAAGTGTCTGCCGGACTTCATTGGCTCCCCACCCGCCTGTAGGCCAGAGTGTACTATCTCTAGCGAGTGTGACTTGCAAATGGCATGTGTCCAACAGCACTGTGTCGATCCCTGTCCTGGTGTCTGCGGCGTCAGTGCCCAGTGCCGGGTCATAAATCACAGTCCGCACTGTAGTTGCCTACCTGGTTTCACAGGTGATGCCATCAGTGGTTGCCAACGCATACGTAAGATTCTTCTTTATTTTAATAGCCCCGGGAGTTCCCTTAACCCAAAACCCTTTACAGCGCCCGCCATTACTTACGATGCCCCCAAGGAAACCTATCTCGACCCTTGTGTACCTTCTCCTTGTGGAACCTTTGGCCAATGTCGTGCTCAAGGGAACCAGGCTATATGCTCATGCTTACCTGGTTACTTTGGAGCTCCGCCGACTTGCCAGCCAGAGTGCATGATTAATCCAGATTGTCCCTCTCATTTGGCGTGTATAACTGAAAAGTGTCGAGATCCGTGTCCAGGTTCATGTGGGCTCTATGCTCAATGTAACGTCATCAACCACACACCGATCTGCAGTTGTCCATCGGGTTATCAGGGCAATCCCTTCGTCAGTTGCCAACGCTCGCCTCCGCCTCCAACTCCCCCACTACATGATGCCTGTAATCCCTCGCCTTGTGGCTCTAATGCTATCTGCAATCCTGGAGGACAGTGTGCTTGTCTGCCAGACTTTGATGGCAATCCCTACGTGGGCTGCCGTCCGGAGTGCGTCCTCAATACGGACTGTCCGAGAGACAAAGCCTGCCAGCGCAGCAAGTGCACAGATCCCTGTCCAGGAGCTTGTGGTGTCGGAGCAGTGTGCGAGGTTCGCAACCACATTCCAACATGTAACTGTCCACCCGGAACATCGGGCAATGCATTCGTTCAGTGTACCATTGTGCAATGTAGGTTTCAAACTAAGAATCAACTAACTTTAAAGACCAAACTTAACCATTCCTTACACTGTTTAGCTTCACCTTTGGTCCCTCTGAACCCCTGTCAACCATCGCCGTGTGGAAACAATGCCCAATGCCGAGAAGCCAACAATCAGGCTGTCTGCTCTTGCTTACCCGGCTACTTTGGTGTTCCACCAAAGTGTCGACCTGAGTGCACCATTAATTCGGACTGTGCCCCACATTTGGCCTGTTTGAATCAACAGTGTCGGGATCCTTGTCCTGGAGCTTGTGGGCAGTTTGCTCAGTGCCAGGTCATCCGACATGTGCCGCACTGTAGTTGTCCTCCAAGTTACTCGGGCAATGCCTTTTTCCTGTGCTATCGTTTACCGCCACCACCACCAGTACAAAGGGAACCGATCAATCCGTGCTCTCCATCACCATGTGGAGCAAACGCGGAGTGCACTAATCAGAATGACCAGGCCGTTTGCAAGTGTCTCAAGGATTATGTAGGAACACCACCCAACTGTCGACCGGAGTGCATAACATCTACCGAGTGCCCGAATCAGCTGGCTTGCATTGCTCAAAAATGCAAGGATCCTTGTCCTGGCCTTTGCGGAAATGCAGCCACCTGTCAAGTGGTCAGCCATGTGCCGTCATGCATTTGCATTGCGGACTATATTGGTGACCCCTACACTGGATGCTACGCCCGGCCACAGATTCAGCGTGAGCAGATTAATCCCTGCTACCAGAACCCTTGCGGAAGCAATGCCGTATGCAGAGAACGCGGAGGAGCCGGTTCGTGTCAGTGTCTGCCAGAATATTTCGGCAATCCCTACGAAGGATGTCGCCCCGAATGCGTGCTCAACTCGGACTGTTTAAGCCATTTGGCTTGCCTGAATCAACATTGTCGCGATCCCTGCCCTGGAAGCTGTGCTCCCAATGCCCAATGTCAAGTGGTTAATCATGTACCCAGCTGTAGTTGTTTCCCCGGATTCAGTGGTGATCCTTATCGCCATTGTCATGTGGTCCAAGCGGAACGTAAGCAGTCTTCACCCAGTCAATCGTTTAACCCTTGCACTAACATACCAATTTACCATTATCCACAATCTGCACTCTCCTGTCCCCCTATAGCCGTCGAAGTTGTCCACTTTAATCCCTGCCAACCATCGCCCTGTGGTCCCAACTCTCAGTGTACCGAATCCCAGGGTCAGGCGGTGTGTCGTTGCCTGCCGGATTACTTTGGTTCCCCACCTGCCTGTCGTCCCGAGTGCACCACTAATCCCGAATGTCCCAATGATAGAGCTTGCGTGGCCAGAAGATGCACCGATCCTTGTGCCGGTGCTTGTGGTCAGAATGCCATTTGCCGAGCGCATCAACATAAAGCGCATTGCTCGTGTCATCCTGGATACATGGGCGATGCCTTTATGCGTTGCTTGCCCATGCCACCGCCACAACCTGTTAGGGATTCACCCGTAGTCTATAGAGACCCTTGTGTGCCCTCTCCCTGTGGGCAGTTTGCCCAGTGTCGAGTGGAGTACGGCCAAGCCGTATGCTCGTGCCTAGCCTCTTATTACGGTATTCCACCTCATTGCCGTCCCGAGTGCACCCACAACCCAGATTGTCCTAGCCATAGAGTTTGTGTCAATCAAAGATGTGTGGATCCTTGCCCCGGGGCTTGTGGTCTAAACGCCCAATGTGATGTGCTCAATCATGTGCCCATCTGTACATGTCTCAGAGGTTTTGTAGGAGATCCTTTCTATCGCTGTTATCCAGCACCATCTCCTGCCCCTACACCTGTAACCGTTGTAGCCGATGATCCTTGTCAGCCTTCGCCATGTGGTCCTAATGCCCAGTGTTCAAACGGTGTCTGCAATTGTCTGCCCTTGTATCAGGGTGATCCCTACGTGGGCTGTCGCCCAGAGTGCGTATTGAGTACGGAGTGCCCGTGGAACAAGGCGTGCATCCGCAATCGTTGCCTGGATCCATGTCCGGGAACTTGCGGATCGGGAGCCACATGCCAGGTGCATAACCATGTAGCCATGTGCCAATGCCCCGCTGGCTATCAGGGAAATCCTTATGTCCTGTGCCAGCAGACACCTCTTCAGTCACCCGTGCAGCTCCATCCTTGCCAGCCTTCGCCTTGTGGACCCCACGGTCAGTGTCGAGAAGTTGGCTCGCAAGCAATTTGTACTTGCCTTCCCGGATATTATGGAAACCCACCAGCTTGTCGACCAGAGTGTGTCAGCAATCCGGAGTGTCCGCCAAGTTTAGCTTGTGTGAATCAGAAATGTCGTGACCCCTGTCCTGGTGCTTGCGGATACCTGGCCCAGTGTCATGTGATTAACCATAGTCCTCAGTGTATATGCCCTAATGGATACACTGGAAGCCCTTACTCCCAGTGCCAGTTGATTAGGACAGATTATACGCCAATTCAACGAGAGCCCATTGATCCCTGCTCGCCATCTCCCTGCGGTCCTCACGCGCAATGCAACAATGAGGGAGGCAACGCGGTTTGCCGCTGCCTTCCCGATTTCTTGGGAGTACCACCCTACTGTCGACCCGAGTGCATTTCCAATAGCGAGTGTCCCAGCGACAGGGCCTGCATAAATCGGAAGTGCCAAGATCCATGCCCGGGTCTATGCGGTTATAATGCCATCTGTAGAACTTATAACCATCAACCCAATTGTGTTTGTGCTCCCGGATTAGTGGGCAATCCATTCAGCTCTTGCTTACCGCCCACTCGCCCCGTTATTTCATCAGCACCTCCCACAACTGCCATAGAAGTACTCCAATATGAGGAACCATTTATCAATGGCTGTGAACCAAATCCTTGTGGAGCTAATGCTCAATGTAATCAGCGGAGAGAAGTAGTTTCCTGCGTCTGCCTGCCCGACTATTTCGGCAATCCCTACGAAGCCTGCCGGCCGGAGTGCATTTTGAACTCCGATTGTCCTTCAAGCAGAGCTTGTGTACAGCAAAAATGTCGTGATCCGTGTCCCGGAACGTGTGGTCTGAATGCTGAGTGCTATGTCCTAGATCATCTGCCACAATGCAGCTGTTTCAGCGGTTATACTGGAAATCCATTGGCGTACTGCGCACCTGTTCCAATAGTCCAACAATGTAAGAATCCATGCCCTCACAAATATGTTCTGACTTTAGATAATTATTTTGCCCCAACCCTTATAGCTCCCTTGAGTCCCTGTGATCCCTCTCCTTGTGGACCAAATGCCAAGTGTCATCCGGCAAATAATGAAGCCGTGTGCTCCTGCTTACCCGAATTCTACGGAACTCCTCCTAACTGTCGACCAGAGTGTACTCTTAACTCAGAGTGTGCTTATGATAAGGCTTGCGTCCATCACAAGTGTGTCGATCCCTGTCCTGGAATTTGTGGTATTAATGCAGAATGCCGCGTTCACTACCACAGTCCCATATGTTACTGCATTTCTTCTCACACGGGTGATCCTTTCACACGTTGCTATGAAACCCCCAAACGTAAGAATATAACGAAATCAGTGAATGACATTTATAAATCGGTTAACCATTTTAATATTCAACTCGAAACAGCTGAACGACCCCATATATACGATACACCTTCTCCTCCGTACCCGGTTGCTATACCAGACCTAGTCTACATACAACAACCACAACCGGGAATAGTAAATGTTCCCTCTAGTCCTCAGCCTGGATATCCACCATCCCATCCACCGCAATACAATGTGAACTACCCAACACCAAGTCCAACGAATCCCCAAAAGCCTGGAGTTGTGAACATACCATCTGTATCACAGCCAGTATATCCATCGCCCCAACCACCTGTTTATGATGTCAACTTCCCAACAAGGCCTAATCAAGTTCCACAACCCGGTGTTGTGAATATTCCGTCGCCGGCGAACCCATTACCTGCACCTCAACCAGGAGTTATAAACATTCCGTCAGTGCCACAACCTAGTTATCCTACGCCACAGACCCCAGTTTATCATGTAAATGATCCAACTACACCGAGACCAACTCCTCAACAACCTGGCGTGGTTAATATTGCAACTGTGCCACAACCATCATATCCTTCTGCAATCCCACCGGTTAACTATCCAACGCCACAACCACCTCAGACACCAGCACAACCTGGTGTTATCAATATACCTTCTGTGCCACAGCCGACCCCGCCAGCGCAACAACGTCCCGTGTTTATACCATCACATGAGATCCCGACACCAGCTCCAAAGCCAGGAGTAATTAATATTCCCAACGAACCGCAACCAGTTCATCAAATACCACAACCACCAGGGGTCTATAATATTCCGTCGTATCCACAGCCAGTGCCACCATCTCCTCAACCTCCCATATACATTCCGTCCCATGACACACTGACGCCAGCTCCAAAGCCCGGAGTTGTAAACATTCCTTCTGCGCCACAACCGGTTTACCCAACGCCACAGAACCCAGCTCACGACTATCCTACACCACCACCACCTGTGATAACGCCGCAACCTGGAATTGTTAATATTCCATCTGTGCCGCAACCAGCTCCTCCAGTTTCCCAACGCCCAGTATTTATACCAACCCCCATAAATACAACTCCTGCTCCTCAACCAGGAGTTATTAATATACCTTCTGTGGAACAACCAGTACATCCAACATATGAACCTCCGGTTGTGCAGCGGCCAGCTATATATGATGTGTACTATCCACCACCTCCTTCAAGACCGGGTGTGATCAATATTCCTTCGCCACCACGGCCGGTATATCCTGTACCTCAACAACCGATCTACGTTCCAGCACCGGTATTAAATGTACCTGCACCTAGACCGGTTATACATAACATTCCATCGGTATTGCAACCAACGTACCCACACCGGAATCCACCTATTCAGGATGTTAATTATCCAACGCCACATCCAACTCCTCCGGCACCTGGAATTATAAATATTCCGTCAGTTCCTCAACCTGTGCCATCACTCATTCCCGGAGTGATAAACATTCCCTCCCAACCATCACCTCCAGCCCCAGTACCAACTCCAGGAATTGTAAACATTCCATCTGTTCCACAACCGACGTATCCACCGAAAAATCCACCTGTTTACGATGTCAACTACCCAACACCACAGCCGACTCCTCCGGCACCTGGAATTTTAAATATTCCTTCGGTGCATCAACCAGTACCATCACCAATACCTGGCGTGATTAATATTCCTTCCCAACCATCACCTCCAATCTCAGTACCAACTCCAGGAGTTGTAAACATTCCCTCGGTTCCACAACCGACGTATCCAACGCAAAATCCGCCTGTTTATGATGTAAACTATCCAACACCACAGCCAACTCCTCCGACACCTGGAATTATAAATATTCCGTCAGTTTCTCAACCTGTGCCATCACCTATTCCCGGAGTGATAAACATTCCTTCCCAACCATCACCCCCAATCTCACTACCAACTCCAGGAGTTGAAAACATTCCCTCGGTTCCACAACCGACGTATCCACCACAAAATCCGCCTGTTTATGATGTAAACTATCCAACACCACAGCCAACTCCTCCGACACCTGGAATTATAAATATTCCATCGGTACCTCATCCTATGCCAACACCCACTCCTGGTGTTATCAATATTCCCTCAGTGCCATCTCCACCAACGCCAGTTCAACAGCCTGGAATTATAAATATTCCATCGGTACCACAACCTATAAGTCCAACCACTCAGCATCCGATTAAGGATATCCAATATGAGATACCGAGTCTACAACCTACCCCTGGAGTGATTAACGTACCATCCGTGCCGCATCCGACCTATCCAACTCAAAGGCCATTTTACCAGGACGTCAGTTATCCAACTTCTCAACCTACACCTGCGGTACATGGAATCGTGAATATTCCTTCGTTGCCACAGCCCGTGCCTGTAGCAACCCCTGGAGTGATAAACATACCTTCACAACCCTCTCAGCCGCTAACAACACAAAGACCTGGAATTATAAACATTCCCTCGGTTCCGCTACCTATACCTTCAACACCACAAAATCCTTTACAAGAGGTGCATCACGATACTCAGAGACCACAACCAATTCCTGGAATAGTTAACATTCCATCTGTACCGCAACCTACTCCAGCTCGTCCCAATTATGATGTGGCCAAACCCAATTTCGATTACAATCCGTGCTATCCAACGCCCTGTGGTCCCTACTCGCATTGTCACAATCGATTTGGAGCAGCTGCCTGCACTTGCCTGCCTAACTACAGTGGAACTCCTCCCAATTGCCGACCAGAATGTGTCATTAACTCGGATTGTCCATCAGTCTTGGCCTGCATAAATGAAAAATGTCGCGATCCTTGTCCAGGATCTTGTGCTTACAACGCAGTGTGCCGTGTACATGAACATGTGCCGAATTGCTTATGCCAAAATGGTTACACCGGAAATCCGTTTATTTCCTGTCAACCCACACCGATAGCCACTGATCAACGTAAGCCCATTGTGGAAAAGGACCCATGCTATCCATCGATTTGTGGACCAAACGCCGTGTGCAATAATGGAAAGTGTAGCTGTATACCGGAATATCTAGGAGATCCACATGTTGGCTGTCGGCCGGAGTGTGTTCTTAATACGGACTGTGCCAGAAATAAGGCTTGTATTCGACAGAAGTGTCAAGATCCTTGTCCAGGTACTTGTGGACTTAACGCCTTGTGTCATGTATACAACCATGTTGCCAGCTGCTCATGCCCGGAGCAAATGCAGGGCGATGCTTTTGTGAGATGTGACCCGATACCCAAACCTAAACCCCCTGCCCCTGCACCACCTACGACGTCACCGGCCCTTGTACCACAAAGTTCTCCGATTAATCCCTGCCAGCCCTCTCCTTGTGGTCCCAATGCTCAGTGTCGACCCTACCATGAACAAGCTATCTGCTACTGCTTGCCCGATTTTATAGGCACACCACCAGCGTGTCGTCCGGAATGCACTTCAAACTCAGACTGTCCCCTTGACAAATATTGTCTGAACCTCAAGTGTCGCGATCCGTGTCCAGGAGCGTGTGGCATTCATGCCATTTGTCATGTACAGAATCACAGTCCCTTGTGCGTTTGTCCACCCCAGTTAACGGGTAATCCGCTACTGGCTTGTCAACCTATAGGTATGTCAGAAAACATGACGAGTCCTAAGAAACAAAAATCTAATAAAACTTTTGTAGTTATTCCCCCCGTAGAACGCGATGAAGTGAATCCCTGCCAACCCTCTCCGTGTGGCCCGAATTCTGAATGTCAAGCCACGTCCAGCGGGGCTCGATGCTCCTGTCAGCCTCAGTATCATGGCACTCCACCCTTCTGTAGGCCGGAGTGCGTGAACAGTGCTGATTGTCCGGCGGACAAGGCGTGCCGAAATTACAAGTGTATTGATCCTTGTCCCGGTAGTTGTGGCCACTCAGCTCTTTGTCGTGTTGTGGCTCACAGTCCCCTGTGCTACTGTCCTGAAGGTTATGTAGGCAATGCGTACAGCCTTTGCACGCGACCCGAGCCAAGCCCACCTGCCGTGGTGATCCTTCCTTGCAATCCCAGTCCCTGCGGAGTTAACGCTTTTTGTCGGCCCCATAACGACTTGAGCGTCTGCCAGTGTCTGCCGGGTTACTATGGCAATCCATCTGAGATTTGCCGACCCGAATGCACTGTCAACTCGGACTGTCCAAGTCACAGGGCTTGCATGAGTGAAAAGTGTCGCGATCCCTGTCCGGGAGTTTGTGGCATCAATTCCCTCTGTCAGGTCATTAACCACAACCCGGTTTGCGAATGCCACCCTGGTCATGTAGGCAATCCCTACCTCAGCTGCCGTGTTCCGCAGCGTGAATGTAAGAAGAGATCATTTTATTTAAGCTATCTAAAACTGATCTTAATGCAAATTCTTTATCTAAACAACAACGCCGTACTTCTCTGCCCTACTATGAACTTAAAAATCTATTGATAAGGCCGTTCTTAATACAACAACCAACTCTCTAATGCCGAAAACAACAACGCTGTACTCAATTATCTGCCTCAGATACCTTGCCTCTTTTCTCTGCTCTTTCAACCTGCCCATATCATCAGGATTAAAACTCATATTTTAATGGATTAAGTCGTCATCACCTCTCTATAGCCATGTGGGCCTTTAAATATTTATTCTGTCATATTTAATAATGATCTCAAATATGAAGCTCGGCGATTCCTTTCAATAATTTTCTAGTCAAAATAATCTGTGATATCTTGCTCATCAAAGCTCTCTCATCATCAAAGCTGTGTAATAAGTTTTTCAGACTTTCAGCAACAAAGCAACACATAAATCTACATATTAAGCCGATTATTTTTCAGCTACCTCATTTGTATAATCTCAAAGCCATCAAGTGTCTCCTGGAATCGTCTATCGACTATACTCAGTGACAATATGCTAGCTCTAGAAATACTAAACATGCTTTTGGTTCGCTTTAAATCAATGCTTCGCTTTTAGCCAGCTGTTTTGCAAATGTTAAATCCCTCGTCTTTGATTTTCTTTAGCCCCAGTACCGGAATATGTGAACCCCTGTCAACCGTCGCCTTGCGGTGCTAATTCCCAGTGTCGTGAGTCCCAAGGGCAAGCCATATGCTCTTGCCTGCCGGAGTTTGTGGGCACACCGCCCTCATGTCGTCCGGAGTGTGTGATAAGCGCCGAGTGTCCGGCGGACAAGGCGTGCATCAACCAGAAGTGCCAGGATCCTTGTCCCGGTGCTTGTGGATTAAATGCCCAGTGCCATGTGCGTAACCACAGTCCGCTGTGCTCGTGTCAGACCGGATTCACCGGAGATGCCCTGACCCGCTGTCTACCCATACCACCACCAAAACCACCGCAATCTGATGATATCCGCGATCCTTGCGTGCCCTCACCTTGTGGACCATACTCCCAATGTCGGGTGGTTAATGGCGGAGCCAGTTGCAGTTGCCTACCGAATTATGTTGGAGCGGCGCCCAACTGCCGACCAGAATGCACCATCAATGCGGAGTGTCCTAGCAACTTGGCCTGCATCCACGAGAAATGCCGTGATCCATGTCCCGGAGCCTGTGGCTTTGCCGCGCTTTGTAGTGTCATTAATCATACTCCCAGTTGTTCGTGTCCCGCTGGATACACAGGAGATCCGTTTAACAGCTGTCGACTGCAGCCACCACCACAACCCCCGAAGAGTATGCCTGAACTTATCCTTAAGTCCCATGAAGTTTCCTCTAAGCTAGGTCCCCTTTATCTTGCAGCTCCCACCGATCCTTGCCAGCCCTCGCCATGCGGAGCTAATGCTTTATGCAACAATGGCCAGTGCTCTTGCCTGCCCGAGTATCAAGGTGATCCCTATACTGGCTGCCGTCCCGAGTGCGTTTTGAACTCGGATTGTCCCAGAAATAGGGCCTGTGTGAACCAAAAGTGCGCCGATCCTTGTCCAGGACACTGTGGCATCAATGCCCTTTGCGATGCCGTTAATCACATCGCCATGTGCCATTGTCCCGAGCGGATGACAGGCAATGCTTTTGTTTCCTGTCAACCCATTCGCGATGATCCTCCACCACCTACTCCTAATCCCTGCCAGCCTTCGCCTTGCGGATCTAATGCTCAGTGCGTGGAGAGGAATGGGAACGCCATCTGCTCCTGCCTAACCGGATACTTTGGACAGCCGCCTAACTGCCGGCTGGAGTGCTACTCCAGCTCCGACTGCTCCCAAGTTCACAGCTGTATCAATAACAAGTGCGTGGATCCGTGCCCGGGCAAATGCGGCCTAAATGCCGTGTGTCAGGCCATTCAACATCGGGCTCATTGCGAGTGTATTCCGGAATATACTGGAAATGCCTATGTTCTGTGCAATCCCATTCCAAGGAAACCCGAACCGGTTCGCGATCCCTGCCAACCCTCGCCTTGTGGTTCCAATTCCCAGTGTACAAATGTGAATGGTCAGGCGGAGTGCCGCTGTCTGCCGGAATTCCAGGGAACCCCACCGAACTGCCGACCAGAGTGCGTCAGCCACGATGAGTGTGCCAACCACCTGGCCTGTATGAATCAAAAGTGTCGCGATCCCTGTCCAGGAAGCTGTGGCCAGAGTGCCCAGTGCACGGTCAGCCTTCATACACCCAATTGTCAGTGCCCCGTGGGCATGACTGGTGATCCATTCCGTATTTGCCTGCCCAAACCACGTGGTAAGAGAGCCTTAATAAAGGAACCCTAATAATAGTATTTATTCTGTATCCTTACAAAAACTTAATTTTAAGGAAACAGATTTAAATAGGGGTTAATCGTAAAAACTTAACCCATCCGATCAGAAAAGTCCTTCTTTCCCAATAGGAAACCTGACCCCGTATACATTTACCCTCAAACAAGTTTGCATATTGTAATTAGGCAGGGCATCTTTTAAGATAACACTATTTCTATATAGTATCCTAACATATAAATGCTTCGATTTCAGATGAACCAAAGCCTGTGCCAACTCCTAAAAATCCGTGCTACCCCTCGCCTTGTGGAACCAATGCCGTGTGCCGTGTCCAAGGAGAGAACTACGTTTGCGAGTGCAGCCAACTGGAATATATCGGCAATCCCTATGAGGGATGTCGCCCCGAATGCGTGGGCAACTCCGAGTGCCCAGCCAATCAAGCTTGCATCCGTAGCAAGTGCCAGGATCCATGTCCCGGAGTGTGCGGCCTAGAGGCCATTTGCACCATGAACAACCACTTACCTATCTGCTCTTGTCCGCCGGGCTATACTGGCAATGCGTTTGCCCAGTGTACTCGACAGTTAACACCACCTCCTCCCTCGGATCCTTGCTATCCATCACCCTGTGGACCCAATTCCATTTGCCGTGTTCAAAACGAGAAGGCTGTGTGCGAGTGCGTGCCCGGATTCTTTGGTAATCCGCTGGCACAGGGCTGTCGCCCAGAGTGCACCCTCAGCTCGGATTGTGCCAAGGATAAGGCTTGCATCAACTCTAAGTGCGTGGATGCCTGCGTTGGAGAGTGTGGATTCGGAGCGGTTTGCCAAACAATTAACCACAGCCCTGTGTGTAGTTGTCCAATCAACATGGTGGGCAATCCGTTTGTCCAGTGCGAGGAACCGCGCCAGGTTGAACCTGTTGATCCCTGCCAGCCATCTCCTTGCCGCAGCAATGGAATCTGTCGCGTTTACAATGGAACTGCCACATGCAGTTATCCAGAGTGTGTGATTAACGAGGACTGTTCGCGTGATAGAGCCTGCGTTAGCCAAAAGTGCAGAGATCCGTGTCTTAATGCCTGCGGAATCAATGCCGTATGTCGGGCTATTAACCATAAGGCTGTGTGCAGCTGTCCACCAGATTTCTTCGGCTCTCCATATGCCCAGTGTGTAAGGCAGATACCGGAACCACTGCCCAAGCCCGAGTGCATTAGCGACGTTGACTGCACTAATGATAAGGCCTGCATCAACCAGGTTTGCCGCAATCCTTGCGAGCAATCGAACATGTGTGCGCAACAGGCGCGTTGCCATGTCCAGCTTCATCGGCCACTGTGCGTATGCAATGAAGGATATACTGGAAACGCCTTGCAGAACTGCTACCTTCTGGGATGCCGTTCTGATGGGGAGTGCGCCGCCAACGAGGCCTGCGTTAATCAGCAGTGCGTTGATCCATGTGGATTCACACAGTGTGGAACTGGAGCCATCTGTCGGGCTGACTTCAACCATCGTGCTAGGTGCCATTGCCTAGACGGATACCGCGGCAATCCTTTGGTGCGTTGCGAACGTCCAGAATGTCGCTCCGATGATGAATGCGCCTTCCACTTGGCCTGCCGTAATGAACGCTGCGAGGATCCGTGCAACTGTGGCATTGGAGCCCAGTGTCGTGTGGAAAATCATCGTGCTCAGTGCCGTTGTCCAGCCGGTTTCAGTGGAAACCCAGCCGTAAGATGTGACCTCGTGCCAACAGAACCAGAAGGATGTACCATGGATGCGGAATGTCCCAGCAAATTAGCCTGCTTCGGCGGCGAATGCAAGAACCCGTGCACTGTCACACATCCCTGCGGTGCCAATGCAATCTGCGAAGTGGTGGACACCCTACCCCTACGCACCATGATGTGCAGCTGTTTACCTGGCTATGTGGGTGAAGCCGACATTGGATGTCACAAAGGTAAGAAACGGCATGAATCACCAGGTGCTTAGAGTGAGATGGTTTGTTAGACAACAAGTGAACTCATTCTAACTTAAGTTATTTTTGAGTCCAGCTTTTTTAAAATATGCTTTATTTTTGAGTTTGCTTATCTCATTGCAGCAGCAGTTTTTATATAAAGTGCTTATACGAATATATATTTTTAATTACAAACCCATTTATAGTGATGCACCTTCTGAGCAGTTGCACCTATATATATTTTGACTGCACTCTATAACTCTTAACTGTTGCACTTAAACACTTAGCAAAGTCATTTAAATTTATAACATAATATTAATATATTTTTCTCACGACCAGAACCCCCGAGAGATCAGGGCTGTACGTCGCACGATCAGTGCCAGGATACGGAAGCCTGTCGAGGCGGAAACTGTGTCAATCCCTGTTTGGATGCCTCGCCTTGTGCCCGCACCGCCCAGTGTTTGGCCCAACAGCATCGTGCCATTTGCAGCTGTCCTGAGAGAACCCAGGGAGATCCATTCACCAACTGTTATGAGCCACGTAAGCTGAAATCAATATTAATATCATTCTGAATCCACTAACATAATAATCACAATTTTAGCTGAAGTCAAGACCGGTTGCACCCACGACTCGGAGTGCCAGCCGAATACGGCTTGCATCAATAAACGCTGTCAGGATCCTTGTGCCGAGGCCAATCCTTGTGCCGGCAATGCCGAATGCCGCGTGCAGAACTCAAGACCGATCTGCTTCTGTCCAGCTGGTTGGGGTGGTGACCCACAAGTCCAATGCTACAAACGTAAGTCCTTAAAAAATCTTCTTAATGTGGCATTTAATAATTTTATCTTTAATCCATCAGCCGAATGCAAAATCAATGCCGATTGTCCATATGACAAGACCTGCTTGAACGAGAACTGCGTGGATCCCTGCACACATGGCCAGGTTCGCTGCGGTAGTGGAGCCCAGTGCTTAGCGCAGAACCACCAGGCTGTTTGCATTTGCCCATCCGGAACTCAAGGCAATCCCTTCATCTCTTGCATCACTGGACACTGTCAATACAATGAAGATTGTGCTGATCACGAGGCTTGCGACCGACTGAATCGCGTTTGCCGACCAGTTTGCGACCAGGAGACGTGCGCTCTGAATGCCATCTGTGTGGGTCGTCGTCATCAGCCGCAGTGCGAGTGCCGACCCGGATACCAGGGCAATCCACACGTCCAGTGCGATATACCAGTGAAAACGCCTAAGCCTCAGTGTACCCAGGATGCTGATTGTCCATCGAAATTGGCGTGCATCAATGAGCGATGCGCAGATCCTTGTGACACGCCTCATGTTTGCACTCCGCAGCAGACTTGCACGGTTTTGGATACTCTTCCGAAACGAGCTATGGCCTGCAAGTGCCCCGGTGATACGGTTACCGATATTTCCCGCAATTGCGTGCCCATAACTGTGCCCAAGGTCATCACTGGATGTCAGCATAACTCCGAGTGTGCCAACCCAGAGGTCTGCTCGAATGGAAATTGCCTGGATGCTTGTCGACTGGAAAGATGCGGAGTTAACGCTCAATGTACCGCTAGGGATCACTATGCGCAGTGCAACTGCCCTAAGGGCTTCCAAGGAAATCCACGCATCGAGTGTTACACAACAGAAGTCGATAGACCTAGAATTCCCAGTCCTGGCTGCTCTCGCAACGATGATTGTCCCAATGATCAGATTTGCCGTAACGAGATTTGTATTAGTCCGTGTGCTTCGGATGCCTGTGGAATTGGTGCCTACTGCCATGTGCAGCAACGCAAGGCTATCTGCCGCTGTCCACCTGGCTATTCCGGAAACCCACAAGACCGCTGTCTGCCACGTAAGTGTTAGAAATTAGAATCTCTTTTAAATTATTTTAATACTTATTCGGTTTTTCATTTATGCAGCTTCCGATGTGATCTTGGCGGGCTGCAAGTCCAGCACCGACTGCCCAACCAACCAAGCCTGCATCAACACCCAGTGCGCCAGTCCTTGCAACTGCGGACCAAATGCCGAGTGCACGGTAAAGAACCATCATCCGATCTGCTACTGCAAACCTGGATTCTCCGGAAATGCCCAGTTTGGATGCGCACCTATTGGCTGCCAGTCGGACGACGAATGCAGCAGCGACAAGCAGTGCCTGAACCGCGAATGTATCAATCCCTGCCTGGCAAGCGATCCTTGTGCCCTGAATGCCGAGTGCTTCGGACGCAATCACCGGGCTAATTGCCGCTGTCCGGTAGGATTGGAGGGTGATCCGTTTGTGCGCTGTCTGCGCTTGGAATGTCACTCAGACTATGACTGTGCCTCGAACCTAGCTTGCGTGTCCAACGAATGTGTTAGTCCATGTGGTCAACGCAATCCTTGTGCCCAGAATGCCATCTGCCAAGCCCTGCAGCATCGCGCTGTTTGCCGTTGTCCGGATCAATTGCCCTTGGGCAATCCGTTCGCCTATTGTGAAGCTAGACAACTGGAGCCAGTTTGTCGCGATGACGGAGATTGTCCAAGTAAGTTGGCCTGCATCGATGATAAGTGCCAGAATCCTTGCACGGAGCTATCACCGTGCCACCAAACCGCTCGGTGCAGTGTCTTAGACAGCGTTCCTGTACGAACCATGGTATGTGAGTGTGCGCAGTACGAGGTGCCAGATGCCAGTGGAGCATGCAGAAAAATGGTACCTCCCAGGCAACCTGGATGCGAAAGTGACCAGGACTGTCCCGACCAAGAGGCCTGTATCCACGCCCAATGCCGCAACCCGTGTAATTGTGGAACCAATGCCGTCTGCCAAGTGACCCAGCATCGTGCCGTGTGCAGCTGCCAGGACGGATTCGAAGGAAATCCCTATGCTTCTTGTCGCTCGATTGGATGCCGCGTTGATGGAGAGTGCGATTCGGGCAAAGCCTGTATCAATGGTGACTGCATCAACCCATGCTTGATTAATGATCCATGTGGACCGAATGCCGAATGCTATGTGCAATCGAACCGTGCCCAGTGCCGCTGCCTGAGTGGCTATCGAGGAAATCCTTACGAGCGTTGCCGTGTTATCGGTTGCAGCAGTAACAACGACTGTCCCACGGATAAGACCTGCCAGAACGAGCAGTGCGTGAATCCCTGCGTTTACCACAACCCTTGTGCTCCGCGTGCGGAGTGTAGGGCTCAGAACCATCTGGCAGTTTGCCGCTGCCCTGCCGATTTCTTAGGAAATCCCTACGTAGACTGCAGACCGCCGCCACAGCCCATCTGTCAGTTGGATACCGACTGTCCTAGTCGCCAGGCTTGCATCAATGAACAGTGCGTGGATCCTTGCGTGGTCTTGGATCCGTGCCAACGACCTGCTCTGTGCGAGGTGACACCCACTTCCCCTGTGCGCACGATGCTCTGCATCTGCCCAGATGGCTATGTCAGTAGTGGAAAGGGAGGATGCAAACCCACACCAGCAATCAAGGAAGGTTGCATATCAGACTCAGACTGTCCCGCGGATAAGTCCTGTCTGAATAGCGTATGCCGAGATCCTTGTAACTGTGGCTTGAATGCGGAGTGCCGTATCAAAGATCACAAACCTGTCTGCACCTGTCGCCAAGGATTTGAAGGAAACCCAGAGTTCGAGTGCTCGAAGGTCGAATGCAGCATCAATTCAGACTGCCCAGGAACTCATGTGTGCCGTAATCAGCTCTGCATCCCTGCTTGCCAAGGTGAACAGTGTGGAAACAATGCCCAGTGCCTCGCCATTGAGCATCGTGCAGTATGCGAGTGCATCCCAGGACATGGTGGAAACGCCAGAATTGCTTGTACTCCATTGGGATGCCGATCCGATGATGAATGTCCAACGGACAAGGCTTGTGTCAACGGTAAATGTAATGATCCTTGTACAACGACTGCCATTTGCGCCCAGGACGAGCTTTGCAAGGTATATCAGCACCGACCGCAGTGTGCCTGCCCGCCAGGAACTGTACCCGGAAAGAACGGCTGTGAATCGGAGCGACATATTCCCATCTGCATCAGTGATGCTGATTGTCCCAGTCAAAAGGCCTGTCTGCGCGGAGAATGTGTGAATCCTTGCAATGCCACCGAGCCGTGCGGAGTTAACGCCTTCTGCAGCGTCAGAGATACTTTACCTGTAAGAACAATGATCTGCGAGTGTCTTGAGGGATACACCGGCAATCCAGCCGTGCAGTGTGACAAGCGATCCCTGTGTGTCATTGAGAAGGGCTTCGTTCGCGATGTGGACGGACAATGTGTCTGCCCGCCTGGAACTGCTTTGGACATCTACGAATACTGTACCCCATGCCGAGAGGAGCAGGGCTTCCGTATCGACGAAAGCGGACATTGCGTGTGCGCCCTGGAGCGTGGAATGGTGATCGACGAACGTGGTCGCTGCACTTGCCCCATTGAGCTAGGCTACCGTTTAACTCCCCGTGGCGAATGTCAGCCTGAGGAGCCGCCAGAGTGCACGAGCAACGATCAATGCGCTGATAACCGTTTCTGCAACCTGGACACCAAGACCTGCGAAGATCCCTGCCTGACCAAGGTGTGTGGTGTGAATGCCTTCTGTAACGCGGTCAATCACCGTGCCCAGTGCCAGTGCATTACTGGCTACACAGGCAATCCTGAGTTGCATTGCAACCACACTAACTTCCGCACCGATTTCCCAAGACCCGATATGGTGGTCAGTTGTCTGGCCGATGGCGTTCAAGTAGAGATCCATATCACAGAGCCTGGATTCAACGGAGTACTGTACGTTAAGGGCCACAGCAAGGACGAGGAGTGCCGTCGGGTAGTCAACCTAGCTGGTGAGACTGTTCCCCGTACCGAGATCTTCCGCGTCCACTTCGGTAGCTGCGGTATGCAGGCCGTGAAGGATGTTGCCAGCTTTGTACTGGTCATCCAGAAGCATCCCAAGCTGGTCACCTACAAGGCCCAGGCCTACAACATCAAGTGTGTCTACCAGACTGGCGAGAAGAACGTGACCCTAGGATTCAACGTATCAATGTTGACAACAGCCGGAACAATTGCCAACACAGGACCACCGCCCATCTGCCAGATGCGCATCATCACCAACGAGGGTGAGGAGATCAACTCCGCCGAGATCGGAGACAATCTCAAGCTTCAAGTAGATGTGGAGCCAGCGAGTAAGAATCCAAAATTTTTTAACATTTCAGCAAATTTTTTAATAATCGCTACTTTTTATTCACAGCCATTTACGGAGGCTTTGCCCGCTCTTGTATTGCGAAGACTATGGAGGACAATGTGCAGAACGAATATCTGGTCACGGATGAGAATGGCTGTGCTACGGATACCAGTATCTTTGGAAACTGGGAGTATAATCCGGACACAAACAGCCTGCTGGCCAGTTTCAATGCGTTCAAGTTCCCGTCGAGCGATAACATCCGCTTCCAGTGCAACATACGAGTTTGCTTTGGACGCTGCCAACCTGTCAACTGTGGTGGCTACAACGCCTTCGGGCGACGTCGCCGTTCCATTGCTGACAATTCCACCGATTCGACCGCCATTGCCACGAATTCGGGTGTGGAGGGTCAACTGCGCGAGGAGATCACCATCTCGTCGAATGCCATTTTGACATTCGAGAAGCGTAGCGGTCAAGGCCTTAATGATGCCAATAGTAAGTAGACCAGAATAATCAAAAATAACCGAACCCAAACTAACATTGATTATTTTATTCTACAGTCAAACCGGCGGCTCAGAGGGTCGAGGATATCTGCGTGTCGATGGTGGGACTAATTATTGCCCTGGTCATCACTGCCCTGTTGGCTCTCGTAGCCGTTGCCGTGGCAGTTTCCTGCTGGCTTATGGCCTACAGGAGGAGGCCCAAGACCATTGCGCCCCTGCCCCATCCACCAGAGTTCCCCAACCCGCTATTCGCCAATCCCGACGCAGTGCCCGAGCCAACGCCGGACTACATATCCTAAACGTAACGTAAAGATACACTGACATACATACACACCTAGCTATATCTTTAGTCTGTAAGAAAATTTAATGAAAATGAATATGAAAATTATGTGAATATTTGAAAGGCAAGTGCAAAAAGATCTGCAAAATGCAAAACAGATTAAATCGCGAAAAAGTATCAATATTGAAGAAAAGAAAAGAAAAACAAAAGTACAGTTGTGAGCTGAAAGTATAGTCGGCTCTGTTGGCCGTAAAACGAAACTATGAAAAGATTGAATTATTGTAAAAAGGAAATATGACGAAACGAGAATCGCATGAAAAATGCATGAAAGTAATTTAGTAGCTTAAGAAAATAATTTTATTAATTGTATTAACGTTTAGTATTCTCCTTCCTACTAATATGAGAATTCCGCGTAGTGTTTGTACGTTTAGCTGCCACATAGAGTTCACAAACTGCCAAACAGATGTGAGGGAATTCACACATAGAGAGTGCAGCTACAAACGAATTCTCGTCCTCTAACGACAACTTCTTCATTAGTCGAGTATCAATATTAATACTGTTAAATATGTATAACTAAAGACTTCCTATAAATATTTAGGGTGTGGGTAGTAGCAACGACACTTTGTATTATAGCACAGACACACGCACACACAACTGCAACTACTTCCTGTAATTTAGATATGAACTCTACTCGCCCGTTAAAATTGAAAACTGCCTTTAATTTCCAACAAGAACGAACAATGCACCCCAGAATACTCTCTACCAGATTCTAAGAGATCGTTGGACCAAAATCGATGGGTTACTATTCCTCGTGTATCACCTATAACCACTGGACAATATGTCAACGATTGTCTCAGTTGAGTTGTAAGAAAGCTATAGAGTAAAAACACACACACACACACACTGAGAAGAAAGACACTTTACTCAGCTTACAAAACGTGGGAAAAGTCCCAACAAGATCTAGGTATCAACTCTATATGGGAACATAACTATAACTGCCACTGAGGCGTCATCAGCGCACAAAAGATACTTATCTATTGCATAGGAAATACTAGGTTTGTTTTAATTTTAATCGAAATGACGACTAATGGAGGATTTGATTTTGACCAACTATCCCTCGACCACTTACTCGTACTACACTCTACTATGATTAACCATTATTTTTGTAGTTTTTTAGTCAATTAATATTAAATTGTTGTGATTGTTTTTAATGCAAAAGAGATACTTCCACTAACTTACTAATATGTAGAGACAAAAGTATAGAAAGTACTTAAAAAAAGGCAACGAACCAGTGCCCTTGTCCCGCCCCCTTTCCCATACTCATGGGGAACAGCTTGCCGCTGTCGACGCGCCGGAAACTATGCAGCGAATTTCCGTTTCTGGAGGCCGTTTTACAGAGCTTGTCTTTTCCTGATGAGATGATGGCTAAGGGAATAGCGGGATCGGGCCTGGATAATTAAATTATTAAAAATGAAGTTTTAAATTAATATTATTAAACGTAAACAAAATGTATAGTCACTACTTTAAGAAGAAAGATAATTTTCTTTATAGTAAAATACCATACAAAATAAACTCGCACTCAGACACGTACACAAAGAGACAGAATTTGTAAATAATGCACAGGCAAACTCTATGGTATTTTTAGTAGCGCATTATTGTGTATAGGTTTCTACACGTTGACTCTCAAATCCGAACTAAATCACAGGCTAACCTTAACCCATGCCAGGCATAAAATTATTTTCTTAAACCATAGACCATAACCATAATAGAATATCTAAGAAAGTGCACAAATTTTGCAACCGCCTCGTTCACAATTACCAAACACTTTTATTTTTCTTTACAAAAAAACCGCTTAAATATCTGATCCTAACTAAAGTTACATTGAATATAGACACAACTTTTTGCACTGGCAGCAAATATAAAAGGGAAAATAAAAAGAATAAGACTCGCTCTTATTGTAAAAAGACAACAATAGTTAAATTGTACTTATAAAGAAATGTATTTAAAAGGAAAAAAAGAGAAACGAAAATAATTGTAATCGCTTATTGTAAACTAATAAATAAATAAATAAATATAAATAAACAAATGCATTCCGATTGTGTTTGGCGGGTGGCTCACTTGATTATAATTAAATTAAATATTCCACCAGCATTTCAATTGGGCTTGACTCGAATCTGGCCACTTAAATGACCAAGCCGGCATATACTTAATATACTTGGCGAAAATTAAAGCTTCTTCTTATTTGTGTTCATATAATCTGAATTAATATTCCAGCATTTTGGGGACCGAGAACAAGCCTAACCCGTAGTGCTTCTTAAATCTGACCGCTATCAACAAAGACCCCATTTCTGTGTATTACTGGATCGGCTCTCCGGCTAAATATGGTGAGAGCGTTGAGATATAGCTGACCATATATATAGAGAGAGTGAGAGCGGATCGAGTTTGTGGTGTGCCACAGCAGTCGCAAGTGTAAACGATATTCGCAAACGTGGATTGGATCAGTTGACATTTGACAGCGCGCGTGCTGGCACGTTTTCGTGGTCCTCCTCCATGGACCGACGGTTAATCCAAAATTCAGTGTGTCTACGCCGGGGCCATTAAGTTGTCGAAAGTGCGGTGTTGCTTGGCAAGTAACATACCAAAAGTTGAACACCCCGGCACATTCAGATCGGAGCGTTATCTTGATTCGCCCGATTGACGTCGTCGTGTAATTTAATGTGCGTTGATTATGTTATTACCATTATTATGATTGATATTAATGCTTTCTTCACTGTATGAATGAAAAGCCACACAAGAAAATAAATTAAATTGCAGAAAAAAGTGAATTAAAATGAATGAAATTACCATTATTAGTGTCAGTCGCTGTCGGTCTGATTATCATAATTAAAGAATGTGATTATCTTTCGGTTTAGGCGCTAAACGCTGGCCGTGAATATTTTTGTTTTTGTTTAATCTTTTTGAGTGCCACAAAGGAAATCAATAAAAGCAGCGTTTAATGGCTGTTTGTTTGGGGCAGCAACTGGGCAAATAAAAATGTTGTATAATGGAGAATTTAGCACTTGATGGGCACAACTTTCATTAACAAGTCGGGGTGCTAATTTTGTTTTATAGTCCAGTCTGCTACGAGGGGGAGAATTATGCCCGGAATAGAACATCTGTTTAAAGGTGCCGCAGCTTTGTATACTCGTATATATTATTTACAACTTACAATAAAGTAGAAGCATCTTAAACGATGTCACTCTGTATCTCCCATTGTTAGACCTCAAATAAGCAATTACCAAAACATTTCTCAGCATTTTGCTTTCTCAGCAATAATTCCAAGCGAAAAACCAATTAAGTTCACACATAGTACCATAAATGATTTATTGGCCGGTAAAGGTAATCAATCAGGTTTTTTTCCTGAGGAATTGAATGAAAGCCCCAAAAAGCCAACAGATGATATTTTAAGAAGCTTACTACTCATACACAGTTATGTAAATACTTTTGGAATTCTTCCAAGCTTTGTTTGATCGGGTTTTATTCGTGCCTCGCGCTCTGGAAGAAAATTTACATTTTTACTACTTGAGTCTTGGCTGATTTTCATATTACAACGAAAACCCCCTAGCGTGCTTCGGCACTTGATATGTGATATATGATATGTGTATGGCAAGATGCGTAATTATTAATTACGGCATAGTTGAGCCATTCTGTGCGAACTCAGTGACCCTCGGGGTCTGGTCATGACCGAAGAGTCACTGGAGCAAATCGAGTGCCTATGACGTAGTGCCTCCGTGTTTATTCACAAGCGGAAACTTTCAAATTCATTTCGTTGGAGAAGAGCCCAATATGGGTAAAAGTGTGATTGGTAGCCAACGAAATGAAAGCAGAATGAGAAATGCTTTCCAAGAAGGCGACTAAGAGAGGGAGCGAGACCGCAGCAAACGTTTAGGGCCAGACTGGCGATAAGATACAAATTTGTATCTGTCGAGTCAAGTGCGAGTTGCTGTTTACCTGTGTGGGCCTGAAGAGCTTGTGTGTGAGTTTTATCTGTGGCGGTGATAAAATAAAATAAAAATGGGACAAAACTTCAGCTTGTTTATTTATATAAACAAACACAAAAAATATATATGTATATGAACTGCATATAAAAATTCCCCACTTAAGAAAAGAAAATTTTGTCAGTTTTATGGGAGAACAATGAGTCGGGAAAGTGAATTGCCAAGAAAGTGATAACAATTTGCTGAGAAGGGTATTAAACAACAGGACAATAAAGCACTAAAATAAAATATTACCAAATCGGTAAACGAATAACAAGTTATTTCGGTTTAATTTTAAACACAACTTTTAAGAAAGTAATCACCTTTATTAAAGCAAATAAAGATAACTCGTGCTCGCTTTCACATGATTTAGTTTATTTTGATTTAATAGCTCATACTCACGCGGCAAACAACAACAACATTGTGCAATTCAAGGTTTAAATGTGATTTAAAATTGTGTCAACCGGTACTCGCAATCGTAGATTGCGAACATTAAAAATGATAGATATGAAAGTGGCCCCAGCATCAGAGAACCAGTGCAAAAATAAACAACAGTCGGCTTTAAAAATGATTTTATGATAAAGCGACAAGCAAATAGTAACTAGAAACCTGCAACTAGCAACATATCAACCAGCAACAAGGCGCACAGCGACGAAAGCAATACGAATTTTTATGCAGAGAGAGCGTCTCTCTCAGCCTTCCAGATGACGGACAACAATGATGCCAGCCAGGTGCCGGCCACCACTTCTGATCAGGTGGTTAGCAGTCGTGCCCCGCCCACTGGCATAACGCCCTTGAGGCATAGCCAACTTTCTGATAGCGGCGCTGAAAGCTGCTACGAGGGCGACGAACAGGCACGACTCATACGATCGTCGTCGTCGCGGGCCCACAAGTTCATCATAATCCCGGCCACGCCGGGTACTCCACCGGCAACCGGTGCTGGACCGGGACCACTGCCTTTTCGCCAGACTAGCTCCACTACTTCACTGGTGGCAATGGCGGCTGCTCTGCACAAGCAGCCACCTCTTCGCCAGACATCAGTGAAGTCCAGGCCTAGTTCTGAGGTTTTACAGCCCGGCCAAGTACTGGCTCACCCACCTGCAGCAGCGGGATCCACCTCAACGGTGACATTCACTATCGACGATTGTGATGGACAAGTCAGCCCAACTCCAGCGCCCGTGCCAGTGCACGTGCCCGCCATCTCACCCACCCCCGCCACCTTGACCAGCACTACCACCACCACAATGGCCGGAGATTCGGTAGCCATCTCGCCGCTCAGCCAGGAGCTAAGATCGCGAATAGGCAGCCACCATAGCAGCATGCGCTCTGTGGTCTCAGGTTGGTGACCGTCAAACCTTATAACCCTTCCCCCATCAACTAGAACCCTCATATTGAGTTTCCAAGTACTTATATGTAATCGACCGTAATCAATTGCTTCGCTTGGAAACCCTTTAAATCTTTTAATTACATTCATTTGAAGAGGCCATTAAAATGTTGTGCTACATATAATTAAACGTCTAGCTCTAAAGTACCTAACTACTTTTCAGCGAATGTTAGTAAGAAAACTAAAATCCATAGCATGTAGCAAAATGAAAAAAGAGTTCATTGAAATTTAAAACTAGCTCTATTTTTGCGCTCAATTATTTAAATTTAGCACAAAGTTTTTAGACCTTAACAAGTAGTATAACTACTCGCAATTTATAATTTTATAATGCCTTATAATTGTAAATGAACTTCTAAAAGTTGAGTAAGGCCAACACTTTGTTCCACTTTTAATGCCCATAAATAACTAACTTTAAAACCTAGAGAAGTAGCGTTAAAAGGAAATGTAAATAATTTGATTTGCGGTTGTAAAATATATACATAAATTATTTATATACTCTGTAAAATAAATTATGTGACAGTAAACATATTAAATCAGTTATAAAGTCTATTCAGTAAAAAGTAACATGATAAAACGAACTTTTCTGCCTAGTCTTAACAGATTTCTTTATGTTCAATCTAAGATAATATCTCTCACTTGTAATTATGCCGCCAATGCTTTTTCGAAATCCCCGCAGGCTACCTTCCGGGCCTAAGCGATAGCAGCGGCAATCTGGTCGGAGGCATATCGATGGCCACTTCCGGATTACAGGCCCCTAATCCACTTTATATGCAACCACAGGCCTCGCTGAGCGGCAGTACCTATCAGTTTCACGACCTGGCCGGGAACCAGATCTATTCCGATGTGACCTCCGTTCGCTCGCTGGCCTCCATTGGTATTGGGTCCACGGACGGACGCAAGCTGGTAATCCGGCGAGTACCCACCACCGCCAACGAGCTGTTCGACATGGTTAACCCACAGACGCCACCGTAAGTGATTTTTTAATGATTATTTAAGAAGAATATTACCCAAATATAAAAACCTAGCTATAGTTTGGGAAAATGGAATATTATCCATGAAGTTTACTTTCGAAAGTCTCAAGTAACCTTAACCAAGCTCTGAAAACCTTTTTAGAAATTGATTAGGAACTTACTAACAAATATCTAACTTAGTTTTGATTTTTCTCCGTGTGAGTTTAGGGCCATTAGTTTGACAAAGGGGAGCCGATAAAACGTTCTAACAGTTGTGGCAAATTTGGCCAGCATTTGGCACCTTACCATAGAAAGCTAGTGTTGAACATTTGGCAAACACTTGATTTTAACACCCTTATGGCATCTTTGGGAGCGGGGGCCACATGATTGCCAACGGGCCCGAAACGTGCCGATCGCAGATCAGCTATTTTTAAGCAATGTTCCTTAACAAGATCAATAAATCGATACAAAAATCGAACAGTAGTATTTGTGTTGACCAGAGCACTTACCACTTCCCATTGTGTGCTCCATAAACATCGAGATTGTAGGCTGAAACCCGACGGAAAATTGCCGGATTCGTAGTCAGTAATGCGCCAACCCACAAACCGTTCAGTTCCCACTGCCAGTTCCATCCTAGTTTCCTTGGCTCCTGCCACATATAATCCAGGAATCCAGTGATGGCCACATGGATAACGTGATTTAAGGAAGCATCACAAGTTATTCCTGCCTTTAGATATCTTTATAGTAATAACTCAAGCCAAAGGAGTCCACAAGATTCAAGATGCCAAACCACCAGGAATATGATGTTCAGTCCTCGAAGCACTCGGAGCAGTCCTTCTATCGCTTCAATCGTGTGGCCAAAGTGTAAGATGTTCTTATTAAGAACCCATCTGAAAAACTTCAGTTGCATAACGAATCAGGCCATTAAACAGTGATCAATGGCTATATGTGATCGTGTGATTTATTTGGTCTAAGCATTAGCGGTCGTTCGCTGATTAAACATGAATGATTATTTAATGGTTAACTGGACTGTTTATACCAGACTTAGCACTACTCCACAAAGAAGAGCAAATATATGATCTTTCTTTTAAACCATCCATATATAGTGATGTTGTGCTGAAAAGTGTTTAAACTTTAGGAATATTTGAAAAATTTCAATTAAATTTTTTTTTTACAGCTCTTGTTAGAAAATAATATAATTAAGTTATTAAATCCACTAAAGTTAAGATTACAATAGATAGATAGATCATTAAACAAAACTCATTTATATTACTAAAATCGCCGTGTTCAAAAGGTTTTTTTTAACATGCGAAATCACAACTGCACTTTTTCGATATTTCCCCCATTTAATCAAAACACAGAAATGATAAAAAAAACCGACACGAACGGCAGTTTAATTCGTGACACCTCCACCCACACCACAAATTGCACACCCCATTCAGAAGCCACCCATGACATGACAACCCCGAATCAGATTCTCCGGGCACAATGCACCGCCAGTTGGCACCTCCATTGGAATAGCCAGCCCCCACTTTGTGGACTGCGTCCATGTGATTACTGCAATTAAGCCATTTGACGCATCAACTAATTCAGCGTGTGCTTTACATATATGGTTATTTTTATATCTTTCCCCTTTTTAGACCCTTGGGCATCGATGATGATGACAGCTACTTGGACATGTCCGACGAGACCGCCCATCTGAAGCCGCGTCAGCAACACTGGGCCAACAAGATGCAGTTCGTCTTGGCCTGCATAGGATACTCGGTGGGCCTGGGAAATGTCTGGCGGTTTCCTTATATGTGCTACAAAAGTGGCGGCGGTAAGTTATAGTTAAATTAAGACAGACCATATTTATCTCTTAATCAGAAATGTGCAACGTTATTTAACTTATTATTAGACATAACTACTTATACTTTTATCTGTGTCTTAAAACAAATCTCCGATTTAATTGAAAGTTAAATATGGGGGTCAGTTGTAGTCAATTCCCAGATTCCCACTGAATGTCAGGCCTTTTCCGGGGAAGGCTTAGCGGAAGTCCATCGTGAGAGTCCAACAAGTGACTAAGAGTGCCGCCAAAAGCCTGTACATGCGATAAGGCAGATAGTTACTTTGATTTCGTGCGACGACACCGGGAAGATATTTTTTTTAGTTTTTGGTTTTTGTTTGTTTTAGTTGCTCTAAAAACATTTGACAATTTTGCGCTTTAAGCGGCATTTCCGCTGAAGCGTTTAAAAGCCATAAATTAAAATTTGTTTAAGCTCAGAGCAGCGAGAATAGAGAATAGAGCGGTCACTGTCATCATTTCGACGGTGTTTCTCGATCACGCGAGCTCGGAGGCCAGCGTCCATCTTCATTTGCACTTGGAGACTCGGAGCTGGGCCTCCCATTTACATTCCTCATTTCTCGGGGGGGAATGGCAATGGAAATGGGAATTGTAATGAGCTGTTCGGCTGTGGAGAACTGGAACACGGTCTCCTGCCAATGACGCGAGGAGCGATAGACAGTAATATGCAATTTGCATTTGTTTATGTCAAATATTTATAATTAATTTAAATTATTTGTTTAGCTGCTCTCGCCCATGGTTACACGTACAAAAATGTTTTTCTGTTTGTCGTTTACAGGTGTTTTTCTAGTACCTTATTGCATAATACTGTTCATATGCAGCATTCCGCTGCTCTTCATGGAGCTATCTGTGGGTCAATACACGGGACGAGGTCCCATCGGGGCATTGGGTCAGCTGTGCCCTCTTTTCAAAGGTGAGTTTTAAATAAATATTATTTAAAATTTTCTTGCAACTAAATATTTAAATATAAAATATTAGAATACAAAATATTACAATATTTATGTATGAACTATTTTTTAAGTTTCCTTGTCGTTCCGTCATTTATTAAAATAACGTCACGCTTTTCATAACATCAGAAACCCCCAGCAAAACAATAGAAAACTAGGCTTGCCCAACTACCATGACAAACAGAATAGAGGGCTTATGTTTTGGCCAAGTCCATGGCCAAGGTCGGCCAAATATTTAGCTAGCTTGTTGAGCTCTATTTTGCGTTCTGATTTACACCGAGTATCCGTATCCACAATCAACATTCCCGTGCGATGCTCCACTTGCATACTAGCGGAAGCTAATTAGCTGGGTCATTGTTGTGGAGGTGGCGTGAAAACCTGAAGGTAAAGCGGGAAAATTTACCCCGCCTCCCATGCCGCTTCCCTCTCGGTCGAAGGCTAAGCCTATCATTACTGCCGTGAATCAAGAAAAAAAAAAATAAAAAACTTTTTGCTGTTTTTGCCGTTGCCAAACGCTTAATTACTGTCAATATTTTGCAAACAAACCACGCCCACGCGACCATTGAAAGGCAGGGGCAAGCTAATAAATATTAATAACGTGTAAAACTATTTAACCAAGATTCGCGAGCGACTTCGAACGGATCCAATTGTCACCGTATGTGGCCGACACATGGCCAATTATGCAGATGAGAGCCAGTCTAGACATGTGATTCCAAACAAAACCGGTCCGACTTTCATCTGGCCTAATTAAGACTAATTTTTCGTATGCTCTACTCAATGCAACTGCCATTTAGATCATTATATATCATTCAGTTGCATCAGGAGATCACCGACTTATTTAGGCCTCGGCGATAAGTAATTCAATTGTAATTTTTTCCTTCTCAGGAGCCGGTCTCGCCAGCGTGGTCGTCTCGTTCCTTATGTCCACCTACTATAGTGTCATCATAGGTTATTCAATCTATTACTTTTTCACGTCGTTCAAGACGGAGATGCCCTGGATCGACTGCAACAATAGGTGGGTTTTCAATTATCCTATATTTTTAAGTCAATATTATAAATTAGCAATTTTTAGATGGAACACACCAGATTGCTGGGTGCCTCAGCGCAAGGAGATGAATGCCAGTGCACCGGACACTTCTCGCACTCCTTCTGAAGAATTTTTCGAGTAAGAATAAGATTAATATCTTAAAATATACTTCGCATATCTATCTTATTTAATATGTATAATTTATATCATTTTATAATTTATCTTCTTTACCAGAAACAAGGTCCTTCAGATAAGCAGTGGTCTAGAGTATCCTGGCATGATGCGCTGGGAACTATTCGCCTGCCTGATCTGCGCCTGGCTGATGGTCTACTTCGCCACTTGGAAATCGATAAAGTCATCAGCGAAGGTGCGCTACTTCACTGCCACTTTTCCGTTTGTGCTGATCATCATCCTGATGGTGAGAGCGGTGACCTTGGATGGAGCGGCCGAGGGTCTGCGCTTCTTTTTCCGGCCCAAGTGGTCGGAGCTGAAGAATGCCAACGTGTGGATCAATGCCGCCTCACAAAACTTCAACTCTCTGGGCATCACCTTTGGATCGATGATCTCCTTTGCCAGCTACAACAAGTATAATAACAATATCCTACGAGACACGGTGGCAGTAAGTGCTGTCAATATGATCACCAGTCTGCTGGTGGGTATCTTTGCGTTCTCAACACTCGGTAACTTGGCGTTAGAGCAGAACACCAATGTGAGGGATGTAATCGGCGATGGGCCAGGAATGATATTTGTGGTGTATCCACAGGCGATGGCCAAGATGCCATATGCTCAGCTCTGGGCGGTTATGTTCTTTTTTATGCTCCTCTGCCTCGGTCTGAACTCACAGTTTGCCATTGTGGAAGTTGTGGTAACGTCGATACAGGATGGATTCCCGCGGTGGATCAAGAGACACCTGGGCTATCATGAAATCGTTGTGCTGTTCGTTTGCGTCATCTCATGCCTCTTCGGTATGCCCAACATCATACAGGGTGGTATTTACTTATTTCCAGCTGATGGACCATTACGCTGCCTCTGTAACGATCATGTTCTTGGCGTTCTGTCAAATGATCGCCATTGCCTGGTTCTACGGCACTGGAAGACTGTCGAAGAACATCAAGCAGATGACGGGAAAGGCTCCTTCGCTGTATCTCAGGTCCTGCTGGCTTGTCCTGGGACCCTGTCTACTTTTCGTAAGAGATCTAGCGACTTTGTTTTATAAAATTTATCTTAAATATATATTTGATTATTGCAGGCCATCTGGGTTTTGAGTTTAATAAACTACCAAGAACCCACCTACCACAACGGAAGGTACACCTATCCAGACTGGGCTTACGGAATTGGCTGGATGTTCGCCTCCTTCTCGCTGATCTGCATACCCGGATATGCGATAATTAACTTTTTGCGGTCATCTGGGGATTCCTTTTGGGATGTAAGTCAGAGCTGGATTCCTCTTTTCTGTAAGACCTTTTATTTAAATGTTTGCTCCCTTATATAGCGCATCCGGAACACGCTGAGACCAAACATATACGAGTGCAAGATCTGCGGTGAACACCATTGCGAACACGACTTTCCAGAGCAGGAACAGTTTATGCTGGCCCAAGAAATGTCCACCGTGTACAAGCCAATCAACCCCCACCTGCTGCACCTTAATCAGAAGTCCGGCTACAATGCAATGCATGCCTCACCCTCTCATGCGGTGGCAGGAGGCCCTGGTGGCCAATAGATATTAGAAACCTCTTCCAACACTATTGTTAGCCATTTCTGAGTATTTTTAACGAATCCTTTTTCTAAGTTACCAACAGAAATTAAAATATTTAAATAAATTGTAGTACGAGCCCATTCGATAAAACAGAATTTGAATTTTTTAAAATCATAACATTTGATAAAAGTATCATTATAATAACCCAAATAACGTTATTTTAATCATAAAATCTTAGATAAAATTTGAGAACAACAAACCTAAATAATAAAACATTATATATAAATGATGTAAGGCTATAGTTTTTGCACATACTGATAGAGTACATTGAATTCCTCCAATTTTGGTACTGCGTTAAACGTGCTGCGAGTGCGGCAGTACTCGGCATAGATTAGAAGACTCTTGCGAGGAACGACCGGCGGGCGCACGCTGAGATAGGAGTCAGTGCCGTAATCACTGAGAGGACATAGCATGATTCCTCGCATGATTTTGGCCAGCTCTTGATCGCGCTGGGCAACGGCTGTCTGAGCTGGTCTAGCACCACCGCTAGAAAGCTTGCCCATTTGAACGTACTTCTTATAGACAGCCATGCTTTGTTTGGAAGGCGGATTGATCGTACATCCGTATATTTCCTCCATTGAGGGCAACCCTGATGCCAGTGTGGCAGCGGCAGTTTCCGTAGATTCCGTTTGGTTAATATCCTTCTCTGCAAAACTGGCACTCAACTCCTCGTCGCTTGAGCTATCATCACCCTCGCTGGAGCTAGAAGAGTTGCTGTTCATAGAGCCCGTAGAGCTTTGTCCTGTCATAGAGGGATTCTGACGAGTCTTTCGCGAAGTCTGGATCTGTCGCTGGAAGGGACTGTAATTTGTGCGGAATGTGGGCATATATCGCAGCGCCAATTGACTGATCTCAAAAGCGATGTGCTCGCTAAGATCAGTCCACTTGAAGGACTGATGGTAATTCGAGTAAGCATCGATCATTTCCAGCCCACTACTGTGCACGCGAAACAGCTCCTTAACCAGTTTATTCGAGTCGGCACAGGAGTAGGGCAGACACTCACGAACCTTGTGGCGCACCCAGTCGGTAAGCGGCTTACTATCTGTTCTGGGCACAAAGGCGTTGTGCATGTCGTAGTCAGTCTGCAGCTCCCATATGGGTTGACCCTCTGAACAAAAAAGATTTTGTAATTTATGTAAGATCGAAATATATAATGCTTACGCTTTGTCAAACTGGGCTTATATATGCCCAAGAATAGGTTAATACTATGCTGTTTTTCGGTGTCACTGAACGTGTTGCTGTAGTACCGACTGAGGGTCTGCATCACATCGCTTCCCTGGGATCCCCACGGAGCCGTCTTCCTGTATGTTTTTATCCGGTGCACCAATTGCGAGCCTCCATATTGTAAAGCCAGTGTATCGCCGTGCTCTTCATACAGATTTTCCAGCATTGTAACGCAATCAGAATCGAATTCTAGCTTAGCAGATTTAACGAAACCCAGGCGTTCTAGTTGATGACCCAAAGCACATTTTCCAATAGCAAACTGGGCTGAATTGGTGCGATCCAAGCAATCAACGCAGTTAGTGCGTACGATTCCAGTTTGCAAGCCAGGCTCACTGCCCGCCGCCTTAAAGAACATGCCTGTCATCTGAACGATGCTTGAGGCATGAATGGCTAGTTGCTCCATGACATTGCCGCCACTCAGGCGACTTTGACGCGCCATATCGAAATGGATATGCTTCATGCGATGAGGAGGAGGCAGGAATTGATTGAGATAGCGAATACTGTACTCCAGCTCCTTGGAGATGATTGACTCGTGCTTGCGTCGCTCCCGCTTCTTTACTAAATTCAGCATGATTAGGGGCGCACCATAGTGAAAGAGAAGGCGTTCGAAATGAAGCGATGGAGTCTGCGCATATGGATCACATATGTCCAATTGAATCTGTGGCTTAGGGACCATCTTACTGATATCCTGGGACCAGTGCGAAGGTATTGAACCACGCATTTGGGTGAAGGCGCATATTCTTTGACCATCGCTGACAATCTGCTCTGTCTCCACCTCGTTAGCCACGTCGCCTTGAAAATTAGCTCCACGCTTGAGAAACCGCGTTCCGGCAAAACGTGAACTCCTTCGGGCTACCAGACAAACGTTAACGTGCCGCCCGAAGATGCTTATGCAGGATTGACTAACGAAACCGTGTGTAACCTCCAGAAGCCAGTCTTTTAGCATAATGCCCTCCATGGGCTGCAAAAGGTATGCGTTCCAAACAAACCGCTTGCGAGAATCGCTTCGAAAGGCGTAATCCACCCGCTCGTGGGCCTTGGCCACATTGTTGGTTAGCGTGTTCCAGTCAGGAAGAGGTTCGTCTTGGTCCAGGTCAACCTTGGCACCCACAAATCGTGGTGCGGATTCGTTGTATTGCAGCGTACGCGTAAGATCGTAGGAGTACGAGAAATAAAAATTGCTGCGCAAGTCAATGTTCTGGAACATTCGTTTATAACGATCCTCGTGCGGATGAGGTGGCCTCTGCGAAGTTACCTCGTTCACGCGCACCATTACCGTATCCTTTATGGTATAGACCAAGTGACGTCCGATGTGGGCGCAGCATTTGCGTTTGGTAACCAGCAGCAAGTAGTAGCCCTCAAGGAAGCGCACAAATCCTAGGACTCCATAGGCAGACGTCACTTTCGGCGACCCCGTAAGAGAGGCAACAAAGCGACGTATCTCCAGACTGTTGAATTCATTTGCATTCTCCTCGATACTTAAACGGTTATGAGCCAGTCGATCTATTGTCAAGAGGCGGAACCGAGTCTCCCTGTTGTTACTTCCCACTAAATAGAGCCGCTTAAATGAAAAAAAAACTAAACTATTAAATAAGTGAAAGAAGATCGAAATATGAGGAAATCTTACCGTTCTCGTCTCATAGAGCACAACTTTCTGGATACAACTTATCAATGGGTTAAAAACTATATTTGGGTTGTCATTGTTCATTTTTCTTCACTATTCTTGACTTTGTTTTCGTTTGAAAATTTTCAGTCACTCCCCCAAACAGTCATCAGCTGGTCACCGGGCTTAGAGATGTGAATAGTCGGAGGTGAAGGCAGCGTGAGTGAAAATATGTGGACTCGATTAAACTGATATTTTTATTTTAAACTACATATTTTTAATAATGCTTATTTGTGTATATTTCGGAGATGTCTTTCAAGAGATTTTTTATTCCTGTATGATTTAGAACAGTGTGGGCATGCGATGGTTCTTTCCGTACTATGCAGGAGCATGTGTTTCTTAAGGCAGGTCTTGTGACGAAAGGACGAGGTACACTGGGAGCACCGAAAATTGCGGTTTTCAGAATGGATGCGGATATGTTCATTGAGGTGGTGCTTTAAAATAAAAGCACTTTTGCAATGGGGACACTTATGAGGTCGTTCACCTGTATAAGATTGAAGATGATATTGTAGATGGCTTTTCCTGGCAAATGTTTTTGGACAATTTGGACACTTGTGCGGTTTTTCTCCTACGTGGGTGCGAATGTGCCGCTGAAGGTCCGTGGATCTATTAAAGGCCTTGGAACACTGGGAACACTTAAATGGCCGTTCGCCAGTATGAATTCTTTCATGCGACTGTAGTGTTGCCTGCTGAGCAAAAGATTTTTGGCAGTGAGAACACTCATATGGCTTTTCTGAACTGTGGGTACGTATGTGCGCCTTCAGAATAATCCTGAGTTTAAAGTTTTGAACACAATAGGGGCAAGGGAAGGACTCTCCATTGATGTGTGTTCTTATATGCGTCAACCACGCTCCCTTACGTTTGTATTTCTTAGGGCATTTTCGACACTCAAATAAATCCTCATTCCTGTCGACTTTCTGATTATAATCATCATCGCTTAGAGTGTCATTCCAATCTTCTTCATTGCACTTATCATCTTCTAGCAATAAACGGAGAGCTTGATCGATACCTTCGTCCCGAACTTGGCAGTAAAACTTGTGGCTTCTCTCGCTCGTCTGTCTTATTCCATATGCATTCTTGACATCGATTAAGCACAGTGGACATATCATTTCTGGTAATAAATCGCCACGCTTAACATCATAGCTGGTACACTCTGCAATCATCTCGGCAATGGAAACTCTTGTCTTTCGCCTAGCATCAAAAATATTCACCAAGTTCTCTGACTGATCGAGACAAACTCGACAGATTTCCTGCATAGCGCCTATTTAGGTAAATAAACAGGTGTAAGCTGAACTTTATAACTTATTTAATTACATATGTACCTGCTATTCTTATTTAAACATTGACTTAAAAAAAAGGCTTTTTTCAATGTGCACATTGCACTACATACCCTGTGTTCTGGTACTATGATCCATCGATTTATTATCGATATACATAATGTAATAAAAACTACTTCAAAATATAGTATTTACTGATTTTATTAAATAAAAAGAAGATCATTAATAACAATATAAAAAGATATACTTGGCTACTCCTTATGTGTAAGGATATGTCTGCGAAGACCCCTTTTTTCGATAAAAGACATTTTGCACTCAGAGCATTTAAATGCCTTTTCTTTTTTATGAGTTTGCATGTGATATTTAAGCGTGGTTGCCAAACTAAAGGACTTCAGACACTTGGAACATTTGTAGGGTCGTTCCCCTGTGTGGGTGCGGATGTGGCACTGAAGAGCGGCTTTCACTGTAAAGGACTTTGAACAATGGGAACAGGAAAACGGCTTTTCGCCTGTGTGACAGCGCATGTGATCCTGGAGATGTGATTTCCTTGAAAAAGATTTTGAGCAATCCGTACACCTATGAGGCCGTACGCCCTCGTGAGTGCGAATATGTCTCCGAAGGTCAGAGGATTTAATAAATGACTTAGAGCACTGAGAACACTTGAAGGGGCGTTCTCCAGTGTGAGTACGAACATGCGACAATAGAGTAGCTTGTTGTGCAAAGGTCTTCTGGCAGTGGGAACACTCATAAGGTCGTTCTCCAGTGTGTATGAGCATGTGCCTCTTGAGAAGGCAGCTATGTCTAAATTTTTTCGGGCAATTATCGCACGCAAAAGATGATCCTCCACTCAAATGAGTTTTCGGTTTTTTATGACGAGAGTCAAATGAATCTTCTCTGCTGCCTCTTTTGCCATCATAATCTTCGGTTTCGGAGGAATTAAAGTCGTCTTCATCATTCGAAAACTCCCATTCCTCCTCCTCAAGAAAAGCGCATACAGCCTCCTCAAATCCTTCATCACGGACTTGGCAGTAGAACTGATGGCTTCTCTCGCAGGTCTGTTTAATCGAAAATGCATTTTTAGCATCCTCTAAACACTGTGAACATATCATTTCCGGAAATATATCACCTTGTCTTACTTCAAGGCCAGTACACTCTGCCATCATCTCGGCAATTGAAAGTCTTGTTTTTCGTCTGGCATTAAAAATATTAACTAAATTACCCGAGCTTCCCAGGCAAACACGGCAGATTTCCTCCATTATTCAGAAATTAATTTTGTCACTGAACACCCTGTTATGCTTATGCTGTGTTTTGTAATGTTATCATCGTCTCATCGTGTTATCGATGTTAAATACCATTTTAGAGCATATCTATTAAATTTGAAATTGGTTGGCTAAACTGTAGAAGATACCAACATAACTTGTTGGCAATAACAGTTTTTCAATAAATTTAATGCTAATTTGAAATTTGAAAAAAAAATAGTAAACTATAATCACACTATAGAAACTTGGTAAGAAATATATTTTTATTAGCTTTACATTTTAGAGCATTTAGTTAGGAAGAATTTGGTCCTTGTGAGAGCGGAGGTGATTTTTCAAGGCATATTTATCCTTAAAAAGTTTTGGGCATAATGTACACTTCAACAAAGAGTCATTGTGAGTTCTCATGTGTCTTTTCAAATCGTTGTTAAAGGAAAACGACTCGGAACAAATAGAACAATTAAACCGTTCAACATGGTGATCTCGCATGTGCACATCCAGATCAGAGGAGCTCTTAAAAATCTTAAAGCACATTAAGCACCTAAGAACGTGCTGGTGCATGTGGCTCATAAGCTCTCGCCGAGTGACAAAAGGCATCGAGCATTCAGAGCACTTAAAGGGCCCGCCTTCGTGGACTCTTCCATGCATTGATAAATGTTTCTGTAAAACAAATGACTTCGGACAGAGTTGGCACTTGTATGGTCGCTCCTCGTGGGTCTGCATGTGCGTCTCCAAAAAAGTTTGAGTAGAAAAAAGCATACGGCAGTGACTACATTGAAGCGATGTCTTGTTAATAGCCCGGGTGCATTTCTTTAAATCCGATTGCACCATTAGTCTTGTGTGGGCTCCATCGTCTAACTCCTTTTTGATTGGCTCCTTGAATAAAAAGTCATTGTGAGTTTGCATGTGTTGTTTTAAATCGCTATTAACAGCGAAAGATTCGGAGCATATTAGGCAAGTAAAAGAGTGCGTGCGCATGTGTTGCGAAAACTGGCTACGATTGTTGAAGGTCATGGAGCACTCAGAGCAATTTAAGGGGCCACCTTCGTGCATTTTTCTGTGTCGTATTAAGGAGTTCTTTAAAGAAAAAGTCTTTGGACAGATGCTGCACTTGAACCATCCTTTCTTATGGGTCTGCATATGGGACTCCAGTAAATTTGTCTTAGTTTCTTCATTACATTGCTCAATAGGTGATGTTAGGGCTCCATCGTCTAATATTTCAGTTTTGATTGGCTCGTTGGTCACATCACAGTTAGACGATACCTGGTATTCTTCTTCCTCAATCGGCTCGTTCTTAATTTGGACGTGCATAGACTGGGTGCCGTCTAAACTATATTCCTCTTCTCCAATTTTTTCATTTTTCACTGGAATTTCCTCATCAATTTTTGATTCCTCCATATCGCAGTCAGGAAGAATGCAAGCACCTTCCTCAAATCCTTCTTCAATTATTTGGCCCTTAAACGTTTCTTCTTCTATGTCCTCGTCAAAAAATTCCGAGATTTCGAACACTTCGCCTATATCCTCTTCCTTCGGTTTGATTTCGCACTGGTTACTTTCCTCGCAGGACAGTCTTGCCCTAAATGCTATCCGCGCATCCACCATGCACAACGAGCACACGGTTTCAGGAAATGCATCTCCTCGTTTAACTTCTTTCCCAGTGTAATGTGAAATCACGTCGACATTTGAAAAGCCAACTTCTGATGGCCCATCGAATATGTTTATCATGGTGCTAAAACTGAACCAGCATATTCGACAAGTGGTTTGAGTCCTAAAATTAAATATTTTTAATTGTCTTGAGATCATTATATTAATAATAATTGCTCACCATGTTGTTTTGTTTACCATTTTTACAGAGAATTACAAGTGCACTAACCACCTTATAGTTCTATCGTGTTGGTAAACGCTTAAATTACTATTGATATCGATATTTTAAATTTTAAATGTCAAATAGTCAACCAATTATTTCTACCAATTTAATTTGCTAACATATCCTACAGCTGATAGATAAGTGTACTAGGCACCCTGTGGTGTACCAAAATATCAAACAGAAACTTTTAATATTGATATCGGTAACAGCAATTTAATGCTCATTTAAGAAAAAAAAACACTTAAATAAATGTCGTCTGCACCGATTGCTTCTTTTGAGAATACCCATATTCGCAGCAAATTTCGAGAATATGCCAGGGATCAGCGCCTGGAGTGCCGCATGAAGGCCAAGGACTCGTTGCGCATAGGACTCGGGCAGATAAAAGAGGAGGTGAAAGCTTTGGAGAGTTTGGAAACTAAGGACGTTATTGGAATGGCCGGCAGGATCAAGAGACGAAAACACGCCACAACTGAGGATATGCGCCGCCTGTCAGTAGCTTTTCTCCAAGGCAACGACAACATCAACGCCTTTGCAGGAATTCCTGGCGCGATCCAAGTTCTGGTAAAGGAGCTTACTGGTAAGCATTCGTTCTTCAAGGAAGGGTATTATCTATAAAAAAATACAAATTTTGTAGGACCGCATATTCAGCGACAGATCGATGCTATCGAGTGCCTTTGTAATCTTTCTCTTGGAGAGGCACATGTCTCAGAGAAAATTGCCAGTTTGGCAGGCAGTTACATTGTTACATACCTGGATGGTAAGGAGGAACGCCTTAAGCGAAGCTGTTTGTGGACATTGGCCAACATTCTAGCCACCTGCGAAAAGGCTTGTAAAATATTGTTGCAAATGCAACTGGTGCCGAAATTGTGGAGGGTCTACAATGATTCTAATAGCTGCCAAGAAGATGCAGGTATCTGCCTTAATCTGGTGGTCACCGAACACTTGCAGTATGTGAGTACCGAAGATCGAAATTACATAGCCCAGAACTTGCACAAAAAGAATCTCGGGGATCCCGCCACCGAATATTTTATGTATATAATATATCAATTGGAAATTGTTGGAGAGAATCACGAATTAGGGGCTCAGCAAGCTGAATGCCTGCTTCATTTCATTGATGCCCTTTTGACCTCGGTAGACAGTTTCTGCGTTATTTACGGAGTGCGTGTGTTGGCTAATCTGTTGGCTCTAGGGGACCCTAAACTAATTGGACGTCTGGCAGACCCACAGAATTTTGTTAAAGCCTTAAATCAGCTTTTCGCCTTGCGGGACTCGAATCTCAGTCTGGACCTAATGCGGTTACTGAAGAATTTCCTGCTTCTAAATATAACAGACTCCAACCTTATATTGGATGTTTTACAAGTATACGTATAGTCTCTTTTTTTTTTATAAATAAGTCTTATGTATCTCTTTATTGGTTTGAGTACACATTTAAAAACCAAGCCATAGGCTTTGAGTACCAGAAATTGTGAAATGGGTTTACAGATATTTCCAAAAGGAAACAAAATAAAATATAATAAATAATAAACAAATACATACAATTGATATCAACATGGAAACAAAGTGACAAGCATAATAAACAGGTTTTTGGATAACTTAAATGTCATCTTCGAAAAGGGCGATTATTTGACGCCTTTTAGCTTCGTCGTCAGCGTTCAGTTCATTGCCCCTGTGGACATTGTGATTGTGGACTTCCAGTTCGGAGACCGAGTCAAATACTAAGTTGCATTGCCCACATCGGGCTGAGAATATGGGAGCTTGGGCTTGAGAAATCGATCCGGGAGAGACTGCAGCCCGTTGCAGTTTTTCCAGGAAAGTAGCACGCTCTTTGTGCTTATCCGATACAAGACACAGTGAAGAACCAGCAGCTATTCCACGAATGGGAATGGGCTTTTTCACCGTAGGCGTACTTTGAGAGTTGCGGCTTTCTGAACGCTCAATTGCATACAGAACATTATTCTCCTCCGTGATCGGAGTCGTCGTGCCATTAGAAAAATCGAATATAGCAAATGGCTGTTCCACCGTGCGAGTATCCGGAATCTCTAATGGAATTGTCGGCTCAACCGTTTTCTCGCTGTTAGAAAGTTTTACCTGATTTAGTTTCTCAGCCAGACGCGAGTCTATGGAATGTTCTTGCAGCCAGGTGCAGGTTTTATGCAGAGCGAATATCATACGACGAATAAACTCATGCGGTGAGACCATCTTCTGCCGTCTTATGTCTAGCAGCTTGGTCACCTCGTTCACAAAAGTGACAAATTGGTACTCAACGCAGTTGTCCAGGTGCGACTGCTGCGAATCCTCGAACATGAAGCGCTTGGAACAGGCCGGGCACTTGCGCTCCTTCCACATAGGCTCCGGTATGTTTACCTTGATGTCGCGCAGTTGCAATTGGTCCTGCTCCATGGGATCGTCCTCTTCGAAGTTTGTCTCACTGTAGTTGTAGCAATTCTTGTGCTTACGCAGTAAAGCAGCCTCCTCGTTATCATCACTGGAGCTGGCCACAGCATAGTCGTCTTCTTCGTCTTCGTTTTGGGCACTGCTTGTGGGCATCTCTGTTTCTCGGGAATGCCTTGGCACGACATTGTGATGTTGCTGCTTGTTGAATAGTACATTTAAGTATTCAATTCGTTGCTCAGGACTACCTTCCAGTTGGGGAGCTGCCTGGTTTAGCAGTCGCTTGTGCACCTTGTCCTTGGAAGACTCAAGTTTAGAGCTGTTATTCAACAAAAGATTGTGTACGGGTCGCTGCTCTACAAAGCGAAGATCGTCAGCTGTGAACAGGGCACTCTCTTTGTCTATTTTGTTTGAGTCCGAGATGTTGACTCTCTTCTGCTGGTAGAGGTCGGCCAGCTTCAGGCTAAGGGCATTCTTGATGCACTGCTCACGGAATGTAACTGCGTGCTTAAGATATGAGATACACGGAGCACATATGTTTCGAGGCAGACCGTCGTCCGTGGAATTCTACGGTCAATCAAAAAAAAGATTATATGTGTCTATATGATAGGAAACGTTAACACTTACTTTTAAGCCCGTCGTTTCCTCGAGCAAAATGTTTATTGGCTTCTGCCAATTAAGAAACTCGTTTGTGGAGCCGTGCAGATAAGTAGGGATCTTAGCGAAAATTTCATAGTCTGCGGGACTGCTGCAGATGCGGCAAATATTTCCCCACGTCGTCATACTAATTTTAAACTTTAAACTTAATACTAGTGCCGGAAAAAACAAACAATTACAATTTTTTATGCCGGCGAGTAAGGCCTTACTGCGGAAACTCCAAAATTCCATAGACCGCCCCCGCTAGCATCAGTGATGTCCGCTGTAGCAGCTATTTTGTAGTCTTATTTGCGGAAAAATTATTTTCCTTCCAGGTCTGTTCAAATTTTTTTACAGATGCATTTTAATAAAATAAAAACCATGAAGAATAAAAAATCATATTTCGTCATAATCAAATGGAAATATAAATATATTTACTATCTAACGCATCTTTTATTTACATCGACAATTGGCAACAATGTCAATGTGCTCCACTTGATATGGCCACACTGCATTAATCTGTGTAATTGCATAAACAAACCTCGTTACTGGAATAAAAACACCAAAAATGTCGTTTAATATAATGCAAAAGCTGACCCTGCAGTGCCTGAAGGCGGACCAACCGTTGATGAGTAAGTATTTCCAGCGAAAAGATGACAGAAAGTAATTAATTACCTTTTAGCCACCATACGTAATGCTAGTAAGAAAACCGGCGGGAGTACAAGAAACAAGAAGGGCCATGCGAGACCAAAACATCGAGGATGGCGCGTCCAAGATGGACACCACGTCTCTGAGGGCACAATACTAGCCACTCAGCTGACTACGCGCTTTCATCCGGGTCTAAATGTAAGTAATGTATAAGGAAATTTGGTCAGGCTACAATATACTCATGTGTACTCCCAATGTTCTTGTCTTAGGTGGGATTCGGTCGCAATGGAACTCTGTTCGCCATGGAGCACGGCAAGGTTTATGTGACCTGCGAACCGATAGACCCCAACTGGGACCACACCTGGATTCAGCGGCATTATGCCGGCCGCCAAGATCAGACCATTTATAAGAAATTCTTTAATGTTATACCCGAAAATCAGCATCAGCGTTTTAAGCTAGTGGAGGAAATATAAATTGTTAAACGTTAATGTTAAAAACTAATTAAAATGAAACTACATTTTTAATTTGTAACAGCAAGGTTAATAACTTTTAAACCTTTCACAACACTATATTCAGTGGGGTTTAGAACCATGTTTCTGGCAAGCCATCGGTAAAATATATGATACTTTCAATATCGCAACTCGAACAATTGTACTCTATAACTTCTATGAGATTTTAAATATAACTATTCTTTTATATCCCACGTATACTTGGAAAATATAAAATAATATAATATTAATCGATGACTATAAGGAAAATATCGATGATCTGAGCTTATCGATAGCATAAAAAACATCGGCGTTGGGTCCACCTCTACAACCGCAGCCAACTTCGCTTCTTTCTTTCCAAAAATTTAAAGATGGTGAGTGGACGTCGGTAAATGAGGAGCATTTAAAATGTGGTATGTGGGCAAGTAAACGGTGCGAGATGAAAAGGAAAGTTGAAAAGAAATGTATTCCTTTGCCTGCCCACCGACCGCAATGCCAAAGTGAGCAACACGACTGGAGCAAATGCTGCACATAAACATAACCTCCAGCACGTGGGTGAGAAAATGTGAGGAATGGTAAATTAAAACACGTTTCTGTTCTTCTTTGTTTTACAGTCGAATATCAAGCGGAAGAAGACCAGGAAGCTGCGTGGTCATGTGAGCCATGGTCATGGCCGTATCGGCAAGCACCGCAAGCATCCCGGAGGTCGTGGTAACGCTGGTGGTATGCACCACCACCGCATCAACTTCGACAAATACCATCCTGGTTACTTCGGCAAGGTCGGCATGAGGAACTTCCATCTGCGCCGCCAGCACAAGTTCAGGCCTGAGATTAACCTGGACAAGCTCTGGTCCCTGGTTGGAGCTGAGAAGTTCGCTGAGTTGGAGAAGGAGAAGAGCACTAAGGCTCCCGTCATCGACTTGGTTAAATTCGTAAGTTTCGAACAAACTATACATAATACTACGAGCTCCTACTGCTGCTTTAAACATGAAGAGACACCCAAGGCGATGGGCGGACAGAATGCGACCGTACAATTGCTCTCACCGTGTAGAGAACAGCCTTTCAGATCAAAGCCAGCAGATTGTTTAGACGATGTGTAGACTTTTACCCCCTGTGACCTATCACTAACGATTTTTATCTCTCAACAGGGCTACTACAAGCTCTTGGGCCGTGGTCACCTGCCCGCCCGCCCCCTCATCGTGAAGGCCAAGTACTTCTCCAAGAAGGCTGAGGACAAGATCAAGAAGGCCGGCGGTGTGTGCTTGCTGAGCGCCTAAGTTAAGGTGAGACTGTGGTCCAAGAAAATCTTTAAAATGCCATTCTCAGGTCCATTAACTAATTGTCTTTTATTCTTTCAGATTCCTCTTCTACAGAAAAAAAGCAAGTTGACTACATTCGACCATCAAAAATGTATTTGTTTTTTAATAAATTTAAAAGAAAAACAAGTATCTTCTATTCCTAAAAAGTGTTGTTTACTGCAAGCTTGTGGGTTAATGTTACATAGGATTCCATATAAAAGTAGGAAACGGAAGACCTCTGATAAAGGTGTTTCGTTTTGCTTTTATATATTGGAAGTTGATATAAACTGAATTGTTGAATAAAAAACTAGTTTAAAAGATTGGAAAATTGAATTCTTACGAAACCATCATATGATCAAAGAGCTAAACTGGATTATTAAAAGATATTGAAACTCTTACAGGAAAAAGTTTTTAAATAAATGGACTACCACATTTTCATTTTCTTTAAATACCGAATATTTGTATTTAAGTTTATGAAAATATTAGGGGAATCGTAATTTAAAACTTACACTTAAATTTCAATTTTAAAAAGAGTATATATATTCGTCGCTCCAAATGGCATAATTATTATTTTTCATTTTTTAGTGTCAATTTCATTTCGGTATTTTTTGCCTTCTTGGCTACGGTTACACTGTTATAACAGAAAGCTCGCGGAAAAATTTGGAAGCGGCGGAAAAGTACGATACGCGCTATTGCAAAAGGCGGAAGAGGATTACGTGTAGGTCAAGGCCGTTTAGTTATGGGCATCCCTTATCTTTGACCCTGACTTTGAGGGATGCGACGACCTTGGGTCAAGGATACGAGCAAATAGGATGTCATATATGTATCCAGGGAGCTTGGTCGAAGTGGGGGGTGTCAAAGTGGTCGGGGGAGTTTCCAGTAAAAATAGTGACTTAATTATGACCTCTGTGTTACAGCCGCGACCTTGTCTATTTATATTACATAACTTAGAACAGAGTGAGGAGAACTGCTACGAGATGTCTAACAAAGTGCTGCGAAAGGTAACGCACTGCATCTTTGACATGGACGGCCTGTTGCTGGGTGAGTACTATCGTGCTTGAGACTGCTTTTTGTGTTAACTGTTTGTCGAACAGACACCGAGCGCCTTTATACTGTGGCCACCGAAATGATCCTCGAGCCATACGGCAAGCCGTATCCATTTGAAGTCAAGGAACAGGCCATGGGTCTGCAGACGGAGCCTCTAGCCAAGTTTATGGTCGAGTACTATGATCTGCCCATTTCGTGGGAGGAATATGCCCGCCAACAGCGAGCTAACACCGAGATCTTGATGAGGAACGCCCAGTTGATGCCAGGTACTAATCTCCGTTCTCACTTTGCCGTCACGTTTCAGACACGGAGAAAATATATGAGGAGGTCACCCGGCAAATAGCCGCCTCTTTTGGACGTCCATATCCGGTGGACGTGCGATTCCGGGTTATGGGCACCACGGAGCAACGCTCAGCAGAGATAGCCGTCACAGAGTGCCAGCTTCCCATCACACCAAAAGATTTCCTCAAGCAATACTCAAAACTTTGCCACGAGCGACTCCACAATGTTCCCCTGCTGGAAGGTTAGCACAACGACCAGAATACTAATCGGCTTTTCCCCCTATAAATACCTCCTGAATTCTATTTTTACTTTCCCTCTGTTGAAAGTTGTTTATTGATCCTATATTTATTCCGCTTTTTAGGTGCTGAGCGCCTGTTGCGTCATCTGCACGCCAACAAGGTGCCCTTTTGCTTGGCGACCAGTTCCGGAGCCGACATGGTCGAACTAAAGACCAACGAACATCGGGAGCTGTTCAGTCTGTTTAACCATAAAGTGTGTGGTTCCACGGATAAGGAGGTAGCAAATGGCAAGCCTGCGCCCGACATTTTCCTGGTGGCCGCCTCCAGATTTTCTGTGGCCCCCAAAGCCTCCGACTGCCTGGTCTTCGAGGACTCTCCAAACGGTGTCACAGCGGGAAATAGTGCTGGAATGCAGGTAGTAATGGTGCCTGATCCGAGGCTGTCCCAGGAGAAGACCTCCCACGCTACACAGGTGCTTGGCTCCTTGGCAGACTTTAAGCCAGAACAATTTGGACTGCCTCCGTTCAAGGATTGAGCTTAACTCCGATGTACTTTTTGAAGCCAGGCGATGCTATTGCTATAACTGGAAATTGATGTACCTAAAAACAAATGATTTTAAGTGTAATGTGTTACTTGATATACACGTAATTGTGCATATATTTATTTTCTTTTTATCTGTCTATAATGGTTTCTTAAACGTTAGCCCTATTTTCCGACCGCCTCTAAGTTTTTGTGTATGTCAGGAGCAGCTTGGTTGGCCAAAGACAGCGACAGCTCCTTGCCGTTGCCTAGTGGAGATCAGAAAAAAACCTAAAAAGTTATATGTAAGCCTTTTTCATCATCTACAAACCATAGCGAGCATAAAGTCGTGGCTGGACACCAGAGCATTCTCGAACCAGAATTGGCAGGTCTGGGTTGTTTTTCTTTAGATTTGGATAAAATCTTTCCACATATTCCCTGTAAATACATATTTCCTGAGGGTAAATTATGTAATTTAAAGAGTGCACTGCTTCTTACCTTGCTCCCTTAGAGGCCTCCGCTTTAGGATCGAGAATGATCCGCAGCTCCTTCAATTTTGGAGTGAAGGTGGCCAAACGGGAGAGAGTAATACGCATTTCGGCTGAACAGGTACGATTTTGAAATGATAAAAAGTAATGTCTTTGTAAATGTCGTTACTGTATAGGGTTGTCAAATAACCTTGGATTATATATTGGTATTATTGCTTAAAAAATTATTGAATAGATAATTTTAAGATATATTTTAATACACAAAAATAAACTTTTGCAATGCTGTTAATATACATATTACTTTCTATATTAAGTATGTTAAGAATACACACACTGTTGGTTATGGTTGGAACTTGTAAAAAACAAGTATTTAAATAGTAACTGTTTTTGATAAAAACAGTTTCTTACAAAACTGTTATCGGAATTTACCTAATACACACACCACGATTGAAACTTAAACCAGAGCTGCAACCGTATTTACCATTTCGATAAGTTTTTATATTCGACAGCTGTAGTTGTCAACACATTTGTTTCAAGATATTCTTTTGATTTTATTCAATTTTAAGTAATCATGGCGTCCGTACATTGTCAACTTTGGATGGGAAGCGTGAGTATCAAACCTCATTGCTGAAGAATTATGTTGGTAAACTCCCAATGATCATTTTAGCTGGAATCGTATATGACGGAGAACTTTATAATTGCTGCATTTCGCAAGATGGGCGAGGATCCCACCACAGTCCGCCTGATGCGCAACAAATACACCGGCGAACCGGCCGGCTACTGCTTCGTCAATTTTGTATCGGATGACCATGCGCTGGACGCGATGCACAAGCTGAACGGGAAGCCCATTCCCGGCACCAATCCCATAGTGCGATTCCGTCTCAACTCGGCAAGCAATTCATACAAATTGCCTGGTAACGAGCGCGAATTTAGTGTCTGGGTGGGTGACCTTAGCTCAGATGTGGACGACTATCAGCTGTACAAGGTCTTTTCCAGCAAATTTACCTCTATCAAGACGGCCAAAGTGATTTTGGACAGTCTGGGCTTCTCAAAGGGCTACGGCTTCGTGCGGTTCGGCATCGAGGATGAGCAGAAGTCTGCTTTGTACGATATGAATGGCTTTATCGGACTTGGTACCAAACCCATTAAGATCTGCAATGCTGTTCCGAAGCCAAAGTCGGAGTTAGGTTCTACTTTAGGAGAAGGGAGCACCACTTATGGTTATGGTGGCTCCGCTTCCACAGGCGGAACAGACTACTCACAGTACTACGATCCCACTAGCTCCTACTGGCAAGGATACCAAGCTTGGCAGGGTTACTACGAGCAGGCAGGTCCCTCTATCACAGATGCTGCAGCATACTACCAACAGGCCATGTCGCAGTCTCATTCCAATCCGCAGACCCTTGCCCAGCACGCCGAAGCCTGGAGCGCTCAACGCAGTGCGCAGTACGAACAACAGCAGTCTGCCGCTAACGGAGCCGATGATGTTTACGGACAGGTGGAGCACAAATTTGTCCTTGACGTGGAAAAGTTGAATCGCGAGGCTATTGACGCCGACCGCCGCTTTTATGACGCTCTGGAGAGCTCCAAGTGGCTGCCCATTGAACAGCTTGAAGTATTTTAGGTTCCTGATCTGAAATGTACCTTTTATAATTATAGCTTAGTTTTTAGCGTAAAATAGAAGAGACAGTCTCATATGATTTTACCTTGAGCTGTATTTCTTAAAAATCATAATGTTTTTTAAATTTATTCGAACAAATTTGGTATATTTTACATTTAAGAATTGTTTCATTTATTTTTTTTATAAACAAATAACAAAACAGTCATCTAAATGAATGATTATTTCTTAAACCTTACAGTTTATTTCGGTGCGACAATTAACATCTTTTATATTTTTAATAAATCTTCAAAAACTTTTGGTAAATCATTATTCTGTTGCTGAGTTATTATCCCCGGTTTTCCCTGACTTAAAAATTGTAATTTAATGAAACCAATATAAAGATAAGAGCGTATTCATGTACACAACTGAATTATTGTTTTTAGTAGCGTAATATCGTATGCATATTTTTTTTTTATAATCTATATCTTTTATAAAACTGAAATCTTGAAGAGTATTAATTTTTCGGTAAATACAAAAACATTATGTGATTGCAGTTTTAGTACTACCTTGGGCTGTATGTCTCAAAAATCATCATATTTTTTACATTTATTCGAACAAATTTGGGATATTTTACATTTAAGAATTGTTTCATTTATTTTTTTTATAAACAAATAACAAAACAGTCATCTAAATGAATGATTATTTCTTAAACCTTACAGTTTATTACGGTGCGACAATTGATATCTTTTATATTTTTAATAAATCTTCAAAAACTTTTGGTAAATCATTTTTCGTTTGCTGAGTTATTAACCCCGGTTTTCCCTGACTTAAAAATTGTAATTAATAATTTTAATTTAATGAAACCAATATAAAGATAATAGCGTATTCATGCACACAACCGAATTATTGTCTTTAGTAGAGTAATATCGTATGCATATATATATTTTTTTTTATAATCTATAGCTTTTATAAAACTGAATTCTTGAAGAGTATTAATTTTTCGGTAAATACAACAATATTATGTGATTGGAGTTTTAGTACTATTCTATATTATGGTTTTTTTTTGTTTTCCTAGCTACGGTTACACTGTTCAAACAGCTTATCGAAAAAATTTCGGAAAAATAAAGTACGGGTACAAGTGTAAAGGAAATTGCAGATAAATCCGGGTTATCTGCTGAATTATGAAGCGAGCGCGCCAGCCCAAAATAACCACGCAGGCCCTGCTCGATTTTGACCTGGGCGAGAGTTCATCAGACAGTGATTTTCTCCCAGACATCGACAACTGCTCGGACGGATCAAAGGATGAGAGCGATGGAGATGAGAGCAGCGACGGCAGCAGTGACTCCGATTCTGGTTCGGATTCGGATGCGGAAAGCGAGGATTCGACGTTGCAGCTGCGACAATTGCTGGCCGAGACGGAGCCGTCGCCGATGGAGAATGGAATTAACGGAGTGGACCACGGAGAAGCTAATACTCCGTCAGGTGGAGTTCCCCGACCACCTCTCCAGCTATCTAGTGCTCCGGCTAAGAGAATGTGTTGCGTCTGCCTAGGTGAACGCAGTGACGATGTCAACGAGATCGTAGAGTGCGATTCCTGCGGTGTTTCTGTCCACGAAGGATGCTATGGCGTCAGTGACAACGTGAGCATCTCTAGTACCAATTCCACCTGCTCCACGGAACCTTGGTTCTGCGAGGCTTGTCGCGCTGGTGTCTCGGAGCCTGACTGTGAACTATGCCCTAATAAGGGCGGTATATACAAAGAGACGGACGTGGGCAAGTGGGTACACCTAATATGTGCTTTGTATGTGCCAGGTGTGGCCTTCGGTGAGGTTGAACAGCTATCCTCCGTGACGCTGTTCGAAATGCAGTACAGCAAGTGGGGAGCAAAAGTGTGCTCCCTTTGCGAAAACGCTCTATTTGCCCGTTCTGGTGTTTGTATTGGTTGTGATGCAGGCATGTGCAAGACCTATTTTCACGTTACTTGCGCCCAGGTGGCAGGCTTCTTGATTGAGGCTCACCATGAAGACGACGCCGCTGATCCGTTCTACGCACACTGCAAAGTGCATTCGGAGAAAGAGATGATCAAGAAACGGCGACGCAACTACCACACATTGCGTCTGAACATGTTGCAAAGGGCAAGGGAAAAGGAAGCGACAGCTGGCGACCACGAGGCACCTGCTCCTCATCCGAACCCAGCTCAAGCCCGCATACAGCGCAAACTTCTGAAGATCCAACACAAATACGCCCGGCATAAGGAGCTGAAACCTACTCCGTGGGTACCAACTCAGAAAATGTCGCGCCTACTTACCACGTCGGCCTCCGCATGTCGTCGTTTACTGGCCAAGGCGGAAATTATGTCGGTGGATGTGCAACATCTGGAGCAGCGTGAAGCACACATCAATGCCCTGACAGACATCCGTAAGAAATGGCACATTGCGCCGGCCTTTAGTGTTGAGTTTACTGCCTACTACATGGACCGCATAGTTCGTATGGATGACTTCCGTCAACAGCAGCGGCAACTTATCTCGCATAACGCCATTCTGTCCAAGGATCAGGACGTGCTAAGGTCTCAGTATGACACTGCTTTGGAGGAGCGTAAGGCCGTGAAGGCCACTAAGGATTCTCTTCTAGCGAGCATAAAGTCATTGCACGCCACTTTGACACAAGTTGCACCCAACATGACTCTGCCTAGTGTGGATCTCATTGCGCATCCTTTGCCAGAGGCTCCTCCTAAGACGAGTACGCCCACTCCTCCCCAGCGACCCATTTCAGTACCCACAGCAGCTGCCCTAAAAATGGGAGTCGGGTTTCCGTTGGGTCACCTAGGTCCGCCAGGCAGTAAGCTGGACTCTTCACGTATGCTCAGTACTCAAGCCAAACAGGGCAAGCACAGCAGTTCTTCGGCCTCCGTTGATGCGGCCCCGTCGGTGGCCTGTGGCATTTGCAAACGAAGCAAAGATCAGCACTTGTTGGTCAAATGTGACACATGCAACCTGCACTACCATTTGGGCTGTCTAAATCCACCGCTCACCCGTCCGCCAAAGAAATCGAAACAATATGGCTGGCAATGCTCCGAATGTTGCGACAAGTCCGATGGCTCTGATGGCGTCACCGAAATCTCCTCAGGGCCGAGAAAGTCCCGTACTCGTTTCAACAAGGACGGTCACCTGGTTTATATGGATCGATATTCCCTAGACGATGTACCAGTGGCTGCTCCTATTCTCCCCAAAGGAGGTTACGGCCAAGCGGACGCTCAATAAAACGTTGCCAACTCCTGCCCCGGATTACGTCGAGGATCTGACCAAGTCACCAAAACGTCCAAAACTTCAATCACCGTCTAAAACACCAACTAATGGTGAGTTCGATGTGAAGAATTCGACTTTGCACTATACTGAATAAGAAATGAATGCATAATTTGAAGACATTTGTTTTATTTTATAAGCATGTAAATATGTACATTTGTTATTTTGAAACTATTTTGGTTTAATGTATTCGCGAATTTGTAGGATATTTGGCAAAATTCTTACAAAAGTTATATTTGGTAAATGAAAATAGAAATTGCGTTTTCTTAAAAAATTTAAATGCCCTTAAAATTTTATATTATTATTTTTAATTGGATTTTAACGAAAATCGAATTGGTAAAAACATTTTTGAATTTCAACTAAAAAATTAAGTAAAAGATTGGTGAGTATCCCTTTTATCCTTAAGCCGGGAAAATTCCACGTAATCTGTATAAAACTCCAAAACTAATGTCACTGATCTTCTTCCTTCAGTTCCTGCCTCTAATGTTACTCCCACAACCGCAGCTGCTCATGCATTGCCAACACCAACACCCAATACGAACGCCTTAAATCTATCTGGCTGCGAGGACTCCATAGACGGAAAACTATCTCGCAAGGGTAAACGAAAGGATAAGCACAAGAACAAGCACAACCTGTCGTCAGACACGGAGAAGTCCATCGGCAAGGAGCACAAACGAAAGCGAAAAAAACGGGCCCACCTCGACGAGTCGTCGTCCCACCTAGACAGTGTGGCAAACACCTCCGGAAGCACCATCAAGATCATATTCAAAGCTCTGCGTCTGCCCGGCGAGGATGCACCCGAATCTCAGTACTTCTACGTTCCGGCCAATGCGGTGCGGTCCGTTGATGAAGCATCACGCCCAACCTCGGTTGAAACAGTTGAGGATAGTGTACAAGGAACGGAACAGGCCTTGGCTCCCGTTTTGCTGCCGACAGCGTCGCCGCCAAAGGTGCGGGAGCCCAAGGAGCCTCCTTCCACCGCTCATGCAATCGCAACACATTCACCCAAGCGAAAGGTCAGTCCCCGAAAGGCAAGCCCCCGGAAGACGCGTGTGGGACGTCCCAGAGTGTCCAACTCCAAGCCAGTTGTAGAGATTAGTTGTTGCGTTTGCAGTCAGACCGGCAAAACGAACCAAGTGGTAACCTGCGACGAGTGCCACCGACACTACCACTTTGCCTGCCTTGATCCTCCACTGAAGAAGTCACCCAAGATACGGGGCTACTCTTGGCACTGCGCCGACTGCGATCCTACGGATGAGGATGCACTGCCCAAGAAATAGGAACTAAAATTGTTTACGTATTTATCTTAGATTTTTTACCATTTTAGGATAAAATATCTTGATAGATCATGCGATATTTACAAAACTGAAATTGAACATTACACAAAATTATTCATAGATTATACATAATAAAAAAATTATTGAAACTATTTGTTTGTAATGAATTTATATTTCGGGAATTTGGATTTTAGAACTTTTAATTGTTGCCAAATATACAACTCTGAATATAATTATTTTTCTAAAATACAAAAATATCAGTATGGCAAGGATTATTTAGTAATACAATCGCGTTATTAATTAATCTTTATAAATTGTGTATATTTCCCTGATAGTTTGTTCACTTCCTTGGTTACTTATTAACAAATCCTGGATTTGCACTCTACTCCCTAAAATATAAAAATCTTAGCAACGATTAAGGTAGGGTAATTCATAAAGTACGTCTGTTTATGAATATTTTTCAGAATGTTTGTTCTACTCTAACATTCCCATTTTTTTCAAAATGAACTGTTAAGAGCAATATCACATGTTGCTTTATCGAATTAGTATCGATTTATGTTATATCGACAAAACATAAACACGGAAAGCGATATATGGGCATACTGTTATGTGCACCCTACAGTGGACTTTATAAGAAACATCTGTCATAAGATAATGTATTTGTGTTAGCTAGTAAGCAGTTAATATTTTTATAAATTTTTAAAAACTATGATTAGTATTTTATTATGATTAAAAATAAATATCGACAGAAATGTCAAGACAATGGCATAATTTTATTTTGTTTACATAGGGGAAGAGGGGCTCTGTAAAGTCGACCATGCCGCGCTATACTCTAATCCAGCGGCTGCTTGAAAAACAGCCACGTAAAAAATATAATTTTAAAAAGCGTAAATACTTGGCATTCTTGAAGCACAGAATTGAATGAAAGCAAACAAAGGCCGATAGAATATGCCACAGCGACAAGCGACGCAGCAGTTTGAGTTGATATGTGACGTGAAGCAGTGGCAATAGATCCGGACCCATTTTGTGACCATGGACGAGAAACTGAAATATTCGTTGTTGCGCGGAGAATTGGTGGACACTCAAAGTATATGGACCAGGTGGGATTCACGATAAACATCTTACAAATACTTGAACTAAATATTCATTTGTCGCATATTTGCAGGCACGAGAAACGCGTGTGGTTCATTACCCTGATAACGGGCACCTGCATGCTCTACTCCACGCGCACTACTATGCCACTTCTTGTGCCGGCAGTGGCATCCGCTCAGAAGTGGAGTAAAACTGACTCCGGCACCGTTCTCAGCTCTTTCTTCTGGGGCTATACACTAACACAGGTTGTGGGTGGCTATTTCAGTGATCGTTTTGGAGGCCAGCGGGTCATCCTGTGCGCCGCCATCGGCTGGTCGCTCATCACATTCCTGATGCCCACGATCATCTGGTCAGCGGGATCGATAAAGAGCTACGCAATTCCTTTTATCGTGGCCATTCGCATATTAAACGGCGCCCTCCAGGGTGTTCATTTTCCCAGCATGATCAGCTTGACCAGTCAGGTAAGCCTCGTATAAGTTTTTTTCACATAAACTTTAATATAATTTTTTCCAGAACCTATGTCCTAATGAAAGGAGCAGCTTTTTTGGCCTGCTTACAGCCGGCTCTGCGTTGGGAACCCTTTTAACCGGAATCATGGGATCGTTTTTGCTGGATTACTTTGGATGGTCGTACGTCTTTCGGGTGATTGGTCTGATGGGGATCGCGTGGGCCTTGGTTCTGCGGTACTATGCAATGGCTGGAGAACGCAATCGAATCATAAATATTGCCACGCCCTCGCGGTTGTGCGCAAACAAGAGTCCGTCGGAGGCGTCGGCTGTACCCTGGCTACGCTACTTCAGTCGGCTGTCCTTCTGGGCCTGTGTGCTGACCCATGCCTGCGAGATGAACTGCTTCTTTGTACTTCTTTCTTGGCTGCCCACCTACTTCCATGACGGCTTTCCACACGCTAAAGGTTGGGTGGTAAACATGATACCTTGGTTGGCCTTGCCGCCATGCACGCTATTTGCAAAGTACTTGACCACAAGGTTACTTGCCCGCGAGTGGCAGACTACGACGGTGCGGAAGCTTATCCAGAGCTGCTGCTTTGCTGCCCAGAATTTGGCTCTGTTCGTGATGAGCCGTACCTCGGATTTCCATACGGCCCTTATCTGCATGACCATAATCATTGGGGGCACGGGCTTCCACAACAATGCGGTGACTGTGAATCCGCAGGATTTGGCTCCTCTTCATTCGGGAAGCGTCTTTGGCCTGATGAACACAGTAGGCGCGATTCCTGGCTTCCTTGGCGTCTATCTGGCCGGACACATTTTGGAGCTTACGCAGAGTTGGCCGATGGTGTTTAGCGCGGCGGCTGGAATTAATTTGGTCGGATGGATCATATTTCTCGTCTTTGGCTCGGCGGAAGCCATTGTTTAACATTCTCTAGCATTCTTTCTCAGCATAAACTAACTAATTTATTTGTGTATATTAGAGTGTGTCGATTTGTGTATGGATCTGTTTGAAGACTAATATTTTGTATTCTTATTTATGATTGACGACCGAGAACTTTTCTTGTAAAACGGTAAAGCCAAAAACATGGAGTATCGTGGACTACTACTATGATTTTTAGCTAATAAATCAATTTACAATATATCTATTAATGTATATATTATTAAGAACTTAGTTTTAAGTAGTGAAATCTTACTGCTCATAGCGTGATAAAATACAAGTGTTTAATTCATCAAGATACTCAGAAATTAATACATTTTATGATAAATTTATTTATTTTATGCTCTTAGACATGTATGGTCCATCCAGTTCATATCCCAGTTTGCGGTAGTAGTTCCTGGTGCCCACTCCCGAGATGACTGCCAATTTGGTGCTACCGTGTTCCTCGCGAGAAATTCGCTCCGCTTCTTCCATCAGCAACATACCGAAACCTTGATGTTGAAACTTTGTGGGATCGCGTGCATTCACCGGCACTACCGAGCCATATACATGCAGTTCGCGCACTATAGAACATGCACCCTTTAATTCCGGACGGAATGTATCCGGCGAGCACTTGCGAAGCCTAAGAAGACCGACAAGAATGTCTTGCTCGGGATCTTCGTAGGAGAGGAACGTTTCCCAGCCGCCGTTGGCCACATAGTCCCTGCGTATTAACTCGATTTCGTACGGTCGCACTTTGTTGTGGATTTCCTGGATGCCAACCTCGCGGGTTCTAACATCTCGACAGGTTGTTCCAAGATCCTTCATGCGGGCCAAAGCCAGTTCGCGAAGATTTCCGTGCTCCACGCCAGAACTAAAAACGATAAATTTATTAAGCTAACTCTTTGGATTCATTTCTGATGAGCTTACCTAACCAGCGGCATGGGAATGTCGCGTTGCACGCGGTAGACTCGCGTCCATGGTGGTACAAGAGCCAAAATTTTTGCCACTAGGTCCACAAGCATGGATGGTGGATAAGACTTATACCGACCGGTCTTCCATAGCTCGTAAAGGCCAGTGCCTCGAATCACAAGTGTAGGATAAATCTTTAGGCCATCAGAACGAAAGGCGGGATTCTCAAAATATTCGATAAACTGCTCGATGTCGCGCTCAAAATCCACATTAGGCAAGTCAGGCATCATGTGAGCCACAATTTTGTAGCCAGCATCCTTGCCTAGCTGGAAGCTCTCACACACTGCCCGCACAGTATGCCCTCGATTCGTGTCCCTAGCTACGTCTTCGTAAACCGATTGGACGCCGATCTCAAGTCGGGTACAGCCGTAGTTCAGCATGTCCGAAATGTGCCGCTTAAGGCAATAATCTGGTCGCGTTTCTATTGTGATCCCAATACACTTTGTGCGTGACTTTTCCGAGTAGCGAACGGCTTCCGCAACATTGGCGCTGCTGTGACCAGAGAGTGCATCGTGCAGGTTCCGGATGAAGTAGTCGCGGTATTCCTCCGGCAGGCACATAAACGTGCCACCCATCACGATGAACTCTACTTTATCCACACTGTGTCCCAGCTGCTTCAGTTGCTCAACGCGGTGGCGAGTTTGCAGGAACGGATCATATCGTGCCCGAATTGCTCGCATCGAGGTGGGCTCATAGCCCGTGTAAGACTGCGTCGAGTACTCGAAGTCACTATCCGGTCCACCGGGACAGTAGACGCAAATGTTGCCGGTCATGTTGATGTGCGGGCAACGATGGGGCTTGCACATGACGGCCACCACTGCAATCTGGAGAAATAGAGATTGAGCATGAATATTAGTAATAAAAAGGTAGACTGCTTTAAAGCCTAGAGTGACTTACTCCACTCGCTGTGCGAATGGGCTTGGCCCTTAGCTTGGGAAGCAAGATCTTCTTGGCGTCCTGTGGCACGGCTGCAATAATGTCCACTAGTCGTGGCGAACTGTCCAGTCCGTATTTTGAGGATACCAAAGACTTCATTCTGTTGAGGTTTACATCCTTTTTTGCTTCGTGCGCTTGCAGCAGCTCCTGGATAATCTCACCAATAACAAGCACCTGTCGCTCTTCGCGGCTGAGGCCCACACCTGTAATATATACGGAATAGATTATATTTAAAAGGCGATTTTCCCAAAACGTAAACTTTACCTAATTTCTTTTTTTGCTTCATTTTTTAAATGAATTTCACAAAAATTGCACGTGTGATGTCGCAGCTGTTTTGTTTTGGTTATCGAACGATATAATCATTCCTCTACGTAGCTGTGCTTTTAAAAGTTACTACGACTTGGTCACACTAGAACGCACAAAGTTTTTGTTTTCGCACCAGATTCTAGGGACTTCTGGATAAAATGACTAGCTGCGTGCCAGCGCAGCAGCAAAAGGACCGAGAGCAGTTGCTGAAGGAACTGATCAATAGTGGTGACGAGATGGACGACCCAGACGATTCAGATGATCCAGATCAGCACCATCATCAGCTGGTAGAGCCTACGTTCTCTTTTTCGGTGTGTATACAATAAGCCCATTTTAGCGGACAATGAATAGCGCCTTTCCAATTTATAGAATAGCAACACCTGCTGGGTGTGTAATGGCTATTATGGACCCAACTTTGGGGAACCATTATGCGGCGCCTGCCACGCCTTTCTATACAATGCTCAGCGGGCGGAAGAACTGCTGACCGAGCTTTCCGACGACGAGGACTCTGGGAACGACGAACCTCCTTTCAAGGACAAGCAAGAGGACGAAGAGACCGAGAATGATGTGGACATCATGGGCTTTGAGGATCTGGAAGATCCAGAACCGCCAGCCGTCGCTCAGCACGCCAATCCGCAGCCACCAATAGAACCGCAGAATGAGCAGCCAATTATGCCCGCTCTCGATCTGCCCCAGCAGGCGCCAGAAGCGGCGGCACAACCACGTGAGTCTCCGGAGCGCGACTTTGAGCAGGAACGGGCTGTAAATCCCTTCCTGTTGCCCATCAAGCGTCCTCGGGCTACGGCTCCATTGGCCTTGCCTCATTACATGCAGGAATTGGGCGATGGAAGGGCGCGAGCTCATGAATATAACGCCGCCGGTGGAAGCGGAGCAAGTGGCAGCAGCAGGAATATTGTAAATATTATACCGGTTGAGGTAATGCTAAAAATATTTGCATATCTGGACGACATGTCGCTGTGGATGGCCAGTGAGGTATGCAAGCAATGGCACGACATCGTCGGAAAGAACACGGCCCAGAGCATGTGGAAGTCTTATATTAAGCAGCGCTGGCCGCTGTTCGAAAATTTGACGGAGAATCCCAACTGGTACCGCCTGTACGGGGCACTAATGTCATCCTGCTTCTGTCGCACATGCCTGATTGAGATGGGAGGACGGGGTCAGGACTCGCAGCACGCAGATCAACAACTGGGAGAACGAGAGCCGGGCAACGTAATGCGCAACAACTTTCTGCGCGGCGAGGCGAATTTGCTGAATAGCTACGACTCTGAGGGCATATCGGCTATACCGCTGGATCGCCAGAATAACTACTGGCAAGCCACAATCCTGGGTCCACCCGGTAGCCCTTACGAGGGCGGCAAGTTCTTCCTGTTTATCTATTTTCCGGAACGCTATCCGATGACACCACCCACAGTGCGATTCCTTACAAAGATCCTGCATCCGAATGTGTCGCGGCACGGTGACGTGGGCATTGATATCTTCCAACAGCACAACTGGTCGTTGGCGCTGAACGTGGCCAAGGTACTGCTGTCGGTCCAGAGCCTTCTAACCGATCCGTACACCGAGGTCTGCATGGAGCCAGAACTGGGATATATATACGAACACGAGCGTGACCGATTCGAGCAACTGGTTCGGTCCTGGACCTGGAAGTACGCCATGTTCGAGCTGATTGTACCGCGTTAGAGGATCGATAGCCCTCCGAGGACATTGGACTGAAAGTTGGAAACTACCCCTCTTTACGTTGTAACTACATATGTCTGTGTATTTAGCTTAGTTGTGCCATTTGGATTGTTTATTTTGGCCTCTCTCTCACTTATCCCGCGCCCCAGGTCACAACATAGTCGAAATTACTTAACCTAATAATAAATGTATGCTTTAAGTTACGATTATCGGCGCCTTATTTCGTCCAGGACACCTTGGGAATATCAAAGTGCTCGGTAAGCGTGTCCAGGTGTTCGTTGAACTTCTCCACCCGTTCCTTGTGGGTGGTTTGTGCCTTGTCCATAATCCGCTTGTTTCGCATCTTTTCCTGCTGCTTCTTACTGGCCATCTCCGATTTGGTGAGCTTGCGTTCGTAGCCGCTGGCGGCTGACGAACTAGTGGCGCTAGCCTCCGCCAGTTGTTGCTCCAGGTACGCCTTCTGCCGCTCTTTCTCCTTGTCCTTGCTCTTGTGCTTCTTCTTTTTCTTAATATCCGAATCGTTTTTGAGTTTTAGCTTGCCCTTGGCAACGCAAGCGTACTCGTCGGACATAGTTGTAAATAAACTTTGTTCTAAAGACTTATACTACTCAATCTACGACTCCCAGATTTCCCTGTTTTGTTTACACCAGGCACCGATGTTTTATTGCCTACTACCATTATCGACATTTGCTTACACAAATATCGATTATTATCGATGTCACTTTTTCCGGCTATTTTTTTTAATACTAATCGACAAAATTACGTTATTTTGAAGTATTTCTTAAACAAGTTGTTTGATCATAATATCAGCATGCAGCTTATTTGTATGTATCCCATAAATTAAGTCGTCGGTTAATAGTTTTAGTTTATAATATTTTCACTATCTAAACAAGGTCTGAAATTGAACTTGAACGGGTCCACACGTTGATCAGAGGCTTTATTTCATCTCCTCCCTCGTACATAAGTTCTTTGTTTATTGTTTTACCTAACCTGAATCCTATCTAACCTAACCAGGTCTATTTGCGTCAGACTATTTATTTAGCACATTTTATTACCATTAAAGCTAAATGTTAAAGTTCCTGCTTAATTTTTATATTTTAAATCAAGTTTTAATTAAATTTGTTGTTCATTTAGAATGCAGTTTTAAGATCATTTATGCTTTAAATAACTGAAAAGTAACTCTGGAAATCAGTATACGTTTTGTTTCTAAGGGTAAAAACATGCATCTAGCTATCGGTGTACTTTTGGCAATCGTCGTAGTCCTGATTTCAGGCAGCGAGTCAGCTATCGTCAGGGGTTCTTTTAAGGACCCAGCTCATCCTGGAAAGTATATACATATTACTAACAAAGGTCATCTTCACAAAAGAATATCAAGCCAAGCTTTATGTAAACCTTGAACTTCTTTTTAATTCCAGTTAAATGAGCAAATTCATTATTATTGACTTTGATTTGACGGAAAAGAAATTAAGATAATAGGGAATGATAAGGGTTAGGTGCCACTATATATTGTATTTATAAAATTTTATTGAATTATCATATCATTTATCTCAATTGCTTGAGATTGTAAAATATATATATATATATATATTTGTAGAAGCACAGTAAAAGCCATTTTCAAGTTCTTGTAAATATGACCTAAATCCTTATCATTTCAATTGTCTCTGACATTTCGTAAAATCCTATAAAAGCATCGTGTTTACCAATAACGCGTTAACAGTCTTGACAAAATGTTTCTAAAGTTAACTGGACTCTGTGCTTTCCTCGCTTTACTTTCCCTTACTTCGGCCTATAAAATAACACCAAATGTTATCGATGGTGAGATTATAAAGGGTTTTTATATTTTACGTGACTCAATCTAATGAACTTTATATTAGGCATTCCTGGTTTCTTAAATATAACAACTGCTCCGTTTGTGAAGATTGGGTCAAGCTATTACTTTATTGAAAGTAAACTGCTAAAGAATTGGTATGACGCTTACGAAAATTGCCGGAAAATGGGAGCAGAGTTAATAGAGATCACAAACAGTGAGAAATTAAGTGAAATATTTCCATACCTCGTTGAGAATAAACTGTTTGCACTATTTTGGACCTCTGGCACTGATATGGCAAAACAGGGAAAACATATTTGGTTTACGAGTGGTAATCCCGTATCTTCTGACCTGTGGCTCCCAGAAGAGCCGAATAACGTTGACAATATTGAGCGCTGCGATGAGTTGGAGATTCACAAGGAAATCGGTGGACTAAATGACAAGAAATGTGAAAGTCTTAATCACTATATTTGTGAAGCACCCAAGCCAAAAACTGCTTCATTTGTAGTTTGGTAAATACATTTCCTGTTGTAAACAAAAAAAGGCAACTTTGATTGTTTTTTTATGTAGTTTAACTAACTGTGAATTAAATAAAAAAAATTACAGATGATTCAAATATTTAATTTTCTTTAATGAAAATAATCTAAACATACTTTGATAACACAGAAGTAAATTACCGTGCCCTGGCTGCTGTGACATACATATACATATATTATATATTATTAAAAACGAAAACCGTCTTTTGAGCCTTGTGGGCGTATGGGTGGGTGTGGCCGGATAGTACCACTGAAAGATGCGCTGGCATCTAAAGATTATATATTCTGACTTTCTAGCTGTAATAGTTCCTGAGATTTCAGCGATTTTAGTTTTTCGCGATTTGTGGGCGTTAGAGTGGGCGTGGCACGGATGCTGTCCCGGAACCTCAAGAATCTTAATGCTTAATCTCAACTTTGTATCTGTTATAGTTCCGGAGATCTCAGCGTTCATACGGACGAACGGACGGACAGACGGACATGGCTAAATCAACTTCGCTATTGATCCTGATCAAGAATATATATACTTTATAGGGTCGGAAACGCTTCCTTCTATCTGTTACATACTTTTCAACGAATCTAGTATATCCTTTTACTCTTCGAGTAACGGGTATAAAGATCATCTTCACAGAAGAATATCAAGCCAAGCTTTATGTAAACCTTGAACTTCTTTTTAATTCAAGTTAAATTAGCAAATTCATTATTATCATTATTTACTTTTCTCTTTAAAATATTTTGAAAATAATGATTTTGATTTGTCGGAAAAGAAATTAAGATAATAGGGAATGATAAGGGTTAAGTGCCATTTTATCGTTTATTTATAAAATTTTATTGAATTATCTTATCATCCATCTCAGTTTCTAGAGTCATACTTTGTATATCAGAAGTTGTCACGTTTTGTCATGATTTTGACTTGACGAAAATAAATTAAGATAATAAGGAATGATAAGCGTTAAGTGAAAATATATAATTTATTTATTAGATTTTATTTGAATTATCTTATCATCTATCTCAATTGCTTGAATCATACCTTTGTCTTTCAGAAATTGTCACGTTTTTTATATATATATTATTTATATTTCTTTTGTCGAAGCCCAATAAGAGCCATTTTCAAGTTCTTGTAAATATGACTTATATCCTTATCATTTCAAATGTCTCTGACATTTCGTAAGGCCATTTACAAGTTCTTGTAAATATGACTTAAATCCTTATCATTTCAATTGTCTCTGACATTTTGTAAAATCCTATAAAATCATCGTTTACCATTAACGCGTTAACAGTCTTGACAAAATGTTTCTAAAGTTAACTGGACTCTGTGCTTTCCTCGCTTTACTTTCCGTTACTTCGGCCTATAAAATAACACCAAATGTTATCGATGGTGAGATTATAAAGGGTTTTTATATTTTACGTGACTCAATCTAATGAACTTTATATTAGGCATTCCTGGTTTCTTAAATATAACAACTGCTCCGTTTATAAAGATTGGGTCAAGCTATTACTTTATTGAAAGTAAACTGCTAAAGAATTGGTACGACGCTTACGAAAATTGCCGGAAAATAGGAGCAGAGTTAATAGAGATCACAAACAGGAAGAAATTAAGTGAAATATATTCATACCTCGCTGGGAAAAAACTGTTTGTACACTTTTGGACCTCTGGCACTGATATGGCAAAACAGGGAAAACATATTTGGTTTACGAGTGGTAATCCCGTATCTTCTGATTTGTGGCTCCCGGGAGAGCCGAATAACCGTGACAATATTGAGCGCTGCGAGGAGTTGGGGATTCACGAGAAAATCGGTGGACTAAATGACAATAAATGTGAAAAACTTAATCGCTATATTTGTGAAGCACCCCAGCCAAAAACTGCTTCATTCGTTATATGGTAAATACATTTCGTTTTGTAAACAAAAAAAGGCAACTTTGATTGTTTTTTATGTATTGATTTTTATGTTTTTAAAATACGCGAAACTAGTTTAATTAACTGTGAATTAAATAAAAAAAAGTACAGATGATACAAATATTTAATTTTCTTTAACAAAATAATCTAAACATACTTTGATAACACAAAGTAAATTACCATGCCCTGGCTGTTGTGACATACATTTACATATGTACATATCTATAGCTTATTATAGCTTCCAAGAAACTTCAAGTCCGAAGAAAAATTAAGAAACGATAGGAATGGAAATTTTTCTTCTAATATCAGTTTTACGAGCTTACCAAGAATTTTTATGTCCGAAGAATTAAAAATGATCGATAATAATGGACTATATTAAGATGGAATTGCTAATATGAGCTTCCATTAGTAACTCTATTTTTCAAGCATTAAGATGTATCAGAGGACCGCAATATTTTTAGTGTTCGCTGTGTTTGTTCTTGCACAGTCCGAGGCAGCTGAAATGTCAGGTCAATTTAAAGAATCCTTGCTATCCTGGGAAATGTGTCTATGACGGCCTTGTTTTAAATTCTGGTCAGACGGGAACAACCAAATCGTGCGAACGGGTCTTTTGCGGCGATGATAGCTTTGCAACGGTTCAAACGTGAGTAAATTGTATTCAAACTGTAAGAACAATTAATAAATACATTTTCTTTAGGTGTGGTTTAGTCTTACTTCCCCCTAACATGAAGTTTGGAAAACAGACGGCTCCAAATGCCCAATATCCCGAATGCTGTCATCGTGAGGTTCTTGATAGTTCTGGCTGTGTTGTGTAACACGATACCCTTATATACAAATGATTTATTTTTTACTTTTCAAAAAATGCTCAAAATTTGTAATTAAATTTAAATGAAATAAAATGACTACATATACGACTACATATACGATTAAAATAAAGAATTCAAATAATGAAGAATAAATACTAACCGAATCGAATCGGAGTTTTCCGGCTGAGTATATCACAGTTGAATTGCTACTAAGGGCTTTTAGTAATGATTTTAGTTTTACAACCATTAAGATGAGTTTCGTTAGCGAAATCTTTTTAGTAGTGGTTGTGCTTCTTCTTGCACAATCCGAGGCAGCTAAAATGGATGGGGAATTTAGTGATCCTTCATATCCCGGCAAGTGTGTCTATGATGGCCTTATTTTGGATTCTGGTCAGACGGGAACAACTAAATCGTGCTATCGATTCATGTGCGAAGAAAAAAGCATTGGATCGGTTCAAACGTGAGTCTTATCAATTGGAACTGTGAGTACTTCAAATAAATGGTTTTCACTTTAGATGCAGTCCGATCAGTCTTCCGGATGAAATGAAGTTGGGAAAGTATAAAGCTCCTAAAGCCAATTATCCCGATTGCTGTGTTCGTGAGGTTCTGGATAGTTTTGGTAAAGTTTTATTCGCTATTTAAATGTAAAAATATTTCAATATTCAAGCAATACTTGTTTGAAATACATATATTAAATAAATGTTTGATTATATAAGCGTTGAAAGCGTAAAAAACCTCAAAAAATAATCTTTTTTTGTTTCTCATGTAAAATATTGTTTATAACTAAGTGCTCCTAATAAAACGCAACGCAATGTACACTTTCTCTTAAAGCCGTATCATTTGCTCTTCTGGTTCTCTTTCGGCTCTCTTCCGCCACCCACGCCGAGGTCCGTGTGGAAAGCTCGGTGGAAATTGTGGCTGTGCTCGCGAACTTGTTAGCATTGCATTCCGCTAGCAATCAGGTTCAGTTCTAATCCAACGGGCGACGGAACAACATACCGTGTGTGCTGTGTTCGCTGGGGGCGCGTCTGTAAATATTTAAAAATTGAAAAACATATTCATAAATGGCCCAGGCCAAAACACTGCGAGAAATTCCAGCAGCGAAGTGATTTCGAATGAGTGGTTTCAAAGTGACCAGTGCGAGCCAAAGTCGTGTTGTGTGGCCAAACATACAAAAAAATTATAAGAAATCATAATAAATGCATTTGAAATATAATAGTTAAGAAGTTAAAAAAAAAAAAGTTGAAAGTGTTGAAGGTGAAAATTCTGCTCACTCTCTTTGTGCCAATCGTGCTACCTCTCTCTTTCTCTTTTTCTGGCGGAAACTAACGGTTTAGGCAAAAAGTGCTGTAAAAGCTCGCTCCTTTCGCACATGCGTGTGCGTGTGACTGTGTGGGTGCCAGCTTGAGCGTGTGTGCGTGTGCTCGTGTTAGCATCCTGTAGCAAGTTCTTCACTCAAGGATAACAGTCGTAAAAGCACAACAATGTAATGAACAATATCAGAAAATATCATCATCATCTTCATTCCCATTCTCATGCCGAGGCAAAATATTATGTGTGTCCGTGTGTGTGTGTGCGTGTGTGTGTCTCTCAGGTTCTCTCGGCTCACAAACTTTAATGTCCTTCTTTGTCACTTAGTTTTATGCGACAGTCGCCGTCGAATGCGACAATACGAGGGCATTTGCATACGATTTACGATTCCCGTAGCCTCCAAAACGGACAATCCTACGGGTTAAGTCTGTCAGGAAGCTGCGGTTCCCCCTTACAACCTCCTCAAAAACACTCACACACACACAATGGAAGGCAAGGGCATGTAACAGGTAACACAACACAATTGACACCTGTCTCGCTCTGCATTTCCGTGACTCTCTCGCTCTCTGAGCATCCTTTGTGTAAGGTCCTGTAATACTCGTTCTGCCAATAACAACAGTTGCCACAAGGAGCCATTTCAATGTCATGAAATGATGTTTGCAATAAGTGAAAAAATTAAAAGAAGATTTTAGATCGATTTAATGTTTCGATAGACTGTTTTGGGACTTTTCAAGACAAAATGAAAAGGATATGAAAATACAAATATTTGCAAAAGAAGAACTCTTTTTAGAAACAAGAAAAGTTTCTTCAAATATAGGAAGTTTTAATGAAAGTCTTGGTAAAATATTTAACCGGTAATTGATATAGCATAATATTTGCTAAAATAACAATATTAAAATAAATTAAACTTTATGTATATGCGTATATAGAAACACTGAGAACATCCTTTATTTAGAAATGGATAACTTTTTGGGCAGCACATGTTGTGCCAGAGTTTGTCCTGTTTGTTTAAATCCCTTTTTGAATGTTCAAAGTTAAATGGCACTGGGGCTGGGGCGGAGTCACCAACTTTTTCATTACTGTTGCACATCAAGTTGAAGTTTGTCGTATGCTCGATGACCTTTATGCAAAATAGGTCCTGTCACATGTTTTCCGCCGTCCAGGACCCCGCACTCTCACTCTTCCAATGGCGTGCATTATTAAGCGCCAGCTTTTGTATTATTCAGAGCACACATGATGTCTGTGTTTGGACTGTGTAATAAAAAATCATTCATTATTCATGCAAAGGCTTCACTGTGGTCAGGCAGTTTTTCCTGCCGTTCTTATTGAAATGCCATTAGCGAAATTCCTGCGATTGCTAATGCGCCGACGCGACGTATACGCAATCTGGCATTGAGATAATATTTATATATCGCTTAATATGGGCATGGGCATCAGCCAGGTGAACAGAGATTTGCATTAATATTGGCGGAACAATGCCTGGCCATAATCATTACGAATGCAGATAAGTGGAGGCCATAATGCCAGGTAGTTGAGCCTAATTAAAAGAGAGAGGGCATACAGGAAACAAAGGCCAAGATTGCCTTGTGGTGATGCGTGAATTTCTTTTTTTTTTTGTAACAACAGTACAGAGATACAAAACATTGGCAACATTTCGTGGTCGTTTTCAGCGAGTTGATTCCGTTTTTGTTTGTGTTTGCCTTGCCGGAGCACGCGTTACCTTGGACAAGAATAAACCATCCAAACATCCTGCAGCAACCAAGCATCCAAGCACCCAGGCATCCATCTACTTGGCCATTGTGGTTGTTCTTGGCGTTTTTCCTCGGCGCGGCCTCACGTTCATCCTCATCTTTTGTGAATCCTTGGCGCAGCAGATTCTAGTTGGTGGCCTACTCTGAAGGTGAGTGCAAACATTCGCTTTTTCCTTTCTTTTTTCCTCCCCGTCACCATTTGCTCAATCGATTATTCCCTAACTGAACTTCAACTTAAATAGGCCATAAAATAGTATAAAAACCAAAACCAGAAACAAAAATCAGGCACATAATTGAGGTTTGAAATGAAAACGCCCACACTAACAAATTATTCAATAAATGTATTTTTTATTCCCCAGAGATAAATAGATTTTTATTTGCTTTTTGTGCGTATAAAGCCTCTAAATCAATTTGGCAGTCAGCACATCGATTTTTTATGATAATGTTTACAATGAGGCGATAAATGATAATAATCAAAACCATTTTATTTACAAAAAATTCCAAACTCAATCAGCTTTTGTTGCTATTTTTATACACATTTCTCTATGGTGATTGACTGTTGCTTTTTGTACTTTTTGTGGTCAAAAATTTAATCAAATGAATACAGATAAATGTGAAATTTTAAATGTTATTTTTAGTATTTTACAATGTGTTAAAGAAGTTAAAAACTAGTTTTTTATTTTGAGTTCTTTTTATTTCATCTTTTCTCATGCCAATCTCTTAGTTTGCTGTTTATTTGCATTGCAAATATTACCATTTGGCTGAAAAGGAATAACGCTCAAAGCGATGACGATGGCGAGCCACGTCCAAACAGTGGAAAATGTCAATAAACTTTTCGATTTGTGTCATGTCGGGTTCTCTCTACTATCTATGTGAATAAGCGACCTTCCAAAGCTGAGATTGACTTAGCTAACCCCCCTCTAACACGCCCATAAATCACAGACTGGGCGTGGCATAATGGGCGTGTAATGGAAACAGTTTGTTATAATTAGACAACAGTGACCGGCTATTAGAGTAAACTAGTTACTGGCTAATGGCCACGATGTTGCCTACTTTTCTGCGCTGTGCTTGGGGAAACAGGCGGATACGTTATTTCATTTCAAGAATCTTTTCTAACTAATTTGACTGCTTTATAATTTCCAAGTTTTGGTTATGACTGAAGGCTAAATAAAGTGCAAAAAATAATAATAATTGTAAACATATATTTATCATGATGTATCAATATTTTCACATAATGGAACCTGTTTTTTAGAGCATTTACGACGAGAAACGGGCTTTAAATCTAAAAGCAGAGTTTGAACACCATTTGGATAAAAATTATGATCGATATTTACCAGATAAGTTAAGAGACTTTCGATAACAGTTGATTGCTTGCAAAATACATGGATTGCGAACGGTATAAAAGCATTTGTTGTCCCTTTTGGCACATCCGGGGTTATCTTTGCCGGCACAAGGTTTATCACAATGTTGCGAGGCAGCAAAGGCTTTTAGTTAAGAGAATATATATTAAGGTTAAAAGTTAATATCTTTTCTTTTTACCCAGTAAAAACAGAAGGAGCAGCTTCATCTGCTGCACTTTTCAAGTTATAAAACATCACTGCGTTATGGCTGTGTGAAATTGGCATAACTAATTCTTCTATAAAATATATAAAACATATTCAAGCATGAAATTTATTCAACTATTGCTTTTTATAACAATGTGCACTTTCGTATTGAATACTAGACCGTGAATAACAAACAAGCAGATGGGTCAGAAGATGTCTTCTTCATAATTCATGGCAAACATTACGCTGCGACTACTACAAATCATGGCGAATAAGAATTCGCCCGACCCCTGGAAACATTTTTATGGCAACCATCTTTGCCAACAGCTCGTAAAACAAGAGCAACAGTCCGCAGTGCTTTACTCTCATAATTTATTTTGCATACACACTCACACTCATTCAAGAAAGCTGGAAAACAAGAATACACAAAACACAACGCATTGGAGGGGAAAAATTCAATTTCACAGGATATTTTCGGGGACCACAACTCCGGTCTTTCTAACAAATACAAAAAAAAGAAAGAACAATACAAAAGCAGTGAAAAAAAATAAACAAGAAATAGTTCTCATCTTCTCAACCATCGAAAATTAGTCGGAAAGAGGAGGAAAATGTGTGAATTTGGCAAAATAATATTTTACTGCGGATCCGTGACAATTTGACAAGTATTTTGACGGCATAAAAAGCGTTTTATTTTCCGCAAGAAAAGCTTAGCCAAATATTTGATTTATGGCGTTTAAATAGACACATTATACTAATATTGATTGACATTCATTTCGAATGATATATAAATTGAGGTCATTAAATAGAAAACAATTTTCCCTTGGGAGGTGTATAAAATGTGATTATAATTGCTAATCCTCAATAAATTTGTTATTTTTCCCGAATTAAAAAAACCTTTTTGAAAGTGTTAGTTAATATTTATTCATGTAAAGTCTGTTATCTAAAATATTCCTATAATAACTTTGATAAATATTGTATAAATACATTTAGATTTAATTTAAGGAAAGAAAAATTCAATTCCTTTGTTTGGTTCCTTAGAAAAGAGATCCTCTTTTTAGGCCAAAGACAGCGCGTGAAATGTAATGAATAAATAAAGTTCGGCTGTAGCTCGCCATTCGCATTCGAGAAGTTGAAAGATTTGGCCTGGCAACCAACGTGGTTATTGTACAAAGGTGCGAGAGCTTCTGTGCGTTTGCATATTTTAAGCTGCTCCTTTGCACCTTTTACATTTTATATGCCATGCGGCGGTTGAATTTGAGTTTGAGCCGTCGACTGGCCCTCGACTTTTCCGACTTTTTCGGCTCGTTTTCTGCGCCGACTTTTATTTCAGTTTCCGTTTATGTACACATTTGTAGCCTGGCCAACAGCAACCCACATACATTCACATCCACATCCACATCACCTTCACCTTTCGTACACACTGAGAGGTCACCATTCCCTGCCAATTTATAAATGCTGTATGTACATGTGTTTTCACAAGGCTTTAACTTTGCCCTCTCCCCGCCTACCCCATATTTCCACAAAAAGGGAAAAAGTAGAAAGTAAAAAAGAAAAAAATGAAAGTGTAATATTCAGTTTTTATGCTGAGGCTGGCGCTTCTCGCATGCGACTAAAAACCAGCTGCGGTCTCTGTACAGTGTAAATTTCTCCTACACTTCTCGTGCATTTCTAGAAACTTTGCCCCATGGCCCCCATGGTCAAGTTTCGGTTGGGCAAACAAAGAAAACCCCGATTTCTTTGGCCAGTCCTTGCCGAATCGGAACTTTTGTGGCGTTGTTTTTCCACTCGTTTTTTTCTTTTTTTTTATATTTTTGGATTTGGGTTAATGGCCAAACACACACACAGATTTTCACATTACTCTGGTAAATTCCAAGGCATTTCTGACCTTTGATAAGCCAAAGCTAATTTTGATGTAGAATGTGCAAATTATATGCATGTTAGCTTAAATTAAATCCGTTTGTAAATACATAGCTACAGAGAACGATTTTAATTAGTTTCAGTTGAATGCGCTTAACACGGCCACCAAATTAATTTCTCTGCCGCGGATTAGCTAAAGTGCCTCTTATCGGGATGATATACAAGTGGATGTGAGTTGGAGATGTTAAATTGTGGTTCTATTAGTGATTTTATAATAAAATATATTGATAATAAAAATGTGTAATAATTTTAAATGAAGTTTTTCTAATGCAGATATAAATATTCTTTAAACTCAGAGAAATATCTGAAAGGTTTTATTAATAGAACATTATCTAACATATCGTTATAGTATTTATTATTCAAAAATTCTTAAATATAAGTTATTTTATTATATAAAACAAAGTTGCTTAAATATAGTAACAAATCAAAACCAAAACCTAATCCATAGTCAATGCCCATCGCCAACACTAAATGTTGATTTGATGGTTGTAAATCGAATTGAATAATTAAACAGTTGGCTGGGAACAAGTGTTCATTGGCAATCGATCACATAATTGAGATGCGACTTTGATTGCATTTCAGGCTGTTCAAAATTACACAGAAGGGCAAAAATGCTGTCCCTTTGATTGTGGGTGAGGATAAAAAGGGGTCAGAGGTTCAGAGGGGGCAATTGGCCTTAAACCGAGATGGCTGTGAATTGGGAGCAACTGTCGAGGTCGTCACATTTGACCCGCAATGCAGCCGGGGCTTAATCTGCCCCACAGTCGCATTCAAATGTCAATTAGTGTTGTTGCTGTGGTCTCAATTCCCGTACGCCTCGCGCTCCTTTTATCTTTCCGGCTCATTCTGCCCATGCCATTTCCCCCGGGAAGCCATCGAGCAATTGAAGGCCACGGTACTAGCTTCGCATCCACATCCGCATCCGGTTCCTTGGCCAGCGGTCAATAAATCTGGGCCAGCACAACTTCCAGCCAAGGAGCCTAAGAGAAAAACCCATAAACAGTTTAGCTGGCGGAGCAGGAAAATAAAAAACTATGGCCCCGAGGAGTGCAGTAAATTGAAAACATACTTATGCATAATAACTATAAAATTAACATAATTTAAGTGGATCAAATCGATTTATTTAGCTAGTGCTTAACTGCTTGGCCAATTTCGATAAACTCCATGACTATGACCTAATTCGAAACTAAAAACATTTTTCAACTTGAATTTTCAAGTGCATTTGACTTTGCGGTTTCCTGTTGAGATATTCGGTGTAGCGACAATCCTTCGGTGGTAATTTATTTTCACATCTATTTTTAGAGAAGAATGTAGATTAAATTTAAAACATTTTCCATTCAAATTCGTATATAAATAGATAATAAAATCAGGAGAAAATTAATGATTATGATTTATTGTGTTTTTTTAATATATGTTATTTAAAATAAATTTTAATAGTAGTTATTATCAAAATATATCTTCGTACTTACGTAAAAAGCATGCCATATCCATCACCAGTACAAAAGACAGTAGTGCAGAAACCTTATGCGGAGGACCTGTCCCATCTTGAGAAGCACAACCGAAGGGCCGCCGTCAAAAACACAGTGATTGGAATAAGCTAAAATGTATTTAAATATACTTAATCGGTTAATAAATAAATCTTCAATAAACTTACCAAATGATATATCAGCAGAAGCCTGAAAAACAACCAAACTCCAGAGGAGCGCAAAAATGGCTTCGAAAAGTATCTACAAAAAGTATCTTAGTGAACCCGACCGATCGGCCTGCCTAGTTGCAAATAAGCTCACGCCTGCAGCATTCCGGATAGGGAAGGTTTGGATTGAGGTAGTCACCATAGTGACAAGAAGGTGACGGGATAGACACACCGCAACTGCCAAAAGGACAATAAGATTTGCATTTCTATCTTCAGGCAGTTGACCAACTCACCTATGGAAAACGACTCGCCCGTTGTGTCCGCACACGATTTTGCGGCACTCGTGCGTGGGATCCTTGATGCTAACCCCCGGATTGAGCACGAGTTCCTGGTTGATGACGCACTTATTGGGATGGCCTAAGGATGGGTTAGTAAATGTGGAGCTGTCAGCTGCGTCTGTCTGCACTCACTCGGATTGTAGTGGACTCCCTCCCATTCCGCAGAGTGACATCCGCTAAAAAGGATGCACAGAAGCGTGACTGTGAGAAGACTATGGGATGCCATGGATAAGCTGATGGCTTATTTTAAATCGCAGTGTAGTTTTAGTAAAAAATTGCTGAGAACTTGTTTGGTTTTATATTGACATTTGATTTTGAAGAGTTAACTTTTGTCTGAAAGCTAATATGATTTAGTTTGGCCACTAATTACTGTATCATAAAACATATTTATCATTTCGAATTTGAAATCAGCATTAAAACCTCTTTTAACCTTATAATATTATATAAAAGTCTTACCAGTATTGCCAGTATTATTAAGTAGTCAAATATGACTGACAATGAAAATACCTTTTTTTGCCGATGGTTATGATATCGATAGTGCCATCAATGACATTTGCTACCAACAATTGAGTTGTAACCTTTTAAAGCCGAAACAAGTTCAATAAACAAATGCCTTAAAAATTTTGAAACAACAAAGCAACAAAAACATCTGAATATCACAACCAAATTAAAAAAAAAACCTTTCAATGGAAATTTAAGGACTTAATCATAAAAATAGCCCCCAATGACTATTGCCACCCACTTTGGGTGTAGCTTGTTTTTTAGCATATTCTTTTTTTTAATTTTAGCTTATTCTAGCTTATTTTTTTCACAAATCTAGCTCATACGTGCGCTCATCACCTGGCAACACTGCCTGACACATTCAAATTGCGCGCACTTAGTGGGATGGTGGATTGATTTACCACTCTCAACGATCACTTCACCCAATGGACCATCGATGATGCACTTATCGGGAAGGTCTGTGCCAAGATAAAGGGATACTAGATAAGTTATTTGACTTGCTTAACTTAACAAAAAGTTAGTTAATTGATTCCCTTTTACAATACAAATTCACCTTTACTGGCAAAGATTTCATAATTGATGTTGACAGCCAAAACGCAATGAATCATTATAATTAGTGCCAGGATGGTAAAAACTCGGTATTGTGGCATCCTGTTTCTGGTTTACTTTCAGGAAATGTCACTAAAAGATTCGATTTCGATTTTCTGAGCTGTCTGCCTGTGGAGTGCCAGGCCTGCCTCGATTCCATATGCGCATTTTAATTAAAATCCATATCAGACAGGCGTACGAGGGGGCAGACACAGGTCTGGAGGACGAGCAGGAGAAGGATATGCTGATGAAGTTATCGAATATGTTAATGCAGTTATTTGCAGCTGCATTCGGCTTGTGTCATCTGTTGATGTTGTTGCATAATTCGATTAAGTGACGCTGCTGTCTCCAGAGCTGTGTGCCCTCCTCTGCCCTCCTCTGCCCTGCTTACCCCTTCACCAGGCCAATGTAAATGTTGGTTTATTTGCCTGTCTATCTTGTGGTCCTCTGTAAATTGTTATTGTTGATGTGTCACTCAACGGCTCGACCTGAGTCCATTTTAGAAATCATCGACATTGTCCACCCAAAAGACAGGGACAAATTTGCGGGGCCAGCTAATTGATGCAGCTGTGTGTACTCACATATCATTGGTTTCGTTTCGGGTTAGATCGGCAACTATTGGGTCAAGTAAATGCGATTCTAGTTGGTGTGCTGTTTTGATTACCTTACCTCTAGCCTGTCCGGGCCTGGCATGGCATGGCTTGGCTTGGCTGGGCTGGCCAATTAGCAAGCGGCCTCCATTGTTCGCCTGTTGAAATTAATTGAATCGAGTGGCCTCAGCTGGGCTTGAAATATGCACTTCAATGAACTCATCTCGACCCCAGTGGTTGGCTAATTAACCGACCCACTCGAAGCTCAAATAAACACTGGGGAATGTGCCAGCGTTGAGTGGATGGTTTAAATGAAGAGAAAATAAAGTGTAAAGCATCTTTTACTTTAGGTTACTGTTGTGTTTTCTTAGGTGTAAGTTAACTAGCTTTTAATGTCTTACAGTTCTAATTTGATGGGATATTAAGTTATAAAGAAAATTTTAAGAAATACTTTAAGTAAATCCCATTAAATTTGATAGCTTCGATTCGCAACTCCGATGTTCTTAAGTCTCAGAAACCTCATAAAGAAATGTTTCTTAATTTAACTGAGATTAGTGCCTTTTTAAGATTTATTTTCCTGGTTCTTCCCATTGGTGAAAGCTAATACTTCCTTGTTGATAACCCTGCTAATTGGTTCACTGCCCATGAATCCTGTCGCCGAATGGAAGCTGAGTAGCTTTCCTTTGAGACGGTTGAGGAGATGAATCTAGTTTTTCATCTCTGGTTGCTTATCTGTGACTTTAGCCAGAGCCTAATCAAAGGGACGACTTAGAGCACTGCGTTGAGTTAGAGTTCTGCTCTGAGTGAGAGGGACTGCATCAGAATTGATCCTTAAATTTGCATGGAACCTCAGCCAAAAGCGGCTTCTTTTGTGATTTGTTAAAAAGAGTAAAAACATTTTATAGATTAAAGATAAAGATAAAATTTAAATAAATTAATTTATAATTTGCTAAAAATAAAACGGAACCAACTACAGTGTAGGCTTATTATTTAATTTCCCATTTCTGCTGAAACCTACCTTACTTTTTCATAGCCAACGAATTCCTGTTTCCGCTTTGGCATAAATAAAGGCCTAAAATATATTCGATCGATAGAGCAATAGTGCTATCCACACACGCACATGGCCAAGGTATTTGCATATATAAAGAATCAACACGTCTCTGCGGCATAAATAACAAATTGGCCGGGTGAAGGTATTCTTAGAGAGTTGGGATTGGGTTCGATGGAGGTGTCCAAATAAGGGTCAAATGGGCAACATTTTCGGGGGATCAGAGGTGACCGTCAACGTTTTTCTCCATTTTTTGTTCTTTTATACCTTAAGGCCAGAACCCAAGAGATTGAAATCGAGCGAGACTGGATTTTTGGTTCCTCTTTCTCCTCTTTTTTTATGGTCGCACATAAAAAACACACATCATTATAATTTCAATGATATTAAAGTCCATATCAAAGTGAATGAGATACAAGCGGAATGCTTTATTTTTATTGCTCTACTTTTTCGGCGCTTTTAATTTTTGTGACGCCTGCCCAGTGACCCCAGGTGCTCACCTGCTCACATGTTCGCCTGTTCATCTGCGTTCATCTGCTCACCTGGGCATATACATTCGCACACAAATTGCTTCCTGTCCCAGACTCCCAGTGAAATGTCTGCGTTAAAAGGCCAACGGCCATGTGTTTTATTCGGCATTTATTTACGTTCGCAGCGGCAGGAAAATTCGGAAAAAAAGGGCGAGAAATATATGCGATACGGGGAATGCTTTTAACCGAAGTCATTCATCCAAACACACGTATATATTTTTACGGCTGAAAACATATCTTTGTGTATTTGTAATTCTAGCTTTTCTCGTATTTATAGTTTAGGAAACAGATATGACTCAAGCGTAGGCATGTGTAACCTGAAGGTCAGGGGCATCTAAAAGTTTGCTTTTAGCTTTTACCTGAAATAAAAACATTTTTTTCTGAACAAAATGGAAAGAAAATCATTTCCAGAAATTAGATTTGTTATATTAGAAGCATATATACTTTGCTGCTTTTAAGTTCTCATTCAATTTCAGTTTAGCGGAATGAAATTTCATTCATATTAAGTATACGCACTGTTTATCCAGTACATCGAAAATCTCGTACATTGTAACAATAATTTGCTGCACTTACACTCCTTTACCCGTATTATATTTATACATATTATTGCATTGGAAATATGAAATATTCAATAGCTTTACGCTTCACTGAATAATTCATGGCCCAAAAATAAACCAACGAAAAAACAATGAAAATCTCGAACACACAACGCACGAGAACTGAGTGAGTAAAGTGCAGTAAACAAAATTTTCGTATATCTAGATTTTTGTGCTGGAGAACAACGAAATCCTGTTCAGTCAGACAAGCTTTCTTTTGGCTCAGTTCACATTTATTACCTTTTACACTCAAAGAAATTTTTTATGGGATGTACTACTTAAAAATATTCTCCTAACCTATTTCCTTCATTAGGATATATCCTGATTATATAGTGTTAAAATAGTTCGGAAAAATATTTCAAAGAGCTGCTTTAACTTAACATTTTAATTACAAAAATTGAAGCCCTCAAAATTCCAATTTATATTAGAATAAAAACTTTTTAATTTCCTAAAATTGAAAAATAAATCATGTTTCCAGTGCATCTTTTATGACCTTACCACAACTGCAACAAAAGCAACTGCAGCATCCACTGCAGGCGACCTTGAAAATGCTAAAATTGAGTAAATTGTAGCAGCAAGCTTGTGGTTTTTGCAGTTTGTTTGTTTGTTTGTTCGTCCGCCTTGTTGTTGTTGCTGTTGCTGTTTTTGACAGCACCACACTGAGTTATTAAAATTTGCTTTTGCAATTGCAGTCTATAAACCGCTTAGCCTTTGTTTCACTTCGAACGAAAACGAAATACTCTCGAAAATAGATCTCTGTTTTGTGTCCAAAATTTAGGAATGCAACAGCTGAGAGAAAACCAATTATAAACAATTAGAGAGCTGTGGAAAAGGGAGAAGAGCCAAAAATGCAGCTATAAATAATTATGTGATTTTGGAACAAAGAAATACCAAGTCAAGGTGCCAAACTATAAGCAAAATAAATTTATAATTATGTTAGTAAATAAAGGTTTATAAATAATTTTCTAAAAATATTTTCTTTTACTTTCAGGTGAGTTGCATTTAAGGAAATGGATTCCTAATTAAGTTTCTTTAGACTCAGGCAAGTTAATATATGTATTTAACTTTAATATTCTCCATAATTGTATTAATATAATAGTCATCTTTCCATTTAATTAACAAATAAAACTTCTTCTATCTTCCTCTCTCTTTTGATGGCAATAATTTAATGTATTCCACAAAAGTTATGCCCTTCCTTTACCCTTTGTAATTGTTTTAGGGAATTATTATGAGGGATCAAAGCGATATCAAAACGTTGTAAGTCGCAGGATAATGGACTTGTGGCTACGTAGCTATGTGTGTGTGTGCCTGTGCTTGTGTGAATGTGACCAAACAGTTCAGATTAACCCAGACCCGGGAATTTATCCTTGGCATTTAACAATGCTTGACTTGCCCTGCCACTCTCTTGATTTTACTGCTGTTGTTGTTGCTGCTGCTGGTGCTGGTGGAAACCGCGAAACTGCGCTTGTTGAATTATTTAAGACACACAAGTGCGC